GGTTAACGCTTATAAGAGTCTTTGACTATTATAGGTGATGGGCTTGGGCCGCGGCCTAAGCCGTGTAGTCACGTGCGGAGGGCCGGATCCCGTAAGTATAGGGGCGGGCTAGCCGCGCATAGAAGAGCTCTACATAGCTTATTAACATTATCCTACGGACGGCACCTGCGCGCACGCCTCTGCCTACTCCGTGACAGTATAAGCTATTCACGATAAGGAGATGCTGGCGATTATTAGCTGCCTCGAGCAATAGCAAGCGGAGCTCTGGAGCTATAAGAGCTTCGAGGTTCTTATAGACCATAGGAACCTCGAGTACTTTATAACTCGCCAGCACCTCTCGGAGCGGCAAGCCCGCTAGGCGGAGTATCTCTTACGCTTTAACTTCTCGATTAAGTACCGCCCCGGGCGGGACTCCGCGGTCCTAGACGCGCTTTCCCGGAGGGATCAGGACCGGCCGACGGGAGCGGATATCGAGGCCCGGGATCTATAGCTTATCCCGCAGGAAGTACTACGGACTTATATAGGAGCTTCCCTAGTAGAGGAAGACGCGGTGCCAGCGAATAAGCTTCCCCCCGCGCCCTTGCCTCGGTCCGGCGAGGAGGGATAGACCGGCCCGGGGGCGCGCGCGGCGAGAGTATTCTAAGATGAGGCCCTATAACGCTTATGGATAGGATAGCGCTCTGACCGTACTACGAGGCGTGCGCCGCGCCGTTAAGTCCGGCGCTCGACGCCTAGATCCGCTAAAGCTAAAGGTATAGGTGGCCGACTACTATATCGACCTACGGGGGCATCTACGCTAGCGGGAGACTATGGGTACCGGGCGCACCGTATACTACTGAAGCTAAGGAGAAGGAGGGACCGCGGAGCTAGACGAACGAACGAGCCCGGAGGCTGGTCTAACTTATCTATAACTCTAGCGTCGGGTCACCTAGCAGACAGGGCATAGCAGTAGGCCTTGCGAGGACTTTACTAGCCCTCCTATAGCACTACGTTCGTCGCTTCCTCCGTAACTACGATATCTACGCCGCACGAAGATCTAGAGGGCGCAGCTACGGCTGCTAAGTAGCCGTGCCCGACCGGTTCTACACGCATATATAGATGGACTTTATAACGGACCTCCTACTATAGAGGCGGCAACCGCCATATATAGGTAATTAAGGACCGACTTAATAAGTCTATAGATTAGAGCGATGCCGTCTATAGATATAGAGTCCACGCAGAGCGCTTCCTATAGTGCTAGGCCCGCTCGCATAGCTAGCCAGCCTCATTATAAGCGATAGGGGATCGAATTGACTAGCTGCTTTTAGCAGCACCTATGCTAGCTACTTTAGATTACGCAGCTGCTTAGCACGGCATATCACCTATGACCGACGGAGGCCCGAGAGGGTTAACTAGGAGGCGGTTACCTACTGCCATCGAGCCCGCAACTAAGTAGACTAGGACCGGTGGCTCTCGCCTAACTTACGCTAAATAGTAGACTATATACCTCTATTAGGATGGCCCTTTCTTTATAACGCATAGCTTCGAACCACCCTTACTAGTTCCTTTGCCGTACGTGGCAGCGGAGCAGCATAGCAATACGTTACTAGAGGGCCGCGCCTCCGCGTTCGACGAAAGCTATAGGAGACCACGGATTATCGCTAATCCGCGATAGCCGCCGGCGTAAGATTAGGAGCGGCACGCTAATAAGACTAGGCCCTAGTAGATAGGTTCGCGGCAGGAGATAAGGTATGGCTAGACCTCCGTAACTATAGGTCGGCACGACTAAAGAAGAAGCTTAACTAGCTATACGCCGGTTTACGCGGAGGGTTATTAGCCCGTAGGTTATAGAGCTCGATGGTCTCCTAACGGGGGTCTATAATAAGATTAACGTAGACCTCCTTCGTAGAGCCTCCTCTAACCCGCTGCCCGGATAAGAAGCAGCGGACGCTTAACCGCCCGCAATTGAGGTAGAGGGAGAGGACGAGTTCGAGGTCGAAGAGATACGGGCCGCGCGCTAGAAAAAGGTCGGTAGGGGGAAACGCCGGGAGGTCCTCGTTAAGTGGCGCGGGTATCTCGACCCTACGTGGGAACCCGTATATAAGTTTACGGGAACCGTAGCCCTCGATAAGTTCGAAGCCTTATTCGGAACGGTAGACGAGAACGACGGACTAGCGGACCACCGATAGTAGCCCGGGCTAGGACCACGAAGTAGGCATAGCGGAGGGGGCAGTCACGGCAATATAAGCAATATAAGCGTAATAGTACGGGCGGAGATAAAAACAGCGTTTATCACGGCGGAGCCCTCACTACCCGGCCTATTCCTTATCGCTATTATTATCTTCGTTATCGTCGTCCTCGTCGGCCTCCTCCTTCTTATTAGCGGCGGCGGCGGTCTCTAGGGCGCTGAGGCGGCCCTCTAAGCCCGTAAGCTAGTCGGCGGCGGCGGCGGCTCCGGGGGCAGAGGGCGCCAGCGGCGGCGGCAGGGGGCAGTGGCGGCGGCGGAGGCGGGCACGGCTAGGGACCGCCGATAGGGCGACGGAGGGAGTGTCCCTGGCGCCGGGGGCGTTAGAGGCGGAAATAGGGAGCGGAGGAGTAGGACTTACTTAGGGGGACGGCGTCGTTACCCTAAGGGGCGACGTGAGAGCGAATAGCGCAGTAGAGGCGGCGGCGGCGGCGGTGGGAGCGGTGGCAGCGGCGCGGGCAGGAGCGGCGGCAGCGGCGGAGTCGTCGTCGGCCGCGGCCAGCACGGCGTCGACGAACGACTCCGCACGCTCCGAGAAGGAGGAGGTGGGAGAGGGAGAGGCGGATATATCTATCGCGGAAGTTAGCACGACGGAATACGGCCTCCCGCTCTATAAGGCGCGGAACTTACTGGTTAGAGTTGTTATTGTTGTTGGGGCTATTGTTGCTGTTGCCGCTGCTACTACGAGCATACGTTAATAGAGCGGCCCGCATAGCTAGGATCGGACTAACGCCCCGGGTAGAGCGGAACTTACCTATTAATGCTGCTACTGCGGTTAAAGAAGGGAGAGAAGGAAGGGAAGGGGGAAGGGGGGGGTGCCGCCTTATATACCCCTTAGTAGAGGATGCTGCCTACTGCCTACTCCGTGACAACGCTAGTCTTATAGATAGCTCTCTTAGTATAGCGAGAACCTTATTTTTCTCGCTAGCCGTTACGCTTTTAATCGCTTCTAGGATAACTATAATACTTTCTATCTACTTAGAGGGTAGCGGGGTACTCCTTTAAGAAAGTAGTATCCTTTTTAAAGAGATATCTATTAGATCTATTAGTTAATAGCTTATACTATTATAGAGTAAGTAAAGGTATATATATAAGTACTATTTATAAGATAATATTAATAAGCTATACTAAGCTTTTCTATATATAGCTAGCCTATATATATATATATAGGATCCGGCCCTTTATATATAACTATATAGCTTAGGCTATAGCCTAAGCCTATAACCTATAATAGTTAAAGACTTTTATAGAAAGTACTAATAAAATACTTAAGTTAGCTTTAAGCTTTTATATAAGTATAATTAAATATAATATATATAAAAAGTAAATTTTAATACTAACTTAAGCTATTTTACTAATAGTATTCTAGGAGCTACTAAGTATAACTATTTTTCTTATATTTATTATTTAGTATTTTAAAGCTTATATTTTAGTAAAAAAAGGTATTAAAAGAGAGGTATACTATAAGCTAGGTAGCTAACGTTAGTCCTAGGCCTATTATATTACTATATTCCTATTATAATTAAAAATTATATATTTAGTAGTCGCCTACCTTATTAACTATTATTAGGTCGCCCTTTATCTTACCTTTATTTTAAGCTTAATATATTATCTTAGTAAAAAGATAACTAAGTATAAAGAATCTAATAAGATTATTTATTTTAATTTTAATATACTATAGCTAGCTTAGGGCCGCTATAAGGCCTTATAAGAGCGTTCTTTTTAGGCTTTTAACTACTAATTAAGTAATAAGAGAAGTTATATAACCTTAATTAATAAATATTTAAACCCTCTTTAAGTAAAAAGGGGGTAGCTAGTATTATATACTTATAAAGGTATATAATACTAGCCGTTAAATAAACTCTCTTTTTACTATATTTACCTTTTTTTATAAGATATTATTAAAGGCCTCCCTTTTTCTAAGATAATATCTTTAAATAAATAGTAAAGTAGCTAAATTTAATATTAAAATAGCTTTATATTTTATTAAAGTAAATACTCCTTTACTTATTACCTTATTATTTAAATAGCTAAAGTAATAAAAGGTATATTAAAGAAAGTAGGTATAAAAGACTATAATTATACTTAATAGACCTAATAGTTATATATAATAAAGCCTACTTATATAATATAACTCTCTTAGCTAAAGGATATAATATAAGCTTAACTTAAGTATAGGAATATCTTAATACCTTTTTTTAGCTAGCTATATATAGTTACTATACCTATATAAGCCCCTCCCCTATCCTAATAAATAGACTAAGATATATATTACTAAATTTACCTTTCTATACCCCTATTTCTTCTATTATACTCTCAAGCCTCTGCTTAAGAGTCGGGTAGCTAGAACTGCTATTAGCGAATACTCCGCAGCGATTGCATAAGGAGAACAATTTAACTATAGTATTAGATGCAACGTGTTGCGGTGCGACGGGATCGGAAATTACAAGGGCATATACGGAGTAGACGAACCCCCCTAATTGCCCACTGATCTACCATCACTGGCCAGAAAGTCCTAGCGGATATGAAGAACAAGGAGCATATGCTACAGTGGAGACGGACTAATTAGTACAGCATTACTATTCGGCCAATCCATGCACTTCGTAAAACCACGGCGGCTGGCCTATATCCGATTGATTACCTAACGCGGAACAGGGACAGCCCCTCCAAGAGATCCAAGGGAAGTGATGCTACCCCGCCATCATGCGAGATTGGCACCCGTCTCGACTTCAAGCCCTCCCTCAACTTCCCCTCCCTCCCACAGTCTGCTTCTCTAATGCCAGACACAGAGCAGTCGGACGCCCCGGCGGAGCCTCAGAGCAGGCACGTCGTATACTGTGGTGGTATGTTTCGCACCGACTCCTTGGCCGGCTCTGTCGCCCTGCTGACTTCACTGGCGACTCTTCCAGTCTGCACGCTGCCACCCGAGGTGTGTTGTATGCCCTTGGACTCCAGGCGCAAAGCTCCAGCTGGCCGTCGCTAACCGTCTGCTACAGTACTGCGAGTATGGCGGCACCGTGAGGAAGTGCCAGGAATGGCTCGAAAAGAACCACAAGGACATGTACGACCGCATCTGGTCCGCAGGTCCGTTGCCCCAGACTGCCACCGTCTTCGGCCGTGACTGACTAGCCGCCGCAGAGGCACTGGAAGCCGCCACCGCCTCCCTGTCTGTCGACGCCCAGAAGAGGGCAGCCAAGGACGCCCAGAAAAAGGCCGCCAAGGCCGAGGCCGCCGAGCAGAAGCAAGCCGACAAGCTGGCCAAGAGCGTCATCACCATCAAGCGCATCGAGCGTAATAAGAAGAAGTTCGTCACCGCCGTCATAGGCCTCGAGGCCTTTGGTCTGGAGCTGAAAAAGGCAAGGACCCGCATCCCCCACCTGGAACGAGCGGCGCTGACGAAAAGTACAGGTCGCCAAGGACCTGGGAAAGAAGTTTGCAACCGGATCATCCGTGACCAAGGTCCCCAGCGGCGGCGAGGAGATTGTTATTCAGGGCGACGTGAGCGACGAGGTGGAGGAGTTCCTCTTGCAAAAGTACAAGGAGATACCCGAAGATAACATTGAGTTTGTCGACGACAAGAAAAAGAAGAAGGCGGCAGCAGCGGCAGGGTAGAAGAGAAATGCGCCGATTCCTCAATTGGCCATGCTCCCGGCATTCCAAAATGTACACGTCCCAGTACTCCTTGCCCGATCAACATGTGCGTCATGACAACTTGTCCATCCCGGATCCCCACGCGGCAAGCCCATGCCACTGTATCCAAGAAACGCCGTCTCGTGAAATCAACAGTAAGAAGAGCATCATCATCATCAAGTCTCTGTTCGTCTTTGGACGACCTTAGCCTCGCTTCCGTAGGACGCGCCCGCCGGTTTTGGGGGGTTTCGGGGCCGCAGCCTTCGCCGCCGTCTTCTTGGCCCCGCCTCCGGCGACGCCCTTGCGGATGGCTCCCATTGTCGTCTTCTTCGTCGCTGCCGCCGCCGCCGCAATAGGCTTCCTCACCACAGTGCCAGTGCTACCCTCGCTGGTCTCGCTCGTGCCGCTAGCACGGTGGCCGGCGCGGGTGATTGGCCTGGTTGAGGGTGGGGGAGCCTTGGACGCAGCAGCGGCTGCGGGCCGCCGGCCCCTCGTTGCCGTCGTCGTACCGCTCGAACTCGATTCCGAGGTTGCCGTGACTTTTCGCGTGCCTCCGTGGCGCGCGGCCTTTGCCCTCTCAACCATGCTGGAGAGGACGCTCGTCACGGCGGCAGACCGGCTCACCCCGTGCGACTTCAACGGCGAACCGGGCCGGGCGATGTGCGATTTGGTCGGCGACGCGGGACGATCGCGGGTCGCTAGCCGGGAGTTTGATGAGGTGGGCGAAAGGACCTGAACAGGGCGAGTAGACCCGGCGTCTGCTACTTGATGTCGGGCTTTTCGTTCGCCCTTGGAGTTTTCCATTTCGTTCTCCTTGTCTCCCGCGACCTCGCCGCTAGTCATGCCATTAGCCCATATTGTCGTCGCAGAAGCAAAACATTTCGACACTTACTGCGCGGTACGATAGTTGCGTTCAGGCGCCTGCGAGCGCGAGGCGCCATAAGCAAGCTTTTGAGGAGCCAAGCGAGGAGCTTCTTTAGCCAGCAACGGTGGTGGCCGGCCGTCTGCTGACCGATTTCGCTCCTGCTCCAGGCACTTGAGGATCAAGTCACCCATCTTGACTTTGCGCAGTGACGTGGGGATCCGATTGACTCGTATCTCTATTCGCGATCGCAGGCCCTGGGCCTGTAGATGGTATTGCGCCCGCAACCTCCGAGCGCGTTCTGTGACTGCATCGTTGGTCAGCATGCGCCGTCGTCCGCCGCGGGTTAAGGGACGGGGGAAAAGGGCAGGACGGACTTTCTAGTTGCAGGTTATCTATCAGAGCCTGCTTCTGCAGTAGGCTGATCCCCCTCCTGGGCCTCCTGACGGGGCTTCTGTGGCGAGGCGTCGACGGACTGCCCTTGAGAGGGACCTTGCTGCCCCCGGTCGCGTCGTCACGGCTCTTGGCCGAGGCCGTGGACTGATCCGAGTGCCGGCTCCTCTGCCGCGTGGGAGCCATGATTGTGGTGTATGATTGCCAATTGATCGCGACGGCGAAGAAGAGACTGTCGATTGGCAAGATTTGTCGAGACTTGTTTTTGTGCAAGTGCAGCGGGCAAAGGCGGTGGACGATGGAGGCCGCGGCGATCACCAAAGTAAACAAACGGGTCAAAAAAGGGAGGCCACCTGCATTACGTATTATGTAATCAGAAGCTCCTCCAGAAGCACGTTCTGTGCGCGGCTGGGGAGCTAATTACTCAAAGTAGCACTACCTCTGACGCGCTAACTTTGGCGCCAGGATAGCTCCGATCTACGTACTACTAGTAACTCGAGCGGGAAGCTGAAGTTAGTTGGTTGGCGGCTAGGCTGAACTGCCTGACGCCTGTCCAGTCGTAGCTCTCTCTTCTGACCTTCATCCAGCGCTCCATCCAACCTCGGACCATCGTACCGTCCTTTCTGTTATCGCCCGCTTACGAACAACGAGTCTATTTCCCAGATAAATAAGGCAACGGACAATCTTCTGTATCAGAACCCCCCCAGACACCGAAAGGGCCCGTCGCCATGGTTCTCGAGGCGGTCATGGTTGTCGTGGACAACAGCGAGAGCAGCCGAAATGGAGACTACCAGCCGACCCGGTTCGACTCACAAGTAGATGCCGTCAACGTCGTCTTCCAAAGCATCACTCAAGGCAACCCCGAGTCGTCCGTCGGCCTGATGAGCATGGGCGGCAAGGGACCCGAGGTTCTCGTCACCCTTACCACGGAGCAAGGAAAGATCCTTGAGGGTCTGCACAGGACGAAGAAGAAGATTGGCGGGTCGTCGCACTTGAAAACGGGCATCCAAGTCGCAACGGTAAGGCTCTGTCCCGTCGACTGGTGAACCTCGACGTCCGGGCTGACTGGCGGGGTTGGCAGCTCGCTCTCAAGCACCGACAGAATCGATCCCAACGACAGCGCATAATAGTCTTTGTCTGCTCGCCCATTGAGGAAGACGCCAAGGAGCTCACGCAACTGGCCAAGAAGATGAAAAAGGGCAACATCTCCGTCGACTTTATCCTGTTTGGCGATCTCGATGACGACGGCACCCAGAAAAAGCTGCAGGCGTTCAACGAGGCCGTCAAGGGCAGCGAAGGCTCGCACCTCGTGGTGATTCCGCCCAGCAGCAAGCTCCTGAGCGACCAGCTGGTGGCCACGCCCATTCTCCTCGGCGAAAACGCCCCGGGGCCGAGCGGCTCCGGCGACATGGGCGGCGGCAACGAAGAGTTCGAGTTTGGGTTCGACCCGGCCATGGAGCCGGAGCTCGCCCTCGCCCTGCGCATGAGCATGGAGGAGGAAAAGGCTAGGCAGGAGAAGCGGGCGCGAGAGGAGGAGGAGGAAGCCAAGAAGGCTTCCCTGGAGGGTGTCAAGGAGGAAGACGAGTCGGGCCAGGCGAGCGGGAGCGGAGCACAGAACGGTCAGCAAGGAAGTAAGAAGGACGGTGGCGACAAGATGGACACGTCCTAGCTGTTTTGCTTGGTTTGAGCATGATATTGGGACCCGGTGCAGTGTTGTACAATAGACAATCAGGAAGGCCTAGAAGAAGATATACTACGCCTTTTACTATTGTGAATGGCATGCAAATATTTCTTGGCAGGGAGAAGAGCGACGCAGGGCACACCAGGTGCATTATCGGTTGTTAATCTCTCTAATGTATGACAGCAATTTCCGATCAAAAATATCACAGCGAATGGGCATGTCGAGAGAATAGAAGGGGTTCTTCATGACGTAGTCGGCGTAGAGGTCGTATATCCTCCGCAGGGTCAGGTCGACGTTGACCTGGGTCGTGTCGGTGAAGAGCAAGAACTTTGTGCCCGTCATGGTGTTGAAGCACTGCATGCGGAAGTTTTCCGTCTCGAGCACCTCGAGACCCGAGAGGGCCTCTGGCCTCATGGAAAGAGTGCCGGACCCGGGGGGGGTTACGGGCGGCGCGGGCTTGACGGGGTTGAGGCGGGCGGTGATGGCGTGGATGCTGATGAGGGACGGAGGCTGGTGAGCTTCAAGAACAGAGACAAAGAGGGAGACTGACTGGGGGCGCTTTTGCGTACCCGTGAAAGGTGCCAGCAAGGACGAGGTAGTCATTTGTGCTGATCTGGTTGAGGCTTCCCTCGTGGAAGTTTTTGTTGTAGATCAAGCCGCCGGCCTTGTTGATGATGATGAGGGCGAAGACAGTCCTGCGAGTCCATGAGCCGTCGTCATCCTAGCGGCATGGCCAGCAAAGCGGAGCCTCGACGTACATTGCGCTTCTTCAAACGGGGTTCTATTTGCCTGCGCCTGGCGACGTCGGGTTCGGCGGGAGCCCCTGTGTCGTCTGCGCTCACCGGCCCATCGAGGTGAGAGAGGGCGAGGCGCGATTGAGGCTATCGCAGGGTCGGGGTCCAATGCTTTGATTCGAGACTCGGAGGTGTCTACCTGTGCTGTTTCCTTGAGGATGGAGTCGAAGGGGAAAGAGGATCTCGGACCTTTCGTCTGGTCTTTTGTTTGAAACTCGCGGCGTGATGCTCATGATGAGGATCAATTCGCCCGCTAGAGGGAACGAAGTCTGAAGTACCACGCAAGGCTCGCGCCTATCGAGTTGCCCCACTATTGCACTTGAGCAGGGGTCGCGGGCTCGCGGGCTCTCCACCAGCTACGGCTTCAGCCTCGTTCAAACTCCAGCGATCCTCTCTCTCTCACCCAATTCACACTACGCAGCTCAACCCCCCAGGCACCGCCCGCCATCCCGCAGCAGCATTTTCCGGCGCGCAAAACACTCCCTTCTGGACCCCCGGGAACGAGCTCCACACCCGCAAGCAACGAGGAAGCGCTCTCTGGGCTCCCGTGGAGTCGGTGCTTCGGCTTGCGCCGCGCCGCAAAACCACCATGTCGAACAAAATGTCGCGCCCTAAGCCGCCCCCGCCCGGCACCGAGGAGGCTTCGGCGACACTCAACCTGGGCGAGTTCCAGAACGTCGACACCCTCACCTTTTCGGAGGCGGCCCTCGTCCTCAACGCGCTCGTCTCCAAGCGCCGCAACGATCGGAAAAACGTCAACGAGACTGAGTATGCGCCCACCCCTGAAGATGAGCCCGCGAGCGACTCCAAGAGCGAGGAGCTCGACGGGCAAGGGACCCAGCCCGCTGGCGAGAACGAGGAGGAGCCATGCCGAGCTGACATGCCTTTGAATAGGATGCTGAACCAGACGCTTAACTACCTGGACCATTTCGCGCGCTTCACGCAAAAGGAGAATGTCGAGGCGGTCGAGCGACTGCTGAGCTCGCACAAGGACCTCGCAAAGTTTGAGCGAGCCCAACTCGGTACGCTCATCAGTCCCTCCCTGCCTCGTGCTGTTTCTTCATTCCTCCGGCCTGTCCCACATTGCCAAAGCCGCAGCCCACTAACGCCGCACCGCCTCTCACAGGTTCCCTCTGCTGCGAAAACGCCGACGAGGCGAAAACGCTGATCCCGTCTCTGGCCGACAAGATCAAGGACGAGGATCTGCAAGAGCTCCTCGACGAAATCTCCAAGCTCCAGAACCGATGACCACCCGCGCGGCCGAGTCGCTGCCACTTCCCTCACTCCCCCAAGCATCTCAGCCTCGTTTTATTTGTTTACACTGCTTACGTCTTATTGAATCACTTCTCTTTTTTTTTCCTATGTCGGACGAAAGGGGGGAAAATCATCGGACGGAAAACAAGATCAAATCGGACGGCTTTCCAGGAGTTTCTGCACAGCTGCATTTCTGGCGCAAGGAAACAAAAGAGGGCGTCTTTTTCTCCGCCTTCACTCGCCCTTGTACCCGTTGACAATGGGGGAAGAGTGTCCATTGCAGTAGTACGTGAAAAATGACGAGCACCCCATGACGGTTTCAGAATGAGGCTCGAATTATGTGATGAGCTTACTGCAGTAGGGGTAAAGTCTGCGTCCACACGTCTCCCACCATGCTTGCAGATCACTCCGTCGACACAACGCATCGTCAGGATCGCCATGGATATATAAGGCGCCGGAGATGCTCGATGAACAACCCTCCCAGGCAAACAGGCCTACTTGGCCAGCGAAATGGCCCTTCAAATCAGTTCCAGTCTTGTCCTCTCGTGCACATGCTCCCCCCCGCGCTCTGTTCCTCATCACGACTTGTCCCCTCCGCCGCCGAGAGCCTTCCACTGGTCCCAGTGATTGATGTACGCGGCGTGCCCGCTGTCGGTCTTGAGGGAGTTGAGGTTGGCTCGCGGGTCCGTCGCAGGGTCGCCGGCCGGGCCGTAGGCCCGGTACGTCTGCCGCGGTTGCCGGGGACCGAGGGCATGCGAGGGCGTGGCGGGCTCGGCGGGCAGCTCCACCGGGGCCATGCCGGCGCCGTCCATCTCGAAGGTGCCGCTCGGCGGACGGTACGGATCCGGTGGCACGTCGGCGCGGCCTGGAGGGCATGTTAACAGGGGACGCCGGGGGTCGGGGGCACGCTGCTGCTGCTGCTGCTGCTGCTAGTGCCCCGTGGGGTGGTGGCGATTCACCTCCAAAGGGGGCAAAGGGATCGCTGCTACCGGTGGTGTGGGCCGACATTGGCGGCTGGTACTGCTGCTGCCCATGCGGCTTCTCTGCATCGTTGGACCCCCCCAGGCCGTCCGGAAAGGCAGCTGCGGAGTCGGCTTCGGACGCGGCTCGGTTGCGATTACGACGCCGGCACGCGACGACGAGGACGACGAGGACGACGCCCAAGACGATGCCGCCGGCGACGGTGCCGACGATCGCCCCCGACGAAAAGCCAGCGGCCTCGCCGTCCTTGGTGGAGCCAGCTGCGCTCGTCTCGACGCGCGTCGACGACGTCGCTGAAGGAGCGGGAGCCACGGCCGTGGTGGCTGGAGCGTGGTCCGAGGTGAGAGGCGTCGCCTCCTGCGAGGACAGGGTTGTCGTAGACGAGGTGGTCGACGACGGGGCCTCGGAGAAGACGACGGTGTGGCGGGTGACGGTGACGACGGAGTGGTTCGGGATGGTGTGCGTGATTCCGGAGTCTGTCTTGGTCGAGGAGGCGGTGAGGTTCTCGTCAGTGGGGGGACGCCGCCGGCTCCCATCGCCGCTCTTGTCGTTGCTGTTGTCCCTGTCGCCGGCGCCGCCTTCACGCGCCTCGTCGTCGGGACAGCCCGACAGATCACACGGATCCGTGGTGCAGCAGCCGCTGAACCGGTTGCCGACGCACGAGTAAAAGGCCTTGCCACGGGGACACGCGGCGCTGTCGCCACGCGGGGCCAGCGACTCGACGAGCATCGTCTCCATGCTTCTCTCTATCTCTCCCCTCATTCTTCCTCTTCTTCCCCCGCCGAGGCGTGGCGACAAGGATAAGGGGGGGAGGAAAACACACACCGACCGGCTCGTCGTCTGTTTTGCTGCTCCTCCTTGCTTGCGGCGCCCGTGTGCTGAAGAGTTGGCGGTTGCGGACAGGCAAGAAGGAAGGTCGGGTGAGTCAGGCGGCCGGGGGAAAAAAGAGTTGGGATGAGGGTTTGGAGCGGCCAGCGAGCGTGAACAGCTGCCAGTTGTGGTGAGCGCACAGCTGCGTTGGGGCTCGGGAGCCCCCCTTTTTCCGAGGCTTCGGTCTGGGACTGAACGGCTCGCTTTTTCCCCTTTAATCCTCGTCTCTTTATCTCTCTTATCTTCACATGCCTAATCAGCCACTCCTCTTCCTCCTCTTTTTCAGTCCATTCCTTTCGGACTCGGGCGGATAATGGCACAGAGAGGGAGGGGGAGAGAGGGAGGGGAAGAGAGAGAGAGAGAAGAGGGAGATATGTCAAGCTCAGCAATACGCGGCCGCAATGTGCACTGCGAATCGACAACGACAAGCAGCAGCAGATACGCGCGCACGCGCGTGTGTGTGTGCGTGCGTGAGCGAGAGAAGAGAACAGGAGGAGACGGGAGAACAAGGGCGTCTCATGTGCTGCCACGGCGGCCGCCTCTGTGCTGTGCTTCACGCGTCTGTTCCGAGGAGATGAGAGGAGGAGTGCCTGTGTGAGTTGACAGGGACACACGGGGTGCTGTTGAAACTGCCCTGCCTTGGCTGCCGTGTGCCTTTTTTGCTTGGGCAGCTATCCGTCTCTGTTCCCAGCGGCATAGCCATTCGCCATGTTCATTAGCCAGGGGCCCGACGGCTCATCGTTGCCACCAAGACCAAGAACCGGCTCCCGCTTCCTTGTTCTCGCAGCCTCCTCGGAAACCCGACATTTGCTCGCCACGCACCGTCGACCCCAAGCCCGTCACACAAAAGAAACGGGAAGCTCGCTTGGAGACCAGGCTCGCCAGGCACAACACGCGGCTAGACGCCCGCGGCACCCTGCAGTCGGTCGTCATGGCAGAGGCAGCAAACAAGGCCGTCGCGAGACGTTACGTTTCTCTTGTGCAATAATATCACTCGGATTCCCGTCATCGCGCAACGCCAACATGCCCGGTCGCACGGTCAACTCAAGTCCTTTCTTTGTTGCTCTCTAAAGACGGTTCCCCCAGGCAGACACGCACCAACGTAAAGCAGTAAAACAACGCCCGTGACTGTGCGAGGCCAAGAATGCTGAGAGCCCTTTGCCCAACACGACCATCAAACCATCATGAATCCAATACACAACCATGTACGCTGCTGCCAGCATCACAGCTTCTCCAACAGCAATTTACTGCCCATGTTCCCGACCGCTGCCTCCGTCTTCTTCTTCTTCTTCTTCTTGTCGCCCTTTTCCCCCGACTTGGCCTCGTTTGCCTCCCGGGCCGCCTTTTGCTCCGTCGTCATTTCCGTTGCCGCCTTTTCCAGCTGCTCCCGATTCTTCTTCAGAATCTTCTTCAACGAGTCCACCTTGTCAAAGTCACCAGCCTCCAATAGAGCAACGACCACAAACGAGCTGGGGCCAGTGGCCCAATCCATGACGTAGTCCTTGATGACGGGATAGAGCACGTTGGAGAAGCCCATTGGCGGCTGCACCGGGACCACCTTGCCCGCGGCTCTGTCGAACCTGCCGCCCTGGATCAGAGACTTCAGCATGCGACCGCCAAAGGGTGTTTTCGAAATGTGCGGCAGAGGCGACAGGCTATCCTCGGCCGGCTCTTCCTCCGGATCGCCGGCGGCGGACTGTGCCATGGCCTTGAGCGCACTTTTCTTGTCGGCGGTTTCGGACAGGAGCACGTCGGTGACAAGCTGACAGCCAAATGCCGTCGACGTCAGCTCCTTGGGCGCAGCAGCGACGACTGATAGTAGCTGCGGCGCCAAAACGGCGAGAAGCTCCTTGCGGCGAAGGTCGTCGTCCTTCTTACTCGTCGTCTTGCGGATCTCGTGGACTTCCTTTAGCGTTTCCACGTCGAAAGAGTGGCTGGCCGGAAACAGAGAGCTAGACAGGCCCTCAAACAGATACAGCAACGTCGTCCTCGCGTTGGGGTTGTTGACGGCCCCGATGACGTTTTGCGCCGTCTCCTCTGCCTTGTCGCCGAGGAGTTCTGGGAATACCGCCTTGGCCACCAGCTTGGTGTCGTCAATGACGTCGTAGGCCGTGAGGATGACGACGTGGGCGTACGAGTCCCCAGACATGAGGACAATGGTGTCCTTGTACGGCTTGAGCAGATGCTTCCGGTCCTTGGACGTCCCGTATGCGAAAAGCAGGCAGGTCAGCCGGGCACCGGACTTGGTGAAGGCCATGTTTTTCAACAGGTCGCCGCTTTCATCTCCCTTGACCATCTCCATGAGCTCGGCGAACTCTTCCGTGCCGGCCTGAGTGTTGACGAAGTACTGCAGCATGGCATCGTGCAGCATTGTGAAGCCTGACATTCTCTTTTGGACGAGCGAGTTGATCATGTCCGCGAGGCTCTTCATGATCGGGCCGCGCTTGCTGGGTTCGTCCTCGAGTATCTGTTTCAGATCCGCCGTGGGCTTGGTGTCTCTGGTCATTTCTCGGAGGCTGAACTCGGGGCCGTACCACTCGCGCAGCAGGATGGCCTTTTGCTCTTTGGTTGCCACGGTCCGGTATATGTCGTCGAGGATCCACGAGGCCTCGGAGTGGTTGATGAGTTTGCGCACCTTGCCGTAAAAGTTTGGCACAATCAAGTCCCGGATCTCGTCATCGTTGTGCACCAGCAGCTTTCCGATGAGAAACTTTGCATATCGGCTCTCGGCCAGCTGAGCGTAGCTTCCTTCGAGCTCCCGGCCAATCTGCTTTCTCTGCTCGGGCGTCGAGTACTTGATGGCCGTCTGCACGGCCCGGACAGCGTCGTGCTTCAAGACAAAGTCCCGACAGCGACCGGTGATGATGCCAAACAGTTCCTTGACCAGCGCTTGCCGCTCGTCCTTGGGGACGTGCGACTTCTTTCGCAATCTCTCCCAGATCTTCTTGGTCCGCTGAACCTCGTCTGCCAACGGCTTCGCCGCCCTTCGTTCTTGGGCCAGCTGCTTCTGCTTTGCATGCGATTCCCGGGACGTCAGGCCGCCTGCACCATGTTAGTGTGCGGAATGGCCAGCCAGATGCCATGACGCAACGTACCGCGGTCGAAGACGGTCGAATTGGAAGCGCCACCAGTCTGCGTGGACCCCTTGCCCGCAGACTTTTCCTCGAGCTTCACGCCACCCTCTTCGTCCAAGTCTGAGTCGGAAAAGGCTTCAACGTCGCGGGACGCATCCTCGGTCGCCTCCTTGGCCGCCATCTTTGCGGGCTTGGAGTCGTTAAGCCGGGCCTTCTTGACCTTGGCGTCCGGCTTTCCCTTGCCGGCGACTTTTCTCTTCTGGCCGACTCTGGCTTCCTTTGCGGCCATTGTGTCGGAGGTCCTGCGAGACTCGGCGACGGGGCGAAATGGCCAGTGAGTTGGGTTTGCGATGGAGCTGAATCTTGCTCGCTGGGAATCGACCAAGATAATTTTTTTGGGGGATTACTGCCGGGCGGTGAACTTTACTGCAGGCGCAGTACGGGCTACAGCGCTGCGAACCCCGCTATCAAGGCCCACCCCCTCCCCCACTTCGGGTCGGCGTCTCTAACTTATAGTAGGCAATTACTTGAACATCCAGTGTGCAGTTTACAACACGAAAAGCCCCCAGAAACCAACCCGAAAGAGTCGATTGCTCAGGCACTCGACCGCCGAATCCTTCAAGGATGGGTCGCGAGGAGCAGATCGAAGAGCGCGAGGTCCTCGAGTCCATCTTCCCAGAAGAAATCACCGGTGCGACACCACCCCATCGGCGCAACTTTGCAAGAGACGCCCATTGACGAGCCGCAGACATATCCGAGACCGAGTTCAGAATATCCATCACCCTAGACGTCCTCGAACGAGAAGGGGAAGAAGCGCCCCAGTTCTTGCTCCAAGTCCGCTACCCCCAAGACTACCCCGACTCGGCGCCCCATCTCGACATCATCGCCCTCCCCAATGCACCTCCGCACCCCGACTTCAGCGTCGCCGACGACCGCGACCAGCTCCTAGAGAGCGTCGCAGAGACTGCCCAGGAGAGCCTCGGCATGGCAATGGTCTTTACGCTCGTCTCCGCCCTCAAGGAATCCGCCGAGCAGCTCGTCCAGGACAGGAGAGATGCCGCCGCCCAGGTACAGGAAGAGGCTCTCCTGGCCGCCGAGCGGGAGGAGAACAAAAAGTTCCATGGCACGCCCGTCACGCCCGAAACCTTTCTCAAATGGCGCGAGGACTTCTTGAAGGAGATTGAGGAAAAGGAGCGGAGGGAGGAGGAGGAGAGGCTGGCCGAGCTGAAAAAGGCAAAGGTCAAGGAGCCGGTCAAGCTGACGGGCAGGCAGCTCTGGGAGCGCGGCCTGGCCGGCAAGGGAGACGAGGGCGACGAGGACGATGGTGTGCCGACCGAGGCCTTGGAAAGGTTACAGGTGGAGGCATCGTGACGTGTCTTGACCGAACAACGCTTTCTACATGGAGTTGGATGGAATTCTTGAGCGACAAGATATCTGTTGCACGGCAGCATCATGTCGCGGCCACCGGGAGACGAGGACCGATTGCCGCGTCGTTGCAGCAAGTGAGCGACACGGACGTATGCGTTGCGAAATAGTTCGGCACCTCGGGAACGCACGACCTGATCAATAGGGCGTCGCCCACTGGTGGTGATCATTATGCCATCCAAGCAAATCGCTGTCATGCCGCACTTTTCATCATGGCTCAACGCCGTCTAGATATCGTCATGAATCGCCACTATCGTGGTTTGGCTCTCTCAATCCTGCATCTCCTCGTCCTCATCCTCATGATTCTCGTCGCCACTGTCGTCCCAATCCTCCTCCTCACCCTCCGGCATCTCACCAAGCTCCTTGTTTATGTTCTCGAAGAGCTCGACGGCGTGTTCGCCGAGCCGTTCGTCTTCGTACTCGAGCATTGCATACAGCTTCAAGCACCGCGCCAGCCACTTCCGCGCCGTCGACCACGTCGACTTCCACTCGTCTTGTGCAGCACCATTTTGCTCCTGTGGCTGTGCTTCGCGCTGCTTCTCGCCGTCAATGTAAAGGCACCAGCCACCAAGATACCACGCCTCGACACTCTGATCGTCGTCGGTGACGAGGCGCTCGAGCACCGCCAAGGCCTCTTCCTCCATCTCAGTCTCGAGAAGGAGGCGCGCCAGGGCGATTCGGGTGGGAAACTCGGGGATGGCGGGATGTTCGGGTGGAAGGTCTCGCCACAGCTCCAGACTCCTCGCGAGGGCGGTCTTGGCTTCTTGGACGCGCTCCTGCGAGATGCGCACGTTGCCGACCGTCTGCCATGTTTCGGCCGAGTTCGGCGCAATCATCATAGCCTCGGTGATGAGCGCCTCGCAGCGTTGCTCGGCATCGTCCTCCCACGACAGGTCCGTCATGTAGACCTCTGCCACCGCACAGAGGACGCCGCCGAGCTTGTGTTGCTTCTCGTCAAGATCGGCCTGCTGCTCGGACGTTCTGCCGGCAACACCAGACAGGATCTGGACCTGCCTTCTCAAGGCCGCTGCCCCGCGCTCAAACCAGAGCACGCTGTCTTGGCCGCCCTCATCGCTCAGCTGTGCCAGGAAGAGGAACTTTTCCGGGCCTCCGCCGACCTTTTCGTCCACCAGCCCATCCTCGTCCAGCTTGACTGCGCGCTCAAAGAAGACGCGCGCCTCCTCGATGTCGCCCGTCTCGACGTGCAGCATGCCGAGCAAGTTGAGCGCTCGCAGCTCAAAGTCGCCGCCGGGACCTGTGGCGTCAAGCGCTCTCGTCGCAAGTATAATGGCCTCGTCGAGGTTTCCCGCGGCGAGCTGCGTCTCGGAATCGGCGAGCGTTGAGCCGGGGCCTGGCTGCTTTGTGTTCCTGGGCCGGACAGGCGCCATGACGGGAGGTGCCGCCTGGCAAGGCTGAACTCGTTCAGAGCTCTGTGATTTTGAATCGGCAAAGGGCAGTCGAGATCCCTCCAAGGTATGCAGGTTGCGAGGCGCACTCGTCAAGATAGACGCCGCTGCTGTCCTCAGCGAACCTTCTCTTGCCACGCAGGAAAATTTTGGGCGGCGCGGCTATCGATAAGCAGGCCGTGCCGGCGCAGGGAAAGGTGGGGGCGGGGCGGCTGGTCCGGATCCCGGAGGGGTCCAGCTCCAGCTTCCAAGCCCGACGTCGTCGGTCGCCTTTTAGCCTTTGGGTCATCGAATGACCTGGCCGGGACAGGCTTGCATAAGGGAAGTGGAGTTGACACGACTCATCTTCCACATTGCTGACGTTTGAAAGCGTCGCGTCGCCGGATTCTTGGGCCAGCACATAAATCCAGCGCGGCATATCTTGCATCTCAACTCAGCTCACCAATCCCAAAGACCCTGCCCGGATAGCCCGCGTTAGCCCAAGTCGCTCGCCCACCATGTTCACGGGCATCGTCGAAGAGATTGGAGGTGAGTCACCGCCGAGGCTTTGCGGCTGTCATCCAAGCTCAGTCAGGTTGCAGTCGTCTCCCATGTCGACACCAACGACTCATCCGGCGGCACTACCGTCACTTTCACCATCCCGGCGAGCTCCGAGCTCCTCAAGGACTGCCATGAGGGCGACTCAATCGCCATCAACGGCTGCTGCCTCACCGTCACCTCATTCACCTCCAGCAGCTTCAAGGTGGGCATAGCACCGGAGACGCTGCGCATCACCAACCTTGGCGCGCTCCGGCAGTCGAGTAGGGTCAACCTGGAGCGCGCCGTCCGGGCCGATACCCGCATGGGCGGCCACTTTGTCCAGGGCCACGTCGACACGACGGCCGAGATCCTGTCCACCACCAAGGACGGCAATGCTCTGACATTCCGGTTTCAGCCCAAAAACCGCGACATGCTGCGGTACATTGTGTACAAGGGTTTCATCTCCGTCGATGGCACCAGCTTGACCGTTACCAGGGTTGATGACATGGACGGCTGGTGGGAGATTATGCTGATTGCCTACTCGCAAGAGCGAGTTGTCCTGGCACAGAAAGCCAAGGGTGACACGGTGAACATTGAGGTGGACATGATGGCTAAGTACGCTGAAAAGTCGCTGGCGGGAATCCTCGGTTCGGCGACCGGTTCGGCATCGATTCCCCTGCTCGAGAAGATGGTGGAGCGAATCGTTGCCCAAGGACTGGGAGGCAAACCTTGAGCAAGCCTAGTCTTACTTTTCTTGTCTAGGTAGTATGAATGCGCATCATTGGAAACTCGTACCGGCGCGTAGCTGTTGGCCCTGGGAAACCTTCAGACGTCCCCCCAGACTTCCGCAATCCTCTGGCTGAGGACCTTGTTGATCTTCTTTCTCCCGACCAGGTAGTTCAACTCGCCGGTCACCAGCTCTCGCTTGCGCTTTCTGCCGGGTTCTCCAGGTCCGCAGGCTTCGAATGCCTTGACAAATTCGTAGGGCGTCTTCCACCGTTTCTGTATCTCCAGCGCCCGCTCCCCCGTGACCCCCCTTGTCGTCATGAGCATCTTGAGGAAGACGTCGCGCAGCGTCATCATCTCCGACTTGGACGCCAGCGACGCAAAGGCGGAATAGCTAATGTAGTATCCCGCGGAAGTGTCCCTTTCGCGTACGTGGTTGATGAGCGGCAGATAGTTTTGGGCGGTGAGGACATTGGTCGGGATGACGTTGAGAGTACGGCTCTCGTAGTCGCGCTTCAACATCCGAGTCAATCTGGCCAGGTACTTGATGGTTTCATCCATCTTGGCCGTCCTCTTGACAAAATAGCCATTGACGACTTGCGTTGAAGCAATGGCAGATTGAACCGCCTCTTCGTATCTCTGATGCGAGGCCGGGTCCATTGAGATTTCTTCAATGATGTAAACCACCTTTCTAGCCCCGGAGCGGTTGAGGCGAAACTTTTGTTCGTGGAACCTCCCGTCCTTGATGCTACCGATCAAGTCATCAAGCCGTTTTCTTTCCACGATCCAATCGAGGGCAACCTCGTCCCCCTCAGCTCCGTGCTTCGACAAGAGGTCTGGATCGTGACACTTGGCAATCCATTGGACATCCCCGACTTCGAGACTCCTCATAATGGGCTTCACGTCCTGTTTGGCAAGCTCCTCCTGCATGTAGTCGCGATCTGTCTTGGCTCTGACTTCACGGACGTCGAGCACAAGATGGACCGAAAATGACCCAGGAGGTAGCCTTATGGGGCTGAAATCAGGCAAAGAGTCATGCCCCGAGACAACCGGGCCTTCTGCGACGACATTGCGGCAAGGCGAGACGCGTCTCTGCGGTTCTTGAGGCTCAGGGGAAAGGGAGCAACGCGGGAGGGTCGGGGCAGGTCCAGGCTCGTTTGGGATCCCCGGCGGTTTGTGGTAGCCAGCTCCGTTATCCTCGTTTTCCAAATGCCACTGGCGCGTCTCCTTGATTCGTTTGGCCACGTCCCATCCCTCGTCAGAGAGGGCGTATCGGCGCAATGGCCTGCCGCTCTCATAGACGAGCTCCTTTTGGATGAGTGTTTTCATGGAGCTCCAGGCGGTGTAGAACTTTGTGGGGTCGCTGGGCACGGTCAGGGACGAGTCGCAGTGTGGCTGCGAAACTTGGATCAGGTCTGTCTTGGCCATACCCCTGGACGCATCCTCGGGCAGGGTGGAGAGTCCGAGGATGAGGGCATAGGCGCCCGAGCGAAAAGTTGGGACATATGGCTTGGGCTGCGTCTTCTTCCTCTTCTTGAGGGCCCCGTCCTGGGAGTCTACGGCGGCCCTGGACGCTTGAGGATGCTCCGGCATGGGAATGCCATTTTGCTGGCAGTGTCTCTTGAGGTTTTCCGTCAGACGCTCGCACAGCTTGGGGCCGAAGCCCTTGAGCTGCTGGAGCTGGGCGGGATGTTGGAACACCAAGGGACAGGCCCTGAGGGACTCGTAGGCGTTCTTGTAGGTGGTGATTCCCTTGGAGTTGCGTTCCCTGGCAAGGTCGAGCCACTCCTTGACCCAGGCCAACAGCTGGGGGTTTGCACACTCGGTCTCGATATCGGGGGCCATGGCGACTGTCTTGCGTCGAGCGAGAGGCAGCGAGCGACTTTGGCTACGAAGCCATCCGGGCGGAATGGGGCTAAGTGGAAGCACAGTCGAGTGTGGGGGGCAGTTGGGGTCAGCAATTCGGGGGTACAAGCGAACTGGGCATCGAGGTCAGTGGGCTTGTAGATGATTCGCAGAAGTGGCCTGCGCGTGGTGAGAGGCAAGTCGCGTCTCGACATGCTGACTAACGAGTAAGGTCCGATTGATACGACGAGGTAAGTCAGCACACCCAGCTTCCGGCACGCCCCACTTCCGGCACTATTTTCCACCAAAAGTCGCATTTCGCTTGTTTCATTATTAATAATAAATTATACTATACAAGTCAAGTCATACTCAGGTACGTAGTACTATATAACCCTAATAAATCCTTCAATAATAAATCCTTTAAAATGCGCAAGATAGCTATTCGTGATAGGCGGGTAGCGGGCTTACTTTGGCACTCCGTACGTATTTTTAAAATGGGGCGTGTGTATGAATAGAATGGCGGCGTTAAGTTCCGGCTCTTCCCTCTCTCTTCAGTGTCTATTCAAGCCAAGGCCCTCAACTGCCGTCATTCCATTCCGTCATGACCAGCTTCGCGCGGCTCCCTTCGCGATGGAGACGCCACCTTCTCAGCAATCCGAGTATCCGATAATGACACGCGCAACCGACCATGTCGATGCTCTCTCCATTCACCAAAGAGCTCGCCGGTACCCCAGATCACGAATCATCGCCGAACCTCTGCTGTGAACCAAGCTGCACCTCGAGTTACTCCAGTGCACCTTTGCTGGCCCTGAAAATGCGCCGCTTGTTATTATGGAGCTCGATAACCCTGACCGTGAGCGTATCCAGCGGGGTTTTGACGCGTCCTTTCAGGGTTCTTGGCCTCGTCATCGGGAAAGTGCAATGCGGTGTGTTTTTAAGCTCATTTAATAGTCCGTTAGAGTCAGTGTAAGCAGCCTGCAGATCCAAACTCGTTACACCGTTGCCTAACTCTGTCTAAGAAGCACCAGTCTTGACTTCTCCCTCGGGGGCTATCGCAACATTTTGCTTCCCCGTTTAATCCTTCTTTATACGGAGCGAGCCTAACTACGACTTCGGCCCTCTTCCTCCCGTCGCTGCATATATCGACCACTGACAGGTTTTTGACTTGCGAGAGAGGAGAATCTTTAAGCAATATGTTGGCCGCCGACGTCACCACCCAGGCTTGACCCTGAGGGGACTCGAATGCAATAAGTTTACTACTAATGAGCTCTTGCATGAGCCTTACGTCGTAGCGCTCGTTATAGCCCTTGCCGAAACACGGTGGTGGCTCGTAGGATCGGAAAGAAGGAAGCAGGCATCTGGCGGCAAGGTACGTTACCCCTTTGCCTTTCTTTCGCGTCGTTTGACTCCTAGCTGACAAGTATTAGCCTCAGGTGTTTTTTACAACCGACGATAACGAGTCTATCTATCTTTACTCGGCAAGCATGTCGTCTGCCTTCATCACCATGTTGCATGACCCATCCGTTCCACCGACAACGCCGCAGCCTTCACATATCTAAGTCACCCAAGTACCTTGCAAACCCCTCGATACCCTCCGCAATCGCCTTTTAGGGCTCACGCTTTCAGCTACGAATATGGAGGACGTGGGCACAACGGCCGACCTGGTTATATAGAGATGACTACATTACAGACGATGCCTCGAGTCAATCAAAGGCCCAACCAGTCAGGAATCCGTTCCAAGGTCCTCCATGTAGCAGCCAACGCGACGGCAAACCCAAGGCGAGCTGCCTAGTTAGCTCTGTCAAGTCAGCCATGATGAATACGGATGGACGGGTTTGACTGTAGGTGAGCCGGCAGCATCTAACGATGTTTGTTGATGAGCCTTGAAACCAATCCCTTGCGCAGTTTCCACTTGGTGCTAACACGGACGGATACAGAAGTGAGCATTAATGCACTGCAGCTTGTGCACTTGTTATACGAAGTACTCGCGGCACAACTCCGGACCTTGCCTGATTGGCATTAGACCCGTCTGTACCTGCCAGGCTTTTTTGACAGCGCTCGTAAGTCATCGTATGTATTCGTACTCGCAATGTCAAGCTACCTCAAGAATTAGTTACGAGTACCTCCAGACGAGGTGAGAAAGATATCACTGTTGAATGTGTGAGTTGCACTGCACTTCGTAGTGTGTACTTTGTAAATACTTTGTGCTGCTGCTTGGCGGGGTCGATGAGCCTCGTGTCGCCCAGACGCTGCCTCGTCTTTTGGTCTGTGACCGAGTCCGTGTCCCAAGTCACAAATAAGATACAATAAGCCCCCTCCCCTTCACGTCATGCTTCCGCGGCGAGGCGAAGCCAACTCGAGGCTGTTTTTTTTTCCCACTGTTATTGTTACCGACCCCTCCTCCCCGCCCTCTCCCCTCTCTTCTACCCCTCCATATAAAACCCCCTCTCCTTCTCTGTTGCCTGTTTGCCGGTTTTTGGGCCTCATCAGCTCTCCTCTGTCCTATTCCCCTCTCTCCAATTCTACCACTTCGAGCCCCCAGTATCGACAGCATCGGCAGCTCGTTGACCACCGAGCTTAGCCGATTCGAGCCGAGCCCGACCCAGAAGCTGGCCTGAGCTGCTGAGCTGAGCTGAGCTGAGTTGAGCTGATTCAAATCCGGGCCAATAAAAGACCCTCTGGACCAGCTCCCCCTACTCATCCTTCCTTGCTTCCCATCGACCAGCTCTCCTCTCTCCGGAGGGACTGCCTTTGCCTGCCGACGCGAGCTCCTTCAAGCCAGCCAGCCTTGCGCCGAGTCCGACAAACCAGCGTCACCCAGCAGCCATGGACGACAAAATCCTTGCGGCTTCGGCCAAGCACCCCATTACCCCCGGCCACGCGTACAGCTACGGCACGGCCGGCTTTCGCATGAGGGCCGACTTGCTGCCCGGCGTCTCCTTCCGCGTCGGCCTCCTCGCCAGCCTTCGCAGCCGCAAGCTTGGCGGCCAGGCCATCGGCGTCATGGTCACCGCCAGCCACAACCCAGCCGCCGACAACGGCGTCAAGATTGTCGACCCAATGGGCGAGATGCTCGAGCAGGAGTGGGAGGCCTATGCCACCCACCTCGTCAACTGTCCCTCTGACCAGGCCCTGCTCGACACCTACAAAGCGTTGGCCGCCCAACTCAAGATCGACACCGGCGCTCTCGCCCGAGTCGTCTATGGCCGCGACACTCGTCCCTCTGGCCACCGCCTCGTCGCTGCTCTCGCCGATGCCCTGGACGCCACAAACACCGACCACACCGACTACAAGATCCTGACAACACCCCAACTACACTATCTGACCCGCTGCGTAAACACCGAGGGCACCCCCAAGTCGTACGGCCATGCCAGCGAGGCCGGCTACTACCAAAAATTCTCGGATGCCTTTGTCCGAGCCCTGCGGGGCAGGAAGATTCAAGGCCAGCTGACCGTCGACTGCGCCAACGGTGTGGGCGGGCCTAAGCTGTCGGAGCTGCTCAAGGTTATCCCCAAAGATGTCACAGGCTTCGACGTCAAAGTGGTCAACGATGACGTCCTTCGACCCGAGGTCCTCAACCTCGAGGTGAGTCCCGTGCCCACGCGGTCCTTGAAACCGGCACGCTGACGATGGCAATGGCAGTGCGGTGCCGACCACGTCAAGACCAAGCAGCGAGCGCCCCAGGGCCCTAAGCCGGTCCCGAGCGCCCGGTGCTGCTCCTTCGACGGGGACGCGGATCGTCTCATCTACTACTGGGTCGACCCCGACACGGGCTTTTTCATGCTTGATGGCGACCGCATCTCGTCTCTCAACGCGTCCTTCATCGGCGACCTTGTCCGCTCCGCCGGTCTGGAGGATGACCTTCGCATCGGCGTGGTCCAGACCGCCTACGCCAACGGCGCGAGCACAAGCTACATCGAGAAGCATCTGCAGCTCCCCGTCGTCTGCACCCCCACGGGCGTCAAGCACCTGCATCACGCGGCCTGCCAGTTTGACATTGGCGTCTACTTCGAGGCCAACGGCCACGGCACCGTCGTCTTCTCGCAGGAGGCGATGCGCATCTTCCGGGAAAAGGAGCCGCAGTCCCCCGCCCAAAAGGATGCGCTCGAGACCCTGACGGCCGTCGGCGACCTCGTCAACCAGACCGTCGGCGACGCCATCACCGACATGCTCATGGTCGAGGTGATTCTCGCCCATAAGGGCTGGACCCTCAAGGACTGGGCCATGACGTACACGGACCTGCCCAACCGTCTCGTGCGTGTCGAGGTCGGTAACAAGGACCTCTTCAAGGCTACCGACGCCGAGCGCCGCCTCAGCCATCCGCCCGGTGTGCAGGACGAGATTGACCAGGTCGTGCGTAAGTATACGACGGCCCGCTCCTTTGCTCGCGCCAGCGGCACCGAAAACGCGTGCCGCGTGTACGCCGAGGCGGCGACCCGGTCCGAGGCGGACGAGCTGGCGAACAAGGTGGCCCAGCTTGTGAAGCAATTTGGGTCGTAGGACGACTAGAGTTGCTGACTGCGCTGGGATCCACGTTTGGGTCGGCGGGAGAACGGCTCAGGGGGCTAGGGTTCCCAGAAAAAAGATGACGATTAGACCAGCATGAGGCGTCCTAGGGCCCTTGAGAAGAGAGAAGGGGGTGTACGGATGGGAAGAGCAAGAGACGTGAGCAAGGGGATCGCCATAATCTCTTATGTCTTGACGACGACGGCCTTTGGGGTTATGAAGAAGAAAACGGCGAAAATTGTTGGGCAGCTTTTCGTTATGCCTGACGATGGATAACGTGCATCAAGAAGGGAGAAGTGACGAAAAAAATCGGAGGCCAAAAGGAGGAGAAAGACGGGTGGACGGGGGAAAAGGTGCATCTGGACAGAGAACACATGGTTCGTGGGGCGAGACGGCGACCTGTTTCCGAGAGGCAAATAGCTTCGTCTCCTTGGACACTCTACCTCGGCCGAGTCGTGTGGTTGGCGCTTGGTTATTCCCAGGTCCCAAAGAGAAACCAGGAGGAGGGTTTGGATGGGCAGGATTACTGTAGTTGCGCAGTCAATGACGGTCTGACGACGAATCTTTGGTATTTGCGCCCCTTACCGACGCACACCGAGACAAAAAAAAAGATTAGCATCACCCACGCCATGCCAATGCCAATGCCATGCCGGTTTCCGCGCCTCGACTTTCTTTCCTCTCTTCTTCCGTCCCTTGATGGTTTTATCACCCGCGCGCATTATGTTTGCCGGGTCCTCATCTATCAGTGCGCCATCTGGCGCGCGGCTCAAATCCCTCCCTCTCTCCCAACCGTAGTCGAATCACCCACATCATACCCCTTCCCGGTCCCCAGCAGCCCTCGCCACTCCTCCGCGGTAAACATTCGCCGCGGAAAGGAGCCATTTGGGGGCGGCTGTCTCGAGAGGAACTCCTAAATCCGTCTAGCACATGCGGAAGTCGCACTTGCCAGAGGCAGTGCGGGTCACGTCGCCCGTCTCGAGCTCGTAGTCGAGCTCAATGTCGAGGTCGCGGCGGTTCTTGGCGTTGGGCTTGACCTGTAGGGTGCACTGGACCTCCTCGCCCTGCTGGACGGTGAGGACCTCCTTGAAGTAGAGGACCGTCTGCTTCCAGTGGGTGTACTTGGTGTGGGGGCCGGTCGAGAAGCGGATGGGCTTGTGGCAGGCGGTGAAGTCGATGTCGAACCACGAGACGAGGGCGTGGATGAAGTCGTCGCGCTTGGCGGTGAGCTTGAAGGGCACGGTAAAGGCCAGGTCAGCCGTGGTGCACGAGTAGAGGTCGAGGGTGAGGACGGGCGTGGGGTCGGTGACGACTGTCTTGAGCTCGACGGTGTCGACGAGCGGCTCCGAGAGGGCAGTCTCCTTGAGGGGCGTGTAGTCAAAGCCGTAGACGTTGTCCCAGACTATGCGAGGAAGAATCGTGTCAGCCGAGGCTCCCATGGCGGGACGAGGGGGTCTCCTTACATCCGATCTTCTCTTCCTTGTAGTCACCATCCTCGATGCCGGCGAAGAAGACGGTGGCCTTGTCGGGGAATATCAGGCCGTCCTTTTCCAGATACCTGTCACGGGCGTACAGGACGGTGTCGAGCATGGACTCGTACAGCAGGAAGTAGCCCATCCACTCGGAGATGATGATATCGACCTTGGGGAAGGGCAGCTGCACCTCTTCCATCTTGCCCTGTACCAGAGTGATCTTGTCAGCCATGCCGTTGACCTTGACGATCTCGCGGGCCTTGAAGATGATGGACGACATGTCGACGCCGATGACGTGCTTGGCGCCAGCCTTGACGGCGAACCTGCGACGGCGCTGTTAGACCTGGATTCTCACTTGGACGAGAGAGAAGGGTGCCGTTCGGCCAGCGGGAGACTTGCATGGAGAGAATGGCAGTGCCGCATCCGACGTCGAGGACAACCTTGTCCTTGAAGAGGTGCTTGTTCTGGACAATGGCGTTCATGTACGATCTCGTGCGCACTTCATCTTTCTGCGTGGCCGAGACGTGTTAGCAGTAGTCGCGTGTACAGGAGATCCTGCCGCAACGAGTGCGCCAAGCGCGCGCGCATTCGCGACCAGAAAAAAAAACCGTCGCGGGGTGTCTGAGATGTGAAGAAGGGGTCTTCGAGGCGGGGGAGGGGCAACAAAGCTTACCAGCATTTCCTCGTGGATGCCTTTTCGCCGTGTAACAGAACGTCATTGGTTAGCCGGGACTCAGATGGGAGTGTTTTCTCGACAGCGAGGGGATGGATTGTTCATTACCGTGGTGATCGTAGCTATTCGGTCAGCATCGTCTTGGCCAGGCAGCGGAAGCGCAGGGCGCATCCGGGGTGGGGGCTTTACCTCTTGAAGTAGTGCTGCTCGCTGTGCTCGAGCGACTTCATCTTCTGCTCCGCCATCTCAACCTCCATCTTGTCGCCGCTCATGCTCGCGCCGGGGAGAGGAGGGATAAAAGAGAACGGGAGAGGTAATCGATGGTGAACGGAAGGGCGCCTGGCTTGGTGGGGGGTGACTGGACGCGGACGAACAAGAGTTCAAAAAAGACCAGCAAAAGAATATCGCCAAGAGAGAAGGGATGCCAAGCAAGGCGAAGAATCTCGAGTGCCGATGGACGTGTTCGAGGCAAAACGGGAAACGGGGGCTGCGGACAAGGAAAATGGCCAACGGTCTCGGCGATGGCGGCGGGACAAGAGGAGCAGGCGGGCAGGGTTTTTGTCGGGCAGAAAATTATTGGCCTGGCCGTCACCGCCCTGGCGCTGGCTGTCTTGTTTTGTTGACTGCCGGGGGGCGCCAGTTACTGTAGGTACAGTGGCTTGCCCCTCTGTAGCCCCTCTGTAGGACCCTGTTGGAGTCCACTGGCAGCCCCACGCCGCTAACGGTTGGTCCCCTCCCAGGCTCCAGGGATCGATTCGGCGAGGAGGGACAAACAAATGGAGGGAGAATGTATCCGAGTATGGGAAAACGTTGATGGAGTTGTTGTTTTGATATATGGGCAGGTTCATTTTAGCACAGGATGAGATGGCCGACTCTCAACACAAACCATGCAATGCAGCCAAGGGCCCTCTAGATGGGCCGCTTGCTCAAGCCCCGAGACGAATCAAGTCCATATCAAACGTGTTTTTCTGTAGACACCACAAGCAACGTCTCCACGCACACAATGGCAAGCCCCCTTTTCTAAACGTCTAGCCCGAGCAGTCTCTCGTCTCTGTCCACTCGAATTCCCAACGCCTCCAACGCCGGTACATGCAAGGAGCGACGACCATCCGTCTCTTCCGCCCAGAACAAATCTGAAATAGCAAAGTCCCACGCCCTCACACCAGCAGCACGCTGTTGATGCATCCCTCGTTCTCCGGGCTGTTGGTCACCTGCGCGTAGCGGCCCCAGACCACCTTGCCGCCGGCCGTCACCAGCCCCAGCTCGCTGACGTTGACCTCGATGACGGTGCCCTTGGTCAGGACGCCGAGCTGCGTGTACAGCGGGTTCTGCGGGTTCTTCTTGACGCTGATGATGGGCAGCTGCACCGTCACGCCCAGCTCCGGGTGTGTCACGTTTGCCTTTTTGTACCGCAGGCCCATGGGCCGGATGAAGCGCTCGTACTTGGGGTTGCGCCGCGTAAAGTCTTGCCCGACAAACGTCGGCTTCGTCACCATGCGCTTCCACGCCTTCTTCTGCACCTTCCGGCCCGTCTTGATCACCTTGAACATCTCCTCCTCGCTGATGCCCCGCACCTTGGGCAGCGGCACGCTGAACCGCGCCGCCTTCTCGGCCCGCTTGTTCTTGATGGCGCTGCTCAGCGCCTTGGCCGTCGACGGGTTCGTCCGGTCCAGCAGGTACGACGGCATCGGCGTCGTCGGCTCCTTTTCGTCGGCCGTCTTGACGTTGCGCTCCTCGTGCGCCTTGATCGTCTTCTTCATCTGTATTTTCTCATTGTGCCGCTTCTTCTGGTACAGCTTGGCCCGCAGTCCGCGCAGGTTCTGCGCATCCTTGGACGCCTTGTGGCCCTCTCGCGCCTCTCGCTTTCGCGCCCGCTCTTCATGGTCGAGGCGGCGTCCATGCTGCTTGCGCCACCTCTCCATGTACTCGTTCTGAGGCTGCACCCAACGTCTGTCAGCATCCAGTCGCCAGGTCATTACGGAAAGGGATGCAGACTCACCATCTTGGCGGTATTGTCCTGGCGGGCTCTTGCTGATTCCTCTGTGGCCGGACGACAGGGTGATGGCTGAAATTTCGCCGTCGACTTCTTTTTCGGCAGCGAGTGGAGGTGAGGAAAAAAGTACAGAGTACCTAGCTTACTTTGTTAGGTAATGTGACTTGGCCGGGGTACGGCGCCACGCTAATCCGAGACCCGTCTCGTCCATCTCTCCCAATGGCGACTTTTTGTAGTCTCGACGACTCAATCCCATGGTCTTGCCAGCGCAACCTGCAATTCCGCCCACGGTCCGAGGGCACCGCGGTCCAAGATGAGCAGAGCGCTTCTCCACCCCCTGCTCCAGCTCAAGGCACCCGTCGTGTCGCGCCTCGCGTCGGCCCTGGCGCTGTCCGTCGTTCAGCAACGGGCCTTCAACACCTCGGCACCCATCATCGAGCCTGTGCCGAAGCAGCAGCCGCAGCCGCAGCCGCAGAAGCACAAGCCCAAAAGGAAGGCTGCCATCCCGCCGGCCGTCGTCCATCAGCAGCCGCCGAAGCAAAGGCACGAGAAGAATGCCGCCAACCCGACAGACAGCCAGGTCAGGCCCCTCGCCTTCAAGAAGAGCCATCCCGCCCGGCCGCCCAGGCCGGTGGAAAACTCGGTCGAGAAGCTCCTCCCCTTGCTCGTCGCCCAGCCGGGCCACTACATCACCGTCCACATCCACGGCTTCCCCTACCTCGTCCAGGAGGGCGACCAGGTCCGCCTGCCCTTCCGCATTCCCGGCGTCCTCCCCGGCGACGTCCTCCGCCTCGACCGCGCCAGCGTCATCGGCAGCCGCGACTACACAATGAAGGGCGCGCCTCATATAGACCCGGAGCTGTTCCAGTGCCGTGCCACAGTGCTGGGCACCGAGTCGGAGCCCCTGCGCATCAAGCTCAAGACGAAGCGCAGGCAGCGCAAGGTGAAGAGGGTCAAGAGCAAGCATCGCTACACGATCCTGCGGATATCGGAGCTCCGCGTCCAGAAATCGGGCAAAGCCACGGGTCATCATATTGAAAGTGTGGCAAAGGAGACGACGGCTCCCCAAAGACCGGCTGCTTAGGAGGAAAGCTAGGGGAATGTATCGTTGGTCAAGCCTTCATAAGTGACGTTGTGTTTCATTACCGGCACGGAGCTGGCTGTACAAATACATCAAAACAAGGCCATGTCCAAACTGGCCCCCATTACAGGTTCAACAAAACGCTAAGCGATGTTGATAACTAAGGATCGCACGGTGCTGAGAGACTCAGACCCCGAACGCTAGGCTATGCTGACTCCCATCCGGACCGACGGGCTCGAAACGGTCCCGTGCAGTCATACGCAAGATATCTAAACGGTATATGCCTTGAAAAGGTCAAAGAATCCAACTCCTCAGCGCCAAGCCAAAGAACACGAATGCTCGCTCGCCGGTTTCAAGACCTTGTAAACTTTTGCAAAAGAAAAGAAGAGAAAAACACCACCGCGTAACACAGCGAGCCACTGTCCTCGAGTCCTGGGGGAAAGAGATGCCTCGTTTCCTTCTTATGCATCGTCGATTTCTCCTCTTCCGCCCTGGTTCCTCAACGCCTGCTCTCCCCCCTTTGATATTACGGCGGGAACCGCTCACATCCTCCCGGCCATTGCCTTCCTGATGCTGGACCAGTAGGCCTGGGGCCAAACGCTCATGCTCTCGGCCTCGGTGGGTATGCGCTCGCGACACCTGGTGACGACGCTCTGGATAATCCTAGCAAGCAGCTCCTCGTCGATGGGCAGCGCCGTGTCGCCCAGCTCGACGGGGTAGAGAAAGGGGTCTGTCTCGTGCAGGAGCTCGTCGCACGTGGGCCGCATGTGCTGCTCGCGGTTGAGGCACCGCCGCATGGTCCGCAGCAGCGAGGGTGGCACCGGCACGCCGCCCATGGCGCGCGACGGGAACTCGACGTGGTGGTCCCAGTTGATGATGGCCTGACACCGGGCCATCTGGTTGGCAATGTGGCCAAAGGGCGGCAGGCCGTAGACCATCTGGTACAGGATGCAGCCCAGCGACCAGACGTCGCTGGGCTTCCCCAGCTTCATAAGCTTGGGCCGGCCCGGCAGGCGTCCGCCGCGGGGGTTGTTGGCGTCCATGAGCGACTCGGGCGACATGTAGTTGGGCGTGCCAATCTGCGTCTCGCGATGGACATTGACCGTCTCGTCCGTCTGGATGGCGTTGGCAATGCCAAAGTCGATGAGCTTGAGCCGGCCCCTCACCAGCACAAAGTTGGCGGGCTTCAGGTCCGAGTGCACAATGTCATACTGATGGACCGACTGCAGACACTCGAGCATCTCCTTCCAGTAGAAGCGTACAAACACGGGGTCGAACTTGGACTGCTCCGGGTTCTGCCGCGACGTCAGGAGCTTGTTCAAGTCGAGCTCTCCCATCTCCATAAGCTAGCAAAGGCGAGATGTTAGCACGCGCGCACGTCCGCATTTCCACGGTCGGTTGGCTATGGCTCACCAAGGTAAGCACCTGCTTGTCCGAGTTCATCTCGTGGTCAAACAACTTGATGACGCGATCGACGCCGGACAGCCGCCCGAGCAGGTCAATCTCGCCCTTGTAGCCCCTGACGGTCGTTTCGTCGGCATTCTCCAGAGACACGCGCTTGAGCGCAAACATGTTCCCGTTCTCCGCCGTGACGCGGTACACCTTGGCGCTGCCGCCGCGGCCGAGGCAGTCGAGCCTGGTGTAGCATTTGCCGTTGACCCGGAGGACATTGCGCCGCTGCTTGGCCTGCGTCGTCGTCGCCGCCGCCCCCGCCGTCGACGTTGCCGCCTCGAGGACGGACATTTTGGGCGGCGGCGGCGGCGGAGCGGGCCTGCGCGGCGTGTTGTGCGCGAGGGGGGCGAGCGGCTTTCTCTCTGGCGAAGCGGCCTTCGCAGCGCCCAGTTCGACGCTCAAGGGTCGCCGCGAAACCTTGTCGAGTACGTGCTCGGACGTGGCTTTCGATCGCCGGTAGCTGGCAGGGGCTTGGTTCTCTTGGTCGAGGGCCGCGGGCATCCCGATTCGTAGGGGCTCACGCCTCTCGTCCGCGTTCCTACCATCCGGTCGAGTGCTCCGGGACGGCGGCCTGGCAGACCCTGGCGCGTGCAGGTCAGCATCCGAGGCATACCTCCGTAGAATGGCTCTGGCAGCGGCGTTGCCACTAACGGGGCTGCCAGAGTTGAAGTTGCGAATACCGTCGGCGTAGTAGGACGCGTCGGGGGCTTGGTCGCCGAGCTGGAGCTCGGGCTCCTGGCTTGGCATCATGGGATCGCCTTCGCCGTTGACCTCGGCATCCTCCTCGCTCTGCCGTCTTCGTCCCCGGCGCGCCGGCCCGCTGAGGAAGCTGCCGGGAATCTTGCCGACGCGCTTGACACGCATCGAGCTCTGTAGGTTGGCGTTGTCGTCGCTGCGGCTTCTCGTCGACGGATAGCGGGAGACGCTGCCGTGGCTGGCATTGGCGGAGTTGCGGCCGACCGTCTCGGGGGGCTCGGGCTGCTCCGAGTCGACCTCGAGTGCGGACCGGTCGGCAGCTGAGCGGTCCCAGTTCGATCGCCCGGACGACGGCGCCGCAGAGGCAACTCGGCCACGGTTGCCAGAGGATCCGGAGACGATGCGCACGACGCGCTCGGCCCGGGCAGGAGTGTTGACGTCGGGCCGCTGATCTTGCTGCGAGTCGGACCTCCCGTCGGCCGACGTGTCCCGGGCACCAGCGCGGCTCGACGGGCGCGCCGGACGCTGCGCACCACTGGCGCGAGACGTCGAGGTCGAGCGCCTCTTGGAGGGCTGCATCTGACCCAGGCTTTGGGGCGTGTTGCTGAGTCGCACGACGCGCTTCCTGACGGGGCTGGCTTCGCTGCTCGGGGGCCTGGAGGCTCTGCTGGCGTCGGGAGGCTGGGCGCTGGCGGCCCTCGAGTGTCGCTGGTCGTGCGAGGGCGCCGCTCCCGACGCGCTTAGTTGGCTGGTACGGCGTCGTGTCCGCGGGGGCGAGGACGGCCTGTCGACGGCGTCGGGGGCACCGTCGTTGAGCAGGGCCTTTGTGAGGGCGCTGAGCTTCATAGGCACAGGGATCTCATCCTCGGAGCTGTCGTCGTGGTATTGCTGCTGCTGGCTGCTGTTGTTGCTGGAGGGCGTGGGGCGGGCGGCGGAGGAGAGAAGCTGGTTCCCGCTCCTGGCGAGGTTCGTCCGCGAAGGTAGGCGCCTCAAGGTCTGCTGTCGCTGCGACGCCCTTCGAACGGGGCCGGCGGCCGCCGGGGTGGGCGAGACGGTGGCCATGGGGGAAAGGTCTGGACGCGTCGAGTAAGCGTGAGGTTGGGCCGCTGGCTGTCTCGCTGGAGGAGCAAAGATGCTGCGAGGAGGGCGTGAGTAAAGAATGAAAGCTTTACGCGTCGATTGCGGCCATGGTCCAGGGGGCGTCGAGATGTCGGGCGATGGGCCGCGTCCAAGGGATGATGAATTGGCATCGTCGAGGGAGCGGCGGGCTTATTTTGGCTGTTAGTGCACGAAGCGCAGCGGGCCAATCAGAGCGCGGCGGGTTGTCCCGGGCAACGGGTGCTGGAGCTGCTGGGCATGGCGATGAATGCTGGAGCTGCTGGGTGGTCTGCATAAGCAATTATAATTCATTACCTTGTATCCATTCATGAGCACACATAGTTAACTTAGTCTGTAGCATGCAATGGCCTTTATTGTCCGGCTCATGACGAGGTTCGAGGCTGCGTTGTTGTCGTTTGCGTTGTCCCCAAGTGCGTTGTGTGTTTCTTTTTACACGCCATTCGTTTCAGACCACTTGCAGGCCACAAGGAATTACTCGTAGGTATAATTAAGTTATTAATTACTGTACCTACTGTACTGGGTAGGGAAGCAAGCAAACCCATCTGCACGTGCCGCCGGGTGTCCTCTGATGGAAAGGCATTCCGTAACTTACAGCCCTGCCTGACAGGTGCTTTATTAGTACTTTTGCCCAAACACGGAGTCAGCAACTTACCTTACCAACTTACCTACTCCCACACCCCTCCGAAATCCGGGGCACCACCGCCCAGTTTGTCTCCTCCGAGCTCCATTCCCAACCGTCGCCGACCTTTCCTCCATTCTTCCCATTCTTCCCTTCGCCCCAGGAGCCTCATCTGCGTTTTCTGATTCCCTTTCTTTGGCGCCATTGCGCGCGAGCACACACCTCCAAGTGCCCAGCCTCGCTCGATTGCCGCCCCTCCTCGTCTCCCTCCTCTCTCCATCCGTCGATGCCGGCGCAATGCCTCCCTCGCACTCGGGGAGGTCCTGGGCGCGCGTCCTCGTCCTGACGCTCGTCGCGCTGGCCCTCTGCGGCGCGGCGAGCGCCTCCGTCGGCGATCGGTCTGCCGAGTTCAGGAAATGCCTCGAGGTGCATAACCCCCTCGGCGCTTTGCTTCAACACCCTTCTCCCTCTCAACATCCCCCGTCGACGAGAGCTGACATTTCTTGACTTGCGCAGGTCTGCAGAGCCGAAAACTGTGCCCCTGGCAAGGAACAGACCCCCATCCGTGCGTCCGATCCCTCCCATCCTCTTCCTCGTCCGCCCACCCAGCAGGGACTGCCGACAAGAACCACCATCGTCTATTGCTCTCTTTCCCCCGACTCTACCTAACATTGGTCCATGACAGCCCTCCGCCGCCGCCTGCTCCTCTGGAACTGCGCGTCCGAATGCGACTACACCTGCCAGCACATCGTGACCGCCGCGCGCGTGGCCGACGCCCGCCCCATTGTCCAGTTCCACGGAAAGTGGCCCTTCTACCGCTTCCTCGGCATGCAGGAGCCCTTCTCCGTCCTCTTCTCCCTCGGAAACCTCTGGGCGCATTGGGACGGCCTGCGCAAGGTCCGCGCCTCCGTCCCCGCCAGCTACCCGCTCCGCCCCTGGTACGAGTGGCTCGCGCGCATCGGCATCACCAGCTGGGTCTTCAGCGCCCTCTTCCACACCCGCGACTTCCCCCTCACCGAGCAGCTCGACTACTTCGCTGCCGGCGCCAGCGTCCTCTACGGCATGTACTACTCCCCCATCCGCATCTTCCGCCTCGACCGCCCCAGCCCCCGCCGCCGCTCCCTCCTGCGCCTCTGGTCCCTCCTCTGCGCCCTCCTCTACCTCGCCCACGTCGCCTACCTCAAGGGCGTCCGCTGGGACTACACCTACAACATGGCCGCAAACGTCGCCGCCGGCATCGTCCAGAACATCCTCTGGAGCTGGTTCAGCTACGACCGCTACCGCAAGTCGCGCCGCTCGTGGGCCACCTGGCCCGGCCTCGTCGTCGCCTGGGTCACATTTGCCATGAGCATGGAGCTCTTCGACTTCCCCCCCTGGCTCGGCTGCATCGACGCCCACAGCCTGTGGCACCTCTTGACCATCGGTCCCACCATTCTGTGGTACAAGTGAGTTTCTCCGTCATTTGTTTCCGGGCCCAACCAGACACGACAAGGGGGCGCGGAAAAGGAAAACATTATGCTAACTCGACACAGCTTCCTCGTTAAGGACTCCCGAGCAGACCTCGCCGGAACGGAGCGGCTAAAGGCATAGCTGTATTAGCCAGCCCCCTGGCTTCCCCTTCACTGTAATGTATTCTCAATACGTACATCCAATAGTTACATACACACGCAATGTGCTTAACGGCTGGTCCGTCGGCAAGTTCTCCCGTCTCTCGGAGACTTCCTACGCATGTCTACGGCGGTTTTGTTTTGCACGTCGCCAACGGTCAAAAGTTTCGGTGTTTGAGCTGAGCCATCTCTCATTCTTCGCCGGGACTAATGCCCAGACGCTCGCGCTCGCAGGCATCACTTTCTACCAAACACTTGCCACGCTCCTTCCAGCAGCTCTGTCCGGAGCCGTACGCACCTGACTACAACATGACGCCCCTTTCATCACATGAACGATTGGCGTCCAGTATGCACGACCCCTCAGTATCTCGCCCCGTGGTGAATCAGGGCGAGAGGCGCAAGACCGAACTTTAACCAGTCCTTGGCCATCCTTCTCCTCACCTTCTCTCCCCATGCCCTCTGCCGCATCGCGGCCAAGCTTGGTTGGGGGAGCATCGCCTTCATGACGGATTACGACCCGTGGCGCCCGCAGGCAGTCGGCGAACTCGTCGTCCCGATGCCCATCGGAGAGATGCTCGGCAGGGACGACACCATGCGCGCGATGACGCTGGTGCCGCGCAGGATCGTTGAAATCGGGCGACGTGCGATCGCGCTCTTGGGTTGAAAACAAGATTTTCCGCGTCGTGTCCCATCGATCATCAAGTGGTGAGCAGATCGCGCACCGACAGGCCCCGTCCACGGGCGGGCGGGCCCCGTCTATCTTTGTTGAGCATCAAAAGCGCCGCCGAGGCTTCATGGTCGAAATCGTTTTGAAGTAGAATCGGGCTTGTAAGTGTTGATTCTGAAGCCGAAGCCATACCCAGGACATGATAACCAGGACGCTGCGGTCCGAAAGCCGGCGAAGTGCCTGCCGAGCTGCTGTAGCCGTAGTGTCCGAGGTCCGTCGAGGTGAAAAAGTGCGAGAATCGTCGATGATGATGGTCCTGCGCGAGCAGAGCTGGCGAGATGGAAGGCTGGCTGTGTCTGTCGTGGTTGTCTGCCAGTTCTGGCGACGCCATGTCCGAGTCCGTCATTTCAGCTTCACCGACCGCTGGGTCCTCGCGCAAGGTAGGGTGAAAGTCGCGGATAGGGGGCAGAGGGTCATGAGTCGAATCTCCGCGGTCCTGATCCTCGTCGTACTGGGCCTTGAGCTTGTCCACACAATCCTCCAAATAGCGCACGTAGTCAATAGAGGCCTGTCAACCCCAAGTCAGCCTCGATTGGAGAGAGAGTTGCCCACAGGGAATGGTGGAGGTGAAAAACCTGTAGAATGGCCAGCTTGTGCATCTCTCCCGTGCATGCCGGGATCATGCCTTTAAGCACGGCAAACTCTTCGTTCATCTTACTGCGCCTTCTCCTCTCAATCAAGCTGTGGGCGGTTTTTCTCGCAATCTTGCGGCCCGCCGCACTCGTAGAGTTGGGCTGCTTCTTCTTTCCTTTGTCGGTCCCTGTGGCGCTGGCAGCCGCCTTGGCTGCGGTCGCTGCCCCTCTGCCGGCAGACATATCAGGGGTCTTTTTGGAGGAGCCAATGTGTCCCTCTGCTTGCTGTCGAGGGTTCATTTGGATGATCTTTCTCGATCTGGTGGGAGGGGGCGGGAGAGCAAAGGAAGCCTCCCTATGCCCCCTGGCAGCTGATGGGCGGCGCGGCCTGGCAGTCTCGACAGGCCGCATGGAGTGCGAGACGATCAGAGGGCGAGTGGCTGATGAGCTGTTTGCGTCTAGGGAAGAGCGGCGCGAAGCATCATATATCGCGGGGGGCGGCAGCTCAAAGGGGAGATGGAGGGCCGGAGATTGCTGAAGTCCGTCCTTGCCTGTGATGTCAGTGGACGAGCCCGGGGTCGGAGGGAAAGCCGGACGCGGCATAGCGAAGAGAGCGTGGCTGGTCCGGGGAGCAAGAGGGACGGTTCGTGCCCGGATGACAGGACACGGCAGGTCTCTGGAGGCAGTCGGCAGCGTTTTGTAGGCAGTCAGTCGGACGACCTGGTGCCGCTTTGGGGGCACGAGGTTGAGATTGGGTTGAGTGGGCCGTTGGGCCGTATGAGCGGGCTCTCGTCGTGGACCGAGATGACGAAAATGGAAGACTCGGGGCACGACCGTCTCGGCGCTGCTGGCCGAAAGTTTGTGGCTGGCGGATGGAACACGGGTAGCAAGCAGTGGAGTTGAGCGGTCCCGGAGTCTCGTCTTGTTTGGGATGGTTGGAGCGGCCCATTCGTTGTCTTCGTTTTTGGAAATGTCGGGCTGGGGAGGGAGAAGCGAGGCCGAACTGTTGAGTGTGGGATGGATGGATGCAGGCAATGTCGCAGCAACGGCATGGGTGTTGCTATCGCGTCTGTGGAGAACTCCAAGGAACCCGAGGTACTGGGAATGGCGGATAGGCTCGCTTCGCTTCACGAGGGCGCTGATTCCTCGGGTGGGATGTAGTCGCATGAGCCTACCGAGGGCGGCATTGACGAGGAACAGATGGAAGAGGAGAGAGAATGGAAGAGGACGAGACCGGGGATATACAGTACATCAAGGTAGTCACGACGGGCTGCGGCACGTTACCCAAGACAGGCAAGACGAGGCAAGGAAGGCACGATTGGGGAGGGGGGGAGGCGAGACATGCATGGCATACATGCTCTCTAAAATTCTTGTTTAATCGCATTAAATTCCCGATTTAATATCCATCTCGTCCCGACCTGTCTAGGAAAGCCAATGCGGAGAATAAGACGAAGCCAGCCCACCGAATAATTAAGGGTCAACCGTCTGCAAAATGCAAAAGTCAGGATTAAAATGAACAAGGAGAGAAAGAAAAGCCTCTTCTTCTTCGGCATGTGCTCTCCCCCCCTTCCCCTTTCACCAGCCAATGGCTGGGGCCTGCCGCATTGTCCAAGCATCATGGAGAGAAGAAAAGGTCGCGTGCTCGCCATGGCGGCCGGGCGAATCACGAGGCCGCATTTGCCCATGTGGGCGTCCTGTCTGGCTGTGGAGAAGCAGCATCTTGGGGAGCGCAGATAAATTAGAGAGCCATTTGACAAGCCGGCAGAGGGCAGCAGTGCAAAGGGTGACGAACGGTTGGCTGGAGTGGCATCGCATCGTGGTAATGCACAGGCATCATGGCCGTAGAGCATGATCCGCCGCTTGCATCTACGGAGGCCATCGTCATTATTTTCTGACTTGCATGCCTGCTTCGCACCTTTGTCTTCTTCCCCCCTGCTCATCGCCGTTGCATCGACAACTAGCCGGCAGGCACAGACAAAAGGCGGGTCAAGGCTCCTACAAGCCGTGTTTACACAGTTGAACCTACAAAGCATAAGCCCCCATGGCGTGTTTCCAACGAGCAGCAGCAGCAGCGGCTTCGTCAGGCAAAGGCCCTAGACCTCGTTGCTCGGGTACGCAACCTGAGTCGTCACGTTAAACTCCTCCTTGACGGCCCGCATGTTCACAAAGCGCGTCAGCAGGTTGGCGCTGCCCGCCTTGTCGTCGGTGCCGCTGGCCCTCGCCCCGCCAAACGCCTGCTGCCCGACGACGGCCCCCGTGCTCTTGCAGTTGATGTAAAAGTTGCCCGCCGCGTTGCGCAGCCGCTCCTCGGCGAACCGGATCGCCTGCCGGTCCGTCGCGAACACGGCCCCCGTCAGCCCGTACTCGGACGTTCCGTCCACCAGCTCGCACGCCTTGCCGAAGCCCTCGGGCCCCGCGTCGTCGTACACGTACACGGTCAGGATCGGCCCAAAGAACTCGGTCGACAGGAACCGGTGCCCCGGGTTGGTCGTCTGGTAGATGGTCGGCTGCACAAAGTAGCCCCGCGACGAGTCGTACGTGCCCCCCGTCAGCAGCTCCATCTCCTTGTCGCCCTTGGCCTCGTCAATGGCCCCGGACAGCTTCTTGAATGAGGCCGCGTGGATCACGGGGCCGAGGAAGTGCGAGTGGTCCCACGGCTGGCCCACCGTCAGCTTCTTCGTCTCGGCCACCAGCCTCTCCTTGAACGCGGGCCACGCCGACTTGGGCGCGTAGACGCGCGACGTGGCGCTGCACTTTTGACCCTGGAACTCAAACGCCCCGCGCACCGTGTGGATGGCCGCGTTGTCAATGTCGGCCGACGGGTGGATCAGGTGGAAGTTCTTGCCGCCCGTCTCGCCCACAATGCGCGGGTACGACTTGTACCGGCCCTCGGCGACGCCCTCGCCGATGGCCCCGTACAGCTTGCGGAAGACGGCCGTGCTGCCCGTGTAGTGCAGCGCGGCAAAGTCGCGGTGGCCAAGAGCAACCTTGGTGATCTCCTCGGGGTTGCCGGGCACGAACTGGATCACGTCCCGGGGCAGGCCCGCCTCGAGCAGGATGTTGTAGACCAGCCAGTTGGACGCAATGGCAAAGTCGCTGGGCTTCCAGACGACCACGTTGCCCATGAGGGCCGGGGCGCCGGGCAGGTTGCCGGCAATGGCGGTGAAGTTGAAGGGGCTGACGGCGTAGACGAAGCCCTCGAGCGGGCGGTACTCGAGGCGGTTCCAGACGCCGGGGGCGTTGTGCTCGGGCTGCTGGCTCATGAGCTCCTCGGCGTAGTGGACGTTGAAGCGGAAAAAGTCGGCCAGCTCGGCGGCGGCGTCAATCTCGGCCTGCCACGCGTTCTTGCCCTGGCCCAGCACCGTGGCGGCCATGATGTCGTAGCGGTACTTGCCCGAGATGAGGTCAGCCGCCTTGAGGAAGACGGCGGCGCGGTCGGCAAAGGGGAGCGACTCCCACGCCGGCTTGGCCGCGAGCGCCGCCTCGATGGCCCGCGTCACGTCGCCGGGCGTCGCCGTGTAATACGAGGCGACCTTGGCGGCGTGGTCCGAGGGGTTGAGCTGGTGCGACAGGGACGACGTCTTGACCTGGACACGGCGTCAGCGTTGCGGGGAGAGGCAGACGGGGGCGCGGCAAGACGGTACCTCGATGCCCCCGACCACGACGGGCACCTCGAGGGGCAGCTTCTGCTGGAGCTTCTCGATGGCCGCCGTCAGGCCCTGCCGCTGGGCGCTGCCCTTGGCATAGTGGTGCTGTGGTCGACGGGTGTCTGTGTCAGTCCAGGGCCGCACCCGAGGGCCGGGCGAGACTCACGTTGGGCTCGTTGGCCACCTTGGGCGTCTTGAAGGTGGCGAGCGTGCCCATGCCCATGCGCTGGGAGGCCTGGCTGGCGCAGCGAAGGCCCGCTCTGTTGAAGACGGCCGACTGCATGGCTTGCTTGGGCTTGGTTGAACTATTCAAGTGTGCCTCTTTGGTGTTGCTTTCGTCTCTCTGCAGCCGTACGAGCTCGGGAATTGGTCCTTTGCAAGAGGGTCTCGGGCTCAATGCTGATATACCCTCCGAGTGTACGAGGAATTGAGACTGCCGGGGCATCCCCACAGGCCCTCTTCGGCTTTCGACGGTTCAACTGGCAGTCCGGCGGGGGCGAGACCCTGCCCCCACTCCCTTCAATTACCTAATAGGCCCTAATAGGCTGCATCCATCACGAAGCTGGGGCCGTCATCCACGCCGACTTCGGCGCCCACTCACCTCGTCCCTCACCGAGCCGACAGCAAGCGACGCGCCCTGTCTCCAACTTCCCAAATCTGCACAGTATTGATACCTTTTCTCACAGGGCAAACAACGAACATTCGATCATCGGGATTCCCCGCCTCGTCTTGACGCTTCCACGACGACAACAAAATCATCCAACTCGTCTCGGCATGGCCATGGTCAACAGAATCATACAAAAATCGCACCCGGTATCTCTAACCATGAAAAGGGCAAATATCCAGCCAACATGACGAAACCACCACTCCTCAGGTATACGATCCGGTATTAACAACCCCTGGGAAGCCCTCCCTCTCGTCGTCCCTCAACGGCCAAGCCGGACCGCTCGGGGCTACCATGAGCCAGAGTCATAATAAGCGTACCTACTCTCGTAGGCTTAATCCTTCAGATCCACAGTCGCGTCGTCGCTTGCCGGATGGCACCCGTCATTCGCTCGGCACGAGAGCCAGAATCCCCCCAACCCCCCGACTGCTTCACCACCGTCTAGCAGCAGGCTTGCCTATCGAGACGTAGCCGACGTGGTTGATGAAGCCCGCGTCTCGCACCGCAACGCTGGAACCGTCAATCCGTACCCTTGCGTCTTGCCTTCGGGGTCGTGCTGGTTGATCTCGACATTGATGCAAATATCGAGGCTGCCATCGTTCCCGCGGCCGTGAGTCTCACTCGAGGCCGCCTTGTGCTTGGTGCCGGCGCCGACCTCGCCCTTGTGCAGCTGAGAATGGCCGTTTCGTCCGAGGAACGTCTCGAGTGCGCCGTCTTGGCTTGCTGCCGGTGCGTCGCCATTGGCCTGCACTACCGGGGCGGTGGGCGAGTTCTCCGTCAGCGTGGCAAAGTTGCGGCTCGGCATTGTGCACTTGTTGTGGTTGGCCGTCTTGTTCGCATCGCCCGGGTCCTTGTCGAAAAAGTCGAGGAGCGTCTCGTCCGTGTCGTGGTTCAAGTGGTGGATCTTGTTCCTCCTCGCAAGGAGGTTGGCGACCGCCTGGGGAGGGGGTTTGTTGACAATGGCCGATGAGATGATGTTGGCCATGTATCGGTTGTCCTCCTCGACCGGCACCTTGAGCTTGGGATTCGAGTAGAAGCGGCCCAGGGCGGCTAGGTGCACATCGCCCCCCAAGATGGTGACGCGGACGGAGAACTCGGTGGCAATGTCCTGCAGCTGCAACATGAGCTCTGCCCGCTCCGTCTTGTGGGTCCTGGCCGTGTAGTGATCGTCGAGATCGTCGAGGAGGTCGACGCTGCCGTCAAAGTGGTTGAAGAGCCCGCCGCCCAGGCCAAAGCGGCGGTGCAGGAACTTGACCGGCCCGATGATCGGGCTGCGCAGCACGTTCTCGAGCCAGGTCAGGCGCTGTACCACTTTGTTAGCGGACGCCAATGTCGTCTCGGCCACAGAGGACCTTACCGGGTACGCAATAGGGATGCCGAGGAGTAGTATCAGGTGCTTGATGGGCCGCCGAGAGCTTGCAGCCGCGCCCAACTCACTGCGCAGCCTCTTGAAGATGAGGTCGTACGTCTCGGGGTAGTTGACCTGGTGTCGCGTGCGCTGTTTTTCATCTTAGCCGCCAAGCCTGCAGGTCAGGTCGTGGGAGTGCTTACCTCGGTTCGCGCATCGATGCCAACGAGGGCGACGCGAGCGCCGAGTCGCGAGTAGATGTTGTACGAGTGCTCCGCAACATAGGGTCCCGGCTCCGTTCCAACAATGTACTGCTGGTCCGGTCTCGGCTCGGCCACAAAGGTGTCGATGAGCTGCTGCGGATCCGGGCCCGGAGCCTCGCCATCCGAGTCGAGGTAGTCTTGCCGGGTCAGCGCTAGTCTATAGAGATCACTACAGCAGTGCTCATACTCACCAGACGTATATGTGGACGGCGGCGGCGCCATATGTTGCTGGAAGAGCATGTAGTACTTGTGCGCGGTGCCACCGATTCCGCGGAAGACATCGCAGCGCATGAAGTGGTCGACGTACGAGCCGAAGCCGTCGATAATCTGCCAGGGAAGTCGGTCAATGGGGGGCTCCATGGAGGAGACGGCAGCTGCCGTCTTTCACGGTCAGCTTGCAGACTCACGTCGTGGTCGTCCCAGATGTTGAGCTGGGGTATCTGGCCGTTGGCAATGGCAAATGGCTTCGAGTCGTACCATCGAATGTAGTTCTGGAGGTAGTAGTCGTCGCATTCGGCGCGCAGCGTCTCCGGGAACGGGTAATCTCTCCGCTTCTTGGGGTTGGCGATCTCAGTCCATGCACGCAACGGGCCGTCGACCCTGATGCCGTCGTTGTAGATTTGGTCGCCGCCGCCAATCATGACGTGGAAGGGCGCGTGCGCGTGCTTCCTCATGACGTCGTTCCAGAGCGGAGCGCCGCTGTAGGCGTCCTCGTCGGTGCCGACGCTGAAGCCGTTGCACGAGTGGAACATGAGTCGCATGGACTCGTCGGCGGCGGGGACGAAGAAGGCGTTGACACGGGGTTTGTGCTCGCTGGAGATGCGCATGCCGGGGACGTGATACTCGTACTTGATCTCGTCGGGCTCGAGCGGCACGGCAATGTCAAATGCCCAGAAGGTGACTCGAGGGTCCGAGTAGAGGCGCCGCGACTCGAATTGGGTGCTCTGGTCGGCTTGATGGCCGCCATGCCGGCCGTTGGCTCCGTTGGTATCGTCGGCACCGCCAGTCCCGTGCGCGGGCGCAGAGGCAAGCTGCCGTGCCTGGCCGACCCTTTTCAAGATGAGAGAGGGTTGGTAGAGGACTTGATGGCCGCCTCCCTTGGCGACGATGAGCACGCTTCCGTACCATCGGGCCTCGTCCATGCGGCGGTAGTTGAGCAACGGGCCGCAGACAATGTCCTTGCCGTCTGGCGCAACGGCCTGGCCACGCCCATCGTCCAGCTGGCCCGGCCCCGCGGCAACGTTGATGGGCTGGTGCTGGCCGGCGGCGTTGGCGTCGTCACCATCAGCCTCGGCGCGGTTCGAGTTGAGGAAGCTGGCAAGGGGGGCCGTCGTCCCGGTGGTGACGGGCTCGCGAGCTTGGCCGTGCTCCTGGCCGGCATGGCGGTGAAAGGACGAAGACTCCTGGTGGCGCCAGCGGCTGGCGGACGAGTAGGGGTTGCGCTCAGTCTCATGTCGGACCTGCGGGTGGCTTTTGTCGTCATCCTGGGACGCCATGCTGGAGGGTCGGGCGCGTTCGGACAGCCACGCGGGTTGCAAGGGGGGCCGGCGCAGAAGTCGGCGCGCGTCCGGTGGGAGGCTTGAACGGCGCCGAGGCGAACAGACGCGTTCCCGAGGCCGAGGCCGGAAGGGCGACTCTGAGCCGAGCCGGGCGGTGGGGAGCCCAAAGGCAGGGGGGCAAGGGGGGAGTGATCAACAGCGTCCAAGACAGGCCGATACTTTGTGCTTCGCGCGATTCGGCGTGTGCTGGATGTACAGATGACGAGGGAGCGAGAAGGGGAAGGGAGGCGGGAAGATTGCAGCAGCCTGTGGGGGGCTGCGGGAGCTCTCGTTGGAGGTTGGAGCAGCGGGAATGACGAGCTCCCGGCTGACAGGGGTGGCCATCTTTGCTCCCGTTGCGTCGGCCAATGGCGATGGCACGACGATAAAGGGTTGGCCGGGGGGAGATGATAAGCGTTGGTAATGAGACGAAAGAATAAGGATGCGCGGCAATCCACACTCGCTCCCCCGCATTATACCTACAGTAGAGTGCAGCCCATTGTACTGTAGGTGTGAAAGGTAGGTGTGTACTGTAGGTACTGTCCTCTGAAAGGTGACATGTCCCGAGTACTTTGCACAGGGAAGGGCCATGACGACGTACTCGGAGCTTGCGATGCCCTCGCCAAGTCCAGCACCCGCAGAGTGGACCGTTGCCGCTACACTGGCTCACGTGGCCGAGCCTGGGCCAGGCGATAACGGACGACAACGAGGACGAGCAAATGACGTCTGGTGGGGGGGACCTCTCCCGCACTCGGCATCGGCCGGGGCTCCAGGGTAGGTGCCAAAGGTGCCTGGGTCTTGGCACCTACCGACGTGTTGTGTTTGTGTTCGGATATGACGAATGGATCATATGTCTTGATTAAATTGGCGGGCCCTGATCGCTCTGGTGTCCGGACTCCAAAGTCACATTCTACAGTACAGGCGGAAGGGATCTGGTATGCACCAGGCAGCGCGGTTAGGAGCCGGGATGCGCCTCCACAATGCAAAGTCCCAACATAAGTTCACCGTGGGCTTGACGATGCTGGGCTCCTTCCACGACGAGCGACACAAGTCTCCTGCACTGGAGCAAGAAGCCCGTAATGAAGCTGCCCTACAGAGTGAGTCCCTACAGAGTGAGTCCCTACGGAGTGAGTAACCGAGGACCATCTGAAAGGCAAGGGTTGGTTCGGCAAGGCACGTGGGGCAAGACGTGGCTAGAAGAGACATGATGCCGATGAGATGGCTTGTTTCTCCCCCCCACCCTGTCCGTCTCCCTCGTCACCATCGTCACCACCGTCATTGTTTAATCAAAGTTGCCTGGCCGCCAATGAATCGGTCACCCAGCGCTCCGAAGCTCCTCGACCGGATTGCGATCGACGTCTTTGCCCCACGCCCCTCTGCCACCGAGGAGCATGTCTCTGGTCTGAAAGGGCAGAGCAGGGCCGTCGTACCGCTTCATCGTCATGATAGCGAAACCCACGCCAACTGTTTGACCGGTTGCCCGGCGGCATCATCTTGCATCGCAGTCCCGGCTCCGAGCCAGGGGCTGTTATCCCGCAGGGGCTTCTCTCGCCTTGGTCCAGACACGGCTGGTTGACAAGATTTTCATGCATCATCACATTACCGTATTTGTTCTCCCGACAAGATGGCGGGTTAACCTGCCGTTCCCGTTGCAAGCGGCATGGCCTCGTCGAGAATCAGGCCGGGATCCCCTCGGGCCGATGCCAACTCCGCCTACTAATCTAGGCTAAGCGCCTAAGCCGTATCAACGGTATAACGTTAGGTAATTACTGTACTGTACCCAACTGGTGAGAGGGGGCGCCGATATGCGTGCCGGCCGAGGCACAAACTCGGCTAAGACTCAATCCACTTTCGCCTGTGGCAGGGAGGCCTGGGAGCAGCGGAGTCTGGGTATCTCGATCGGTTCCTCTGACTGTCTCTGGCGGAAACCGATTTAGGAATGCGGCATTCCGTCGTCGCGAGACACTCTCGAAGCAAAGAGAGAGCATTTGATGCCGGGAGAGGCTTGGCTTGGCCGCTGCTTGGCCGCTGCTTGGCAGTCTACGAGGTGCCAACGACGGACCCGCGTGCCAGGTACGGGGTATCGGGGAGGGGGCTTAGCTAATCAGGCCAGTGCAGGCATTGCTGATTGCCTCGGATGGCGTGCAGCCAGACCATGTATCCACTCAGCCCAAATTTTCTCGTCAGTGGCCGCACAAAAATTTTCGCCAAACCTCCTCTCTCCCACTCATCTCCTTCAACTGCATCCCATGGATCGCAACCGCGACGAAACACCGACGTGGCAGTGCCATTATGCACGAGCACGACACCCTCCACCGGCAATCTGTCAAGCCCGGCTGAAGCAGTGGCTTCTAGTCTGAGCCAGCGCGCCCTGCGATCTGCGCCATCCCGAGCTCCTACTCGACCTGTTTAGCAATCCAGCAGCCACAGTCGGTGCGCCTCTGGGATGACTCCTCCTTTGGCCACCGGAACAGGATAGTGTGTCCTGCCCGCCGTGCGAGGCCCAATGAGTCCGGAGATCTCTGGCGGTCAAGCGGCGTCGCTTGGGCGTCTAGAGGTCTCGACTGCCCAGTGGCGGGATCCTGCAGCCCCCAGCGCCGAGGTGAGATGCGTAGGCGCCTGTGAGAAAGACGGTGATGCAAGTGTATCTGCAACGGCATATGTGTGTACAGCGATGGGCTCTTTTGCCGTGCTCACCAGCTGAAGGAATATTCCAACGTGCCAAGACCAGAACATCCTCATCATTACCAAACACCCTTGCTCTTGCTGCTCTACAGGCTCGGGTGCATGAAGATGAGGGAACATGCTCCCCAATTGTGACGGGCCCGCGTGCCATCCCAGTTCGCGCTGCAGACTAATTACCATGTGTGCGACAGCCGAACATGTGCGCAGTACTCCACCGACTACCGGACTAGACGCTGGGAAAGGGAGATGAGGGGGGCTTGGTTCATGGCAGAAGAGGAAACAGATGAGTGGCAAGAAGACGGTGGATTGTGCTGGACCTGATGGCAGCGGCTCCCCGGAAGCAGCTACTCGGGTAAACAGTTGGGCATCTTGTTGAGAGCCGTGACGGCCAGGACGGATTGCCCGCCTTTTTGCTTTTTCCGCGCCTTGTCGTCCTTCTACTCCGCAGTCGCGCTGCCAATATTCTCTCAAGTGGTGAGGAGGTCTGACTAGAGGCACTAGAGGCATCATGGACCGCCAAGGCCACGAATTTCAGCCAAAAGGTGGTCTCAGAGAGGAGCGACTCCCAGACTCTGCCGCAACATGACTCCAGGAACGGATACTTGAGGGCTCTCGGTGTCTGACCTTTGCACCCGCCCTGAACCGGCCCGGACTTGAGGTACTCTGGGCCAAGCAGCGAGGTACTGCGGTTGTCGGTCCCATCTCCCTCCCTGGCCTCCACTGAGGGGCCCCTCGTAGCACGCAAAAAGCATCTGCGCATGGACGGGCAATTTTGCAGAGTGGAAAGGGGGAAATTTGCCCATGCGATCCGCATCGGCGGGTCATTGCTCATGCAAGCCTCGGGGGGCCTGTTGGGAAGCGGCCGGTAAGTTACGAGTAAGACGCAAGGCTGAGCGGCGAGCGACATGTGCAACGTGCCTGGTCGCGATTCGACGGCGCGTGTTTCTGCGCAACAGAGCGCTATTTGATTGCGCGTCTGAAGCTGAGGGGGCGCCGCGCGGGTGTCTATCCGTAGACGGGCCATGGTTGGGAGTTGGGATGGGCAAGAAGGAAAGCAAAGACACGCAATACCAGACACAGACACACATGTACGTACGCTGCATCTCCGACGTCGCCCTCGTCGTCGGGCGTCCGACGGTTCCAAGGGAGGGGGACGGTTGCTGTGCACGATGAGTGATCAGATTGAGACGTCTCGTCTGCTGCATCTACAGTACATGACGACGCGGCGTCCAATCTGGAACAGGCAAGACGCCTCGTAGCGCACACCGGGCTCCCGTGCCGTGGCACTGCGACGGCGCACAGGGCGTACTAGTAGATGAAGATGTGCATACAACGTGGAGAGACAAGCTAAGCTTTTGACCCTTTGTCTTCTGTGCTTTCTTCCTTGTCAGCCCCCAAATCTGTTGGTGGGTATTAACTTAGATCGGATCATGGAAAAAGGGCCATGGGCCAAATTGCCGGGGCAGCGCTCAAGGCAGCAGCGAAGAGGACCGTGGCAGTTGCATTGCGGCACAGGAAGGGATAGGTACCTAATACCTTAGGTACAGGATCTTACTGATTGAGGGAGGGTACCTAAGGTAGGTACCTACTACCGAGTACGGATACCGCTCACAGACCGAGGCGGCTGGCAGGCGACGGTTTGCAGCGTGTAGACCGGCTTATACCTAAGTTACGTCCCGACAAGGTAACGGTATTCGAGCAGAAAACGCGGGTGAGCCGTTTGCTGCGTGTGTGACCACGCCGTACCGGCCGTACCGCCCGCTTCCCGTCCACCCTTCAGGATGGATGGATGGAGGGATGGTGCAACATGGCCTGCGCGACATTCCCGCGCCGTCCTCTGTGTTTCGCAACATGCTGCAATGCGATGCCCGTGGCCGAGATGCCTGACGGGCCATGATTGGATGCCGGTAAGGTACCGAAGCATAGAGCAATACGAACACGGCCTCCCCCAATCGCCGCCGTGGAAGGAAGAGTGAGGCCGCCGCTGCGGGTGACTGCTGCTTTGCCCCGCCCGCATCAACTGACGACGGCTCGCCATGAATAAAAAAGTTGTGCAGCTGCCCGCGTGTACCATTCGCATGTAAATTACGGAGAATTAGACAAGAACTGTCACCCTCTCGTTTGCCGTACGCTGCACTTTTTCTTTTGGCGGGTCCCGAGGGGAGCAAAAAGAGGGCCTGTGCCCTCTGCCAGTCATCCCGACAGGCCGTCCAACCAGGGTGCTTGACCTCACCTCACCTCATCATGCCGATTCAGCCCGGCCAGCCCCTCTTGGAGAGGTGGGCGCACGGGTTCGTGAGGTCGGCGTTGGCCGGTGGGTGTCGCAACCCCGACCGAGGTTTACTGTGGAGGAGCCTGAAGGAGGGCGCTGTGGACACTAGGCCACTTTGGCCCGCCGCAGTAGCTCCCAGGCGCCACTGCGCCAGGAACAGGGGCTGAAAGGCTCCGTAGGTACTGTACTGTAGGTAGTGGAACGCGGCCGCGGATTCGTTGGAATTGCCCAATTGGAGGCGCTCTGGCCTGCAAGTCTGGACGGCGCGGCCGTGTATGTGCGTGCTTACATAGTTGCCCATTGGTCTTCGTACACACAACAGAGCCCGCTGGGCAGGCTGTTTATTGTATCCGTAGCTGTCTGCGTATTCGTATACCCATCGAACCCATTGAGAGAGTGAGTGAGTACCTTGGGTATTTGAGCCACACGGCATTTGATGTACACCCACTCCGGGTAGCGAGCGGCTGTATGGAATGGATGGCCGGGGAGCCAAAGGAGCGACATGTCTGCAGCTCGAGACAGGTATGGCACAGGTATGGCACTTGCATGTTGCAACGCCCTACAGAGTAAGTGCTCGACGGTCCTCTTCTCTCACTCTTCTCCACCTCCCCCAGCCTCTTGGGGCTGCCGACGGCATGGACTGGCGAAAAGAGGCTCGCTCAGCCGAGGAAATCAGACCCTTATGCGCGTGCAGTAATTAGCCTCTGGATGGCACGATGTCTACTGTGCAGTACAGTACAGTACAGTACAGTACAGTACAGTACAGCGGTGCACGTGCACCGGCGCTGCACATTTGAGGTGTAGGTGTATGTACTCCGTATGTACCTGCAGACTGGCGCGCATTCCCAAATGGATGCGTGGTGCGGGTGGCATGACGTGGGCCCCCTGTTGGGCCCCGGCACTGCGAATAAGAATTGGGAGAAGGTCTTTGCCCACACCTCCGAAACACCCCGCCCACCCCCCTCCCCCGGCCCCCCTTCCAGCATCACCCGTGCATCTTTTCAGCCCGTCGCCCCACTGAATATCTTAGGGACGGAACTCCCGTGGTACTTACCTACCTCCAGATAGTACGGAGTACCTACCTGTAGTAGTAGGCCTAGGTAGGTACCTACCTAGGTACCTTATTGGCACTTACCTTAGGAAATAGCGGGTACTGACTGTACTCCGTACACTCTCGCCAATCTGCCATTACTTACAGCAACATCCATGCACGCTCTCCATCCATGACACAGCAAACGATAATCCATGGTTCGACGCACCCAAAAATACACCTCGCGGGCTGATCTCGTCAACCCGTGCATGGGGGCATGCTCAGCACAGGTACAGTAGTCGTAGTGGCCGTGGTAGTTCCAGGCCATGGCCCAAGTCGACCCAAGGACGGTTTGCTTTGCGCTGTCGCCGGTATCCGCACCCGCTAGACCCTCTGTAGGAGGTACATTGCGCTGCCCGTCTCTCGTCGTTCAGTTGTGATATCCCCAAGTCTCCTCCTCAGAGACTTTCCACTCCCATCCTCTCCCCTCCTCTCTCTTCCTCGCTCTCTCGCTCTGTACCCTGCCGTCTAACCCCAACCTGAACCACCCTCCCCCCCTCCATTGCCAAATCTCCGCGCTCTGAGCCGCCTCTTGTCTCCGTCGACGACATCTGGTGCCTCTGCCTCCCGTCTCGCGCCTCCGATCGGGGCCTGCCCGCCCAAGCCGACTTCATCGACCACTGATGTCAAGAGCCTGTCCCTCCTCCCGGCCCGGCTTCGCTCGTCCAGCCGCCGATCTCTCGCGGGATTAGCAGCTGCTTTCTCCATGCGGAGCTTGCGAATACCACGACGACGCACGACTTGTACCACTAGCCGCTTGGAGCTTCTCTGTCGACCAACTCCCCTGCCCCCCTTCCCTTGCTTGCTTTTCTCTCTCCCTCCCCTCCTCTCTCCGCCTCCCTCGCCCGCTCTCTCTCTGCCGCGTGCACCCTCTTTTTATCCGACACGCCGTCGTCTGTTCTAGCCTAGAGCCTCGTCCCTCTGCTGGCCGGACAAAGGTGTAGAGGGATGTTGGAGTTGGGTTGATTGCCTTCCTCTTGCCGTCTCCCGGCACGCTTCTCAGCAGACGTTTGTGTGTCAACGACGGACGGCGCCCTGCATATTTCGTGCCGCGTCGAAGCCCCTCTGCTACCACCATGGCCTCGGCCGTGGAACAGTCCGCGCCGCTCTTCTCTCGTTCACAGTCCAACCCCAACATCTTCTCGCTGTCGTCGTTCGAGAAGCCCACGGCCAGCCCCGCCGCCTCTCTTCACCACGAGGTGCTCGACTGGAAGAGCTGGGCCGACATCCCGGCCTTCGAGGTCCCCTCTTTCAACTCCGACTTCGAGCTCGACACCTCCGTCTTCGCCAATGGCAAGAATCCCTCTCCGTCTCCCAGGCCCGAGCCGCCTCCACAGGAGCTCGAGGTCCCAGACAGAGTGTCCCGAAAGAGCTCCGTCGCGCGCTCGAGGACCGTCTCCCTGATCAACCGACCTCGCTCATGGCTCTCGTCCAGTTCCAAGTCGACCAAAGATGCTGCAAACGACGACCGGCGGAGCAGACCCCCTTCGTCGGCTGACGACAACATCCCTGCCCCCGTCGCCGCGTCCTTGGAGCCGTCCGAATCCAAATCGTCGGACCGAGGCATGCCAACCCCGGCCACCTTTGCCAACTTTGCCAGGTGGTCGTGGACGACTGCGTCTCGCTCGCCATCGCCCAAGACAGTGCCTAAACCCGCCCCCGCCAAGCCGCCAGCCAAGCAAACCAAGGCGCCACCAGAACGCCTGCAGCTTATCATGGACCCCATCACGGAGTCCGACTCGAGACAGACGAAACAAGCCAATTCCGCCGATCCAACCAAGCCGGCCAAGCCGATCAATCGCTCGGGTTTATATTTCGCCAAGATGAAGAACAAGACACCGGCTCTCGCCGTAAGGGCTCACGAGGGCCCCGACTCCGACAATAGCTGCGCTTCGTCGTCGACGAGCCTCGGGAACAGAGCCTCCAACAGCGACAAGACGAGTGCGTCGCAGTCGACCTGCAGCGACGGCAACACAGACACCCCGGTGACGGACTTGTCGACCGAGACGACGTTCCCCCAACACGATCCCTTGTGGCCTTCCTTCAAGTCCCTCGAGGCGGACCTGAAGGGCTTTGGAATAAAACCCACGGCGCAGCGTGTCGGCCAAATCAAGAATGGCCTCGTGCCCTTTTTGAGGAACTCCATGGACCACAAATCGGTCAAGAGCTTGAAGCTCGAGGATGTCGACCGGAGGGCCACCGTGCTGAACAAGTGGTGGGTTGCCCTTCTCGACATGCTGTACGACCGAGCCCAGCATCCCGTCCCAGGCGTCGACCGTCCCATTCTACTCGAGGCGGCGACCCTGCTCATGATGCGCCCCGAATGGCGGCAGGCCACGACCTACTTTCAGCCGCTGTCTGAACGATGTCCGGCGGAGCGTGTCCGATCGAGATCCTGGACCAACGCCTCCCAGTCGACCGACGCCTCCCACCGGTCGGCGCTACTGATGGAGTCGGCCGAGCACAACGTGAGAACCATGTTTGTGTCGAACCTTGTAAGGCAGATGGGCTACGTGGTGGAGAAGATGTCGGTGCGCCACGCTCCGCTGAGCTTGGTCAACTTTGCCGGCAAGACCTGTGCATATGCCTTCTTCTTCGCGCCGGGCGTGGCGGACATCCTCGTTCGGCTGTGGGGCCTGACTCCAGAGCTGATCCGTCGCACCTCAGACGTGTTCAACCTACCCCGAAAGGACGGCGGGGAAAGCGACGACATCGTGGCCCTCTTCCCCCCCAAGCTGGGTCCTCTGGGCTGGACGTCGGCGAGAGCAATGTGGGACATGCTGAAGCAAATTCCCAAGATGTCGCTCTTCGTCGCCAGGATCGGCTGGACGGGGCCTTGGGTGTCGCGGTGGAAAGGCCGCGACACCGATCTCTTCTTTATCTTTTGCAAATACTTTCACGTTCTCTTGGACCAATTCATCCCGCCCGGTCTGCCCGTGACCGAAAAGGCCCGATCCCCGGCCTTTCTCCTGATTCACGCCCAGCTCCTCTCCATCATCGATACGACGATCCACCGGCAAATGGCCCTTGAACACGCGTATGGCCCTCCGTTGATGGACTCGGCCAACGGGGCCGATGCGTCAGCCATGGCCGTACCGCTGCCTCCGACGAACCTTCTAAGGAACATGTCTGAAAATGGATCGGTGATCCTGCTCCGAGACTTTCTCGCCGACGACGCCCCTGAAGTGGTGAGCGCGCGTCACACGTTCGCCGAGGCCTTTGCGTGCCTGATAAAGGGGGCAACATGCAAGACGTCCCAGTACAACAGCGCGGCCTGCTTTACGCTGTGCGATTTCCTCGACGAGGTGATTGTGATTTACCACGATTTCGAATCCCGGGATGCACGGTCGAGCTACATCGACTGGGACTTCTGGCTCGAAGTCTGCAAGCGCATCATGAGCTCCCTCAACACCATGTCGGAGGTCCGCATGCTCTCTTTCCTCCATACCATCTGGGACGCGGTGGCCAAGGATCCTCGGCGCAAAGCAACGTTCTGTTTGGAGTGGCTCCTGACCGAGGAGACGTTCAACTCCTTCTTCAATAACTGGTGCCCCATGGTCCGGGCCTACTACCAGCGTCTTTTGTGCTGGAGGATCTGCCGTGACGACGGCAATGCCAATGAGGTGGATCTGTAAGTTAAGACCCTCGAGCCAGCGAGTGAGAGGCCAAAGCTGACACGAGGGGTCTAGCAACATCATGCTCGTAGCGTCGGCGAGGCTCAAGACTGTTTGGTCTCACTACCTGTATCTGAAGAGGAGCGCAGAGGAAGCCGGGCGCGCCCTTCCCTCGACCATCCCCATGAGTCCTGCTGTTGGCAAGAAATTTATGATTGTCCGCCAAGAGGTCAACTCGGCGCCACCAGGCGTCTTTATGGGATTCGACACGTTTGCCCGATCCAGCGCCAACGATGCTCTGCCCGCCCACTGCTACCCAGAAACGCAGCTGCTGGTCAAGGGCGACTCGAAGAAACGGTGGTCCTTACTCGGCAAGGTTCTCTCCATGACTACCGGCAGCAGCACCGGCCAGCCGATGGCCTCGGAAGGACCTGTCAGAAGTCCAGTCGCGGAAAGCGATCCGTTTACCGCTCGCCGGGGCGCGATGGAGCTTTCGACGCGCGCCATGGCGCCGATGCTTTCGAACGGAGCCAAGCCTACCTTCAAGACGCCCGCGATAGAACCGGACTCTCTTGGTTCGTCCCCAGTCTACGACGAACAGAGGTACACCTTTAGATTCATACTAGGCTGGGTCCAGCAGCCCGCGCCGACGATAGGGCGTGACCTGACACGCCCCAAGCTCCCCGCCCCCGCGCAGGCTCAGGTTGCCGCAAGAGCTCGAGACAGGCCCGTGACGCCGACGGCGCCAGTTCATAGACCGAAGGCGCGGCGTGCCGAAGATGCAAAACTTAACGGACCGAGCCAGACGGGAAGGCGGACCTCGGTGAATGCCTCCGTGGAGGAGTGGCTCAGAGACACGTCCATGGCGACGATTGGACTGGGCAACGAAAACTGGAACATGAGCAACCCAACCATTGGCGAGAGGCGTGTCAATCCTGGTGCCGGGTCTAGAGCGGGAGCGCAAGACCATGAAAGTGCCCGGGAGACGTTGGTCAAGGCGGTGAAACCGAACGGGATATTCGGCAAAAACTCGGTATACTCGGGTCGGGCTTTGGCCGAGTGGGCCCACGTGGTGGCGGAGTATAACAGCTTCGTGGAGCGCCGGCGGGAAGAAGGAGTCGAACGCCTGGGCGAGGTGGAAGTACCCGGGCTCGGCGTGGAAGGGTTTCGCAAGATTGGTGGCTAGCGGCCACGCCGGCGATGCTGAGAGAAGCGGCCGAGGCTCGTTTCTCACCCACGCGTTTACTTGCACAAGGGTTTTTTTCCCCTTTTCTTTGCCGTGCAAATGCGAGAGGGAATTGTGTGTTGCATGCTGCATCTGAATCCGACGCCCCGACTCCTTTGGACAAGGGACGGGGACGTGCCTTGGGGTGTTGGAGTATATTTCTGGTTGCTGGAACTTGGGCCCGAGGGCCATTTGGCTTGTGGGTTGGCGTTTATCGGATTCACAATGGTGAATAATTATAATGCGGTGCCAGGGGATGAAATTTTGATATCACTGGAGGGCGGCGAGAGGAGAGGATCTGACGAACAGAGTGGGAATCAAATGGCTAGGCCGAGTGTGGGGGATTTGGGAGAAACTGCATGCGCATAGGGATCAATACCACGGATCATGATGTTGTCACGCGGCGCTTGGTGATGAAATGCCAGGTGCAGTAGTCGGCAGCGCATGGTCGAGGCGGGCCACGGCAGTGCCGGGAAAAGCGGGGCGGGGCGGGGCGGGGCGACCATTGAGAGACGAGGGCATGGCCGAATGGGGCAAGCGAGCGGATGCGGAGGGCTACTGCATGCGCGACGGCTCGATATGTGGTGTGTAGGGTTTGTAGGGCTTCGGATGCACATGGATACGAATACGGGAGGCGTGCCTGAGACGGCCGAGCTTTTCTGACGGGGGGCTTGGCGCCTCTGATCTGTGCTCGCCAATCTGGAACGGAGAGCGCATACAGCAAATGAGGCATGTGTAACGCAGCGCTTTTGTGGCGTGTGATGGAATGAAAACGACGAGAATAAGAAAGGGTGTGCAGCCGGGGGAGGCGAGGGCGGGCTTGGCTGCTTGTGCTTACGAAGTCGTGCACGTGAATGGACGGAAGTCGACGTATGGACGGAAAGCAACGCTGTATTCTAGAAGGATACTATACAGAATTAGTTCGGTGGCGTTTTGGGGGGGAAGGGCTGTTTGACGATGCCTGAGCGCAGGCCGAAGATGGCAAGTGTCAGTTGCATGCTTGGGTACGAGGCCGCCGTGCCGCCCAAGAAGGGCTCTGGGCTGGTCGGCCAGCGCGGGAGCCGCCGGATCTAGACGTGTTAGTATTACTCGGCTGGTGGTGCGTGAATGGAGGCGCGGATGATTGACGGGCAAGTGCAAGCCAAAATACAGTTGCTACGTATTCGTACTTGGGCAGTTTGCAGAAGGAGCCGCAAAGGTGCTCCCCCCCCTCTTCCCCCCATTCCCCCGTTGAGGTTTTTCCCCCCTGCCAAGGCCCTGGCTGACGTCACAGGGACAAGAGGGACATGAAGGGACGGATGAGGGGGACCAAAAAATGCAAGAAGGTGACGAGGACCGGGCTCGTGATTTGGCGCCTCGGCGGGCTCGTCTGTCTCTTCAAAAAGCAGCAGCAGCAGCAGCAGCGGTGACCCCGACAGCAGCAGCAAGCAGGGCCTGGCCTTGTTCGGCTTCCTCCCCCTCCCCCACTGAAAAAAAAAGAAGGGGTGCCGTGCGAGTCGGGTGTGGCAGAATACGAGTTTCCCTCATTTTTTTTTTAAGTCACGGGGCTGGGGGGGTGTTGGAGCTGGAATCATGAGAGGGCGTTTTTGGTCGGCGCAGTGCCGTTCCAGTGCTGCACGGATATGGTATACTCGGTCGGTAATCAATCGTCTTGGGATAATGGAGGAATTCTCTGGCAATTGATAATTGATTCCTCTCCGCGTCCGGAACAGCAGCTCGCTCTCACCTCTCGCCGCCGGGCTCGCCAGCTCTGTCTCAACCCCCCTCCCCCCACCATGTTTCAGGCAAGGATTGGCGTCTTTTCGTGCCCGTTCCCACCAAAATCCACGAATCTCCTTGTCGTTGGAGGATGCGGGGCAAGTATTCGTTGGTGCTGCTGCTTGGTAGCTACAGCACATGCATGACGGGATACGTGCATTCGACAGCAAAAGAAGATTGATGCTGTATTCGTCCTCTTCATTTTCTTCTTCTGTACCGAGTACTCTGTCATGATTCTTTGCCCCGTAATGCATAGCTCCTCCAACTCAGAGAGAGGGGGGGGAGTGCCAGAGAAGAGAAGAGAAGAGGGAGGAGGGGGAAAGAGGCAGGGAAAGAGGCACCCATCGGCCCATCATTTCTCCACTTTTCCTTCTTTTCGATAAGGAAAGCACTAATTATTATCGCGACCGCCGTCCCTGTACATACGAAGGCGGAACAACCCATTTTTCCCCATCCATCTCCGTTTCCTTTGCCTCGCTTGATTAATCTGTCTGTCCCCTTATTACCCTCCCCCCCCTCTCTCTCTGCCTCTCTCTTTTTCCATCTCCGGTTCTTCATCAGCTTCCTCCCCCCCCCCTCCACAACCCTTAACCCCCCAATCCTCCTTTTCCTTTCTCTTCTCTTTTTCCTATTCTCTTCATCCCCCTCGTCCGGGCCCGTCCGCTCATCAATCTCGCCGGCCCGACAACAATTCCTTCGCCTTTCATCACCGCCTCGTCATCCCTCCGTCACTGCATACAGACAATAATATCCCATCACCACCCGCGCCATGTCGACAATGGCCGCTCTGTCCCCCGCCGCCCCCGCCTCCTCGGCCACCCATCTCCAGGTCCCCGGCGTCGCTGCCACATGCTCGCCGTCGGGCGTCCCCGTCCGCCCCAAGTTCAATTCGCACCTCACCTCGGATCGCCTGCGCGAGGGCGCCGGCCTCTACCTGCCCCCGGCCTTCCGCACCGGCCGCAGCAATATCCGCAAGGGCCGCACCTCCGTCTTCAAGGAGCTCGGCCTCGACGACCCCCATTGCCCCCCTCCCTCTCCCGTCGTCATTCTCGATCACACCCACTTCCTGCCCGCCGCCGCCGCCGCCCCTCAGCCCTGCCCGCGTGCCGCCGCCTGAGAGTGAACCCGGGGTCTTGCTGCCGTCCTTGTTTCGCCACCATGGTCCTGTTGGCAGCTTCGTCCCCGTCATCATTAGTGAGTGACCGAGCGGCGGCGCATCACAAGGCAGCCCAATGACCCACAACGACAAACAACGACGCGAACCCACCCAACGTGAACTTCAAAAAAGGGGGGTTACAAAAAGAACGCATTTACAACGTCATACGGAACGCGATTTTATGCGCAGTCGTCCGGCGGGTCCCCTCCCTCCCGGCTGCTGGGCGGCCCGGGCCTTGCAACGCGATGACACCACCACCGAGCGAGATCCTTTTTTTTTCTCATCTTGTCATTCTTCGATTTTGGAAAACCCAGTGAGGAAAAAAAGAAACTCGTGAGAGAGTGTGAAATGTCTTATGCTGCACGGTAACCATGGCATACGGACGGCGTCGAGGTCAGCTTGCTCATCATTCGTCTTTTGCTCATTTTGTCAACTTTGCACGCGCGCGAATCATCCTTGATAATATCCGATGGCGACTTCGAATCGAGGAAGCCATGGTCACCATGGAGTGCGTACATGCGCCCCGGTCTAATCTCGAGGCCGGCGAGCCTCGGTCGATACCCTTTTTCTTGTCATATTTTATTGCACGTATTGCTGCTTGTTCGTCTTAGGCATGAATCGCATTCAGATATCCTTTTCTTCATCAAAAAGTAACCGATGCAGTCTTGTGTGAAAATTGAGCCTTGCAAACAAGTTACAAGTTCGGTAGTTGCAGGTAACCAAAGAAATACAAGTTGCCGCCGCAGAAGACGTTTCCATCAGAGTCCGCGGCCCAACGACACGCCAGACGCCTCGCATGCTGTTTCAACAATCATCGCCCTTCTCATTCCTTACATCTTCTCCAGGTCCTTCTTGGGCATCGTCTTGACAAACGCGTGCCCGAGAAAATGCAGCCAAGTCTCGTTCTTTTCGCGGTCCTTGTTCTTCTTCTTGCCCTTCTTGTTCTCCTTCTCGACGTCAGCATTATCATCGTCAGCGTCGTTTGCCTCAGCCTCAAGCTCAACTCCCTCGTCATCGTTGTGATCCAGCGCGTCCCTTTGCTTCTCCCGCCGCATGCGATACGCGAGGTGCAGGTAACGCTTGACCGTGAGGTCCTGCATCTTGTAAAACCTGTCGTCGGCCGTGCTGTACTCGACCTGGTACTCGAAGCCGCGGGGCCGGGGCTTGTGCTTGGGGCTCTTGCTGCCCGGGTTCCCGCCGCGCCACTTGGCCTCGCGCACGTCGTTGATGTATGTAAGGTTGGCGTAGTATTGCACGTAGCCCGTTAGGGTCAGGGGCTGGGCATGGTGCGCCGGTCCAGGGAGAGACTTCTTTGGTGGCGCTTCGGGCACGATGAGGTCGTCCTTGTCCCTGTCCTTCTTGTCACCCTTCTTTTTCCGGCCCCGCTTCTTCTCGGCCGTCACCTGTCGTCTAAGCTCCTGGTGCTCTTCTTCTTTATCCTCCTCTTGTGACTGTGGCGCGGCCGGAGGCGAAACCGCTTGGCCGTCAAAGGTATCCTTCCAGAGCACTGCCTGCTCAAGGCCGGTGATGTTGTACTCAAAGACTCGCAGCGTCGGGAGGTAGTTTGGCACGACGCTCGGGCTGACAAAGGACACGTGGTAGCGCTCTGCGTGCTTTCCACCAATGTTTCTGTACTTGTGCTTCTTCTTGTGCTTCCTGTGCTTCTTGTTGGTGACCTCGCCCGAGCCATCATCGTCGTCGTCGTCGTCGTCATCGTCGTCGCCGTCGCCCTCTTGGAGCACACCGATAATCGGGTCTGGTAGATCGGACCACTCGTCGCGCAATTCCAGGAGATAGTCGCTCTTGGACTGAATGGACACGCCACCGTCGGGGCTCTCTGTGTCCTGTTCTTCTTCGTCGCCGCCGTCGTCATCTCCTCCAAGCCTGTCCACGTCCCCAACCAGATCCAGCTGCTCGGTATCCTGGAGCAAAAAGTGGTCAATGTTCATGTGGCCAAAGACGGAGGCGGTGACGACGTCACGGTACTGGCGCAGCCATAGCGTGTACCTCTGCCAGCACGTCTCGTCCCAATTCTGCTTGCTGTCGGTCCTGGCCGGGGGCACGTGGCCCATGAGGATGGCCTTGAGGTGGCGCTGGCGCATGCGCTGCAGCTGGACACGCAGCCACTCCATGTGCTTGTAGCCCGGCTCCGAGGGGTCGGCGCAGCCGTCGACGGCGGCGTTGCGCTCAAAGAAGAACATGGTGTTGAGGCTGAAAACGGCAAGCTTGTTGGGGATGACCTCGACATAGAACCAGCCGCCGTACTGGAAGGAGTGGCGCTGGTCCTCGGGAATGAAGCGCTTCCAGATGTCGCCGTAGGCCCGAAACCATCTGTTGGGCCCGGGGTTCATGATGTTGTGTGGCAAAAAGTCATTGTTTCCAAAGGTAGGGATGACGGGCACGGAGAGTTTGCCGTCACGGGGCGAGGCAAAGGTGTCGACGACCTTGCGGGCGACGGCGCGGTTCGAGTCGAGGACGGTTTTTGCAGTGCGGGGGTGCTTCTCGTCGCTGTCGTGGCGGGCCGAGTCGCCGGTCCAGACGACAAAGTCGATGTCGTGCTTGATGTTGTCTGCAATCCAGTCGAGGGTGGCGTTGACGAGGGCAAATGGCGAGTCGCAGTCGGTCTTCTCTGCGCCGTAGGTACCGGCCATGCCCTCGCCGCGGTGGCAGGCGATGCCGGCGGCCGAGGACGAATGGACCTTGTAGAGCTCATCGGGGTGGAGGTCTGCGGATGCGGGGGGGCTGTATGTCAGCGATGCTGAATTGTTGTTGTGGGAGAGGAGGAGGAAGAGGAAGAAGGCATGGTGGGGGAAGAGTTGCAGATCTCGATAGCGATAAGGCGTGGTGGTTTCATACCGGTAATGTGCAGGAAGCGACCATGTAACTGGGGCGACTCGGGCTCTCGCGTCTGCACGCGGCCGGCGACCGACGACGATGCGACGAGAAGGAGGTGGATAAACAGGGAGCCCGCGTGGAGCCTCATGGTAGCGGCGAATAGAGCTCTGAGTCGGAGGGTTCGGCCGAGCGAGGGGATGAAGAGGTTTGAGCGAGGCGCATCAGGTTCAGAGACAAGGTGATGTGTCAGAGAGGAAGTATAACCAGGGAGCGAGCTCCACCAGCTCACGAGAGAGGCGTTCAATGGATCGTTCGACGGCACTGCCGGCCTGGTGGCTGTTGTGGGTGAAGTAGAAGGTTGATTGGTGGATGGCGGACCCAAACTTTAACAAGTGCCCTTCCGAGAGACGAGGTCTGGAGGGAGCAGCGCTTTATCGGAGGAGAGAAAGAGAAAGCAGGCAGGTTATAAATCCGGCAAGGGGAAGAAGGACTGAATCAGGGCCACGGAGTCGATGGGGGCCAAGGCTTGAAGCTGCGACGGGGTGTGGAGAAGTACACCGAGGCTGCGTACCCGCAGACAGTCATCTGTGGTGGCGCATGTGGGCAACGTCAGGTGCCCTGTACAAGCCACGCAAGTCTCGGGCCTCTCTTGCTTTTACCGATCCCTGGCGGTGAGAGGGCAGGGGAAACAGACGATACCTGCTCCTACCCGGTAGCAGCACTGATGAGGGCCTGCTGCCGGTACTCGCTCCCGCCCCTGCCGCCCTCCCACACTCCCGCTAAATTAATGAATTACTGCAATGCCTGGAAACGCCAGCTCCAATGGCACTTCTCATCCGCCACACATGGGCTGCCCTCGAATAGCAGGGCTCCACCCGTTCGTCCGGCCGGCGTCATCACACCCTCTCTCATGCTGTTGGCTTTGGCTGATCCGATCGCTGTCCTTGGCCGGCCTTCTGACGTGAGAGAGAAATGACCGCATCTGTCCCTCATCATCCTGCAAATCCCGAACCTCGGCGAGTCTCTGCACTGCAATAAGCCGTTCCCTTTGTTCCCCGATGTCATCGTCGCAGCCGGTATAACCAATGCCGTGTCTGCGTGTGCGCGCATGTGCACTCAAGGACAACCAGCGAGCCCCCATGGGGAACCATGCAACAACCGCCTGTCTTTTCTCCCCACGGACGGACGGTATGTGCGTCTCTCCTCTCCTCTTCATGACATGTGAAAGTCGACGACGGGGTGGGCTTTCCGTCTGAAGCTTTCTGGCAGGGGTCTCGAGCTGTGTCCCGTAGATGCTATGTACCTCGCTGCCCCACATTCCCGTCCGGAGTACGGGCCAGAGTTTGCCCGAGGAATCGATATTTGGCTCTCATTTCCCCCCTCTTCTTCTTGCTTTTCAACTTCAACGCAACATTCGTCTCGTCGCGGCCCTCGCCGCCAGGCCTCTCCTCTCCCCAGTAGAGAGTCGCCGCCTCCCGAGTACTTCGTTGCCAGACGAAACCCCCTGCCGCCTGTTTGAGGGAGGCCGTCTCTTTGCTTTCGAGCGTAACGGCCTCCCATGGTTTTGCGTGGCAACATCCTGCTCCCCTCACCACTTTGTCTCTGGCCAGCCCATCCAGCCGTCCAACCTGGCCCAGTGCTGTGCATGGGCTTCATCATCCTGGGCCGAAATATTTTGCCATCGTGTCGGAACCTTGGATAGCAAAAAGCGGTTAGCAAATATGTACCGAAGATATTTCTCTCCAGGGAAGAAGAAGAGAGACGGCGAGTAGGAGGGGGGCTCTAGACGGGGAATATGTACACGTGCAAATGTGTCTAGTTGTAAAAGAACAAGTCTCCCGGCTGCTCGACCCAAGGAACTAACCAACGTACCAAATCGAGTAAACAGCCGTTCCATCAACCTTGCCGTGCCGTGAGTCTCCTTGGCGCGTGGCCGATGCCGATGCCATGTGCAACTCGCCGATTTGGAAGGTAGCCGTCAGATGGGGGAGCCATCTCCGACAACACACGCACCAGTAATGCAATTGCTGGAGCTAGCTTGCCACGTTTCCTCCCTGATGAGGTGGGTAGATTTTGGAAGCGTTCTGTTGCCCGAGAGTGATGACGGCCGAGAACGCTGGTGGTGATGGTGTGATGATGATGCTTCCAAAAGAAATGCTGATGAGGACCCAAGAAATGCCAGTGATGGAGGGGGAAAATGGCGCAACCAGTTCCTGCTTGGTTTTCCCATGGGCTTCCGTCAAAAGTCTCTTCTAGACACATGGCAAGAACCTTCCTCGCCCTCCTTCCAGCCCTACATCTATTTACCCCTCTCCTTCCCCTTGACGGGTTTGAATTGAGCGTCCGGGAAGGAACCGATGCACGAATCTTCACAAGTCCCGCAGCCAGACTCTCTCCCCATTGGAAAACGAGGCGTAAGAGCTGACCTGTGGCCTTTTCCCATTCAAGGGCACGCGACTTCAGGTGCAAGATGAAGACACGTCACCGCCCGGTCCCTGTCACGAGCCTGGCCCCCGAGATATACGGCGACTGACCTTTCCAGAGGCCCCAAGCAGCACCCAAGCCACCAACCGGCGCTTTTCCTCCCCCGAACCGCTTTCGTAATGTATATAGCTTCTCTGGTTCACAAGAAAGACAAGACTCCTTCGGCACAACGCTAAACACAAATCTGTTGAAACATTCCCAACCTTGCAGTTCCGGCAGAATACACGGCACACGGGGAGTTGAGTCCCTCGACCCCTCGACCTTCCACTTCTCTTGCCATACCTCCCCTATCCCGCCTGGACACCAGCCTTGACGTAGCGCGTCGGCACAAACGGCATCTTGGTCACGACGCCCTTTCTCTTACGGCCCCGGACGACAATGTCCAGCTCGGTGCCCGCCGTGTGCTGGCCGGTCCTGACGTAGCCCATGGCAATGTTCCTGCCCAACGTCGGGCTCGGCACCCCGCTCGTGATGCGGCCCACGCTCTGCCCGTCGCCGCTCTGCACCTCGGCACCCTCGCGGGCCGGCGCGCCCTCGACGACGAAGCCCACGCGCCGCCGCTCCACGCCCCGGCCGCCCTTGCTCTTGGGCGTCAGCTGCGGCAGGATGACATCGGCCCCGTGGAACCCGCCCGCCTTGCGGCGCTCCGGCGGGATAATCCAGCTGAGGCCGGCCTCGACGGGCGTCGTCGTATCGTCGAGATCGTGCCCGTACAGGCACATGCCGGCCTCGAGGCGCAGAGAGTCACGCGCCCCTAGGCCAGCGAGCCGCAGGGACTCGGGGCCGGCGACCTTGAGGAGCGCCTCGACGGCGCGGCTTGTCGTCTCGAGCGCCGGGTACAGCTTGCCGTTGAGGGAAATCTCGAAGCCGTCCTCGCCCGTGTAGCCACCACGACTGATGAGGACAGGGTGCGTCTTGCTCCCGTCGGCAAGCTTGAGCTTGGCCCAGACGGCGTTGCCAAAGTAGAGGGCGTCGAGGTCGACGTCGGTGGCCAGCGCCTGCTTGAGCAGCTGGACGGCCTTTGGGCCCTGGAGCGCCACGAGGCCGGACCCGTCCAGCCTGGTCCACTCGACGCCGCCGCCGAAGCTGCCCAGCTCGCGGTCGAGATAGTCGGAGTCCTTGTCGAGGCAGGCGCCATTGGTGACGACGTAGTACTCATCCTCGCCGATCCTGGTGATGACCGAATCGTCGACGATGCCGCCGCTGTCGGGCCACAGAAACGTCGTCAGCTTGCTCTGCATGTGGCCCATGTTGCTCCATGCCGAGGGCGTCACCTTCTCGAGGAAGGCGGCGGCTGCGGGGCCCCGGAACGTGTGCTGCACCATGTGGCTGACGTCAAAGAGCGAGGCATGCTGGCGCGTGAAGTGGTGCGACTCGGCGAGGGAGGCGCCCGCATACTGCACGGGCATGCTGTAGCCGGCAAAGGGCACCATCTTGCCGCCGTGGGCGAGGTGCAGGTCGTACAGTGGCGTCCTCTTCAGCTCGGAGCCGGCCGCGTCGGAGGCGCACCGGACCTGCTGGCAGGTCCTCAGCGCCGGCTTGACGCGGCGGGCCCGCACGCGGGGTGCCGTCCGGACGGCGGATGCGAATCCCTTCATCTCGGCTTGTTCGATGGGCGAAGGGGAGGTGGGTGGGAGAGGAGGAGAAAAAGGCGGGAAAAAGTGTAGTAGCAGGTAGGCACTATATAGGTAATAAGCCGAGGCGGCTGAAGATGGAGCGCCGGTCCGACGCCGATGAAGACCCCGCCAAGCCCTAATAGACACTGCCGATTACGTATAAAGTACCGGAGAAGTTACGGTACATGCCCCTTCGACTCGGGGTTTGCAGATTAACCGCGCTCCTGGAATGGCGCGCTTATCAGAGTTCACGGTTACTGGAGGTAGATAAGGTACCTTACACCTCACCCAGGTGGACGGCATAATCGGTTATGCTGCCGTCTACAATCTCAGGCGAGCGAGCCTCGATAACTATTTACACAATGGTAAGGTAGTTTAAATAGGTGCGGGGTTGTCAGGTATCAGCTCAGGACCGGAACCGAACAAGTTCCCCTCCTACTTGCTCGTCCATCCCATCCTTGTCTACAAGACAACCTACCTACCTCTCTTCTTGACGTCTCGCATTGCTCCAACCATGACTTGCATCCCAATCACTGTTGACGGCTCTCGTCTAAAATCAGTGCATCTTCGTACAGGGTCGCACAACGACCACGTCGAACCGGTTCCCCTTCTTCCCGCGCATGGATGAGAAACAGGGCCGAGGTTTAGAAACAGGCGCGAAATAAAAGGAATAGGCAACGAAAAGGGGCGCGGGGACCGAGGACAAAGGCAAGGACAACGGTGCCGCCAGCCAGCAGTGGCCTCCCTGCTACGCCTCCCATTGCAGGCCTAGTTTTGCTCAAAGCTATACTTGAGCCATCCGCCGAGTGCCCGCAAACTTTCCCACCGCACGCTCTCGTCGTCCGACTGCATCAGCTCCATGACCCTCCTCTTGAGGCCCACCTTCTCCAGCTGGTAGCGCTTCTCCGGCACCTCCTTCACCAGGCAGCCAATGTCGTTGCACGCAATCGCCAGCACCTGCTTGTCATTGTCCCAGGGCTTCTGCATAATCTCGGCCAGCTTCCTCGGAATCTCTCCATTCTCAAACTCGAGAATCTTGCGCGCGTTCTCCGCCCAAAACACCTGGCTGCGGTGCGGCGGCGACCAGCGCAGATGACCAGACTGCACCTCGGCCACGTACTCGTCAAACGTCGTCTTGGTCTTGGTGTACTCGTCTAGCAGCTCCTTGAGGCTCTCGAGGTCTCCCTGCAAGTCGGGGTCCGTGAGATGGCGGCTGCCGAGGTTTTCCAGCAGGGCGGGGAGCCGAGCCAGGACGGCCGTGGGGAGGAGGGTCTTTTGGTTCTTCTCCAGCAGGTTATACAGCGTCGACAGAATCAGTCGCGTCGTCTTCTCCTTGGGTGACAGGCGCAGGAGATGGGTGTACAGCAGCACAATGTCATATTCGCTGTCCAGACGCGTCAGCCCCATATCGGCAACACACTCTGGTGTACTCACTCGTTTAGGTCGTCCCCGATCTCTTCCGCCTCGAAACTCATCTGCCAGATGACCAGGAGCACGTGGTAGAGAAGCTGCAAGCCCACGCTTCCGCCGAGGAAACCCTCGAAGCCTGTTGTGCGGACACTTGCGTTGCCGCTCCAGAGGCTGGCCGACGAGTTGCCTCCGTTCTCGATACCGGCAGCCGTCTGGAGGATGGTGATGAGAGGCGTCACCGTCTCACTTCTCTGCTTCCAGAACTGGTCCCGCGAGACATGGCTAAAGAGCAAGGCCGAGTACTCTTGGACGGCAATGTCTTGAAGACCGGCGTCGGAGCTCTTGGCCAGGACGGCCAAGTACGTGAGCATAACGGGAAGAGCTTGGCGAGTTGCTTTCGAGTCGTCTCGTGCGAGAGTCATGAGGTTTGTCAGGGCATGGGATGTGAGCAACGGAATGGGGTCTTCGGTGGTGTTGGAGCGGAGCATTGGCAAGAAATGCCGGTACGGGTCGGGATTGCTGAGGAGGGCCTTGGCCAGGGAGGGAACAGCTAGGTATCGGCGGAACAGTGTCCGTGTTAGCATGGAACGGGTGGTAGAATCAGACGGTGGGAGGGCATGGATGCAGGACAGGAAGCGAGACTCAACAGCAGATGAAGCTCGGCCTTCCCGACGCGACAGGGAATGGGACCGCGCTGGGAGCTTACCGTCGAAAAGGTCGGCCAGCAGCACCAGGATATACTGGATCACATTGGGGTGCTTTCCTGCCGTCTCCAAGACGCTGGTCTTGCCGTCGCCGCCGACAAACAGCAGGCGGTAGGCGTCCATGTCGGCCTCGACGATGTCCCTCCTCTGCTCGGGCTTCTTGGCCTTGTCGACGGCGCGAATCTTGGCGTATTGGTCTTCGGTCAGGGTGCCTGCCCTAACGGCCCCGTCCCAAGGAATCGGCCGCTGGCGGATGTTGCTCTGCAACGAGGCCAGATAGGTCGGGGGGTCGAGCGACATGGCGGCGGGGTCGCGGCAGCGAGCGCCAACGAGGTCGAAAGGGGGGAGATTACGGGGGCGGATGGGTGAGGAGAAGGAAAGGGAGGAAAGAATGAGGAAGCCCGACGAGATGGGCGATGATGAGGGGCGGGTGGACGGACAGGCGTGGTGCGAGGCTGGAGGGAGCTGTCGGCGAGATGATGTCGCGAGCAGATGACGGCGCCACCGCCGCATTGGTGCGCCACACAGGGCAGGCAGGACGGGGCAGGGGGAGTGGAGAGTATCCGTAGTTTATCCACGCATACGCCGATGCACCGCCTCAGCTCAAACGAGTGGCTAGTGATGCGAAGCCACCAAAGATGGAGTAGACTAGAGAAGCGCGCTGCTTTGATTTCCAGCACGGACTGGTGCTCAGATGGGACACGAAATTCCACGGGTTGTGATGCTTGTGGCGCGCACAAGCTGAGCGTGCTTTTTTGAATCGACGTTGACGTGTTTGAGCAGATGGAATGGCTGAAAGCCGGGATCATGGCAAGGCGCACCCCGGACCGGAGGACTTGGGCATGGATCGGGCCGGCCCCGCCTCGGAAGCGGAGAGGTGGAGCTGGGCGGTCCGCGGTGCACCACCGTCGCTAAGTATACCGCCGTCTTGTTGGCTATTCCCGCCGGGGCAACATGGAGCAGCACCAAACAATCACTCAACTCGGTGGGTGCCTGATTGTCTGTGCCGCCGGGGGTGCTAATGCAGGTCCCTCTGCCCAACCTACGGATTGTACGCCACGGACCAAGGCACCCTGGATGCATATCTGAGCAACCAGAGTACTGTACTGTACATGTATGCGCGGCAAACTCGCTGGGCCTGAAGATGCCGTGATGAGTTGATGGGGGGCGGACGGCGACGGCATCGCAAATGGTACCCAGCAGGGACTTCGATGTACCCGGGGCCGGGGCCAGGAGACAGCAACGACCTTGGCCCTCACTTGGCCATGCACCAGCAGACCGTTTCCTAGCTGCAGGGAGAGGATAGATCCAAGCACTCCCATGTCCCATCCAGGCTCTTGGCATTCGGCCCTCTGGCTACTTACTACGCTTGGCCGTCTGACGGGCTGCGCTGGCATTGGGCGCCGCTGCAGCAGCTGCAGGTTCTGCGTTACCCCGTCGACCCCCCCGGAGAAAGTACCCCCGCTGTACCTGCGAGTACACGCAAGCAAGCACTGACCGCCGGCCAGCAGGCAGGGCGCCAGCCAGCAGCCCCAAAACAAGACTCGGGCAAAGCCGCCGTTTCCCCACCCCGGGGGAGGCAAGCTGAGCTAGCAAGAGTCGAGGGCAAGGGAAACAAAGGAAAAGAAGAGCAACTACCCCTTCTTTGTCTCTGGCCCAGGCTGCCAAGTACGGGCCGTTGGTTCGATGAAATGGGAGGGGCTGGGTTTGGCGGACGAATCGTGGTGCGCTGTGTGGGTGTGCTGCGAAAGCGGGAGATTTTACGAGGAGGAGGTTGGGGATGGAGCCAGCGCAGAGAGTGCAATAAACGGCCAATCCTGCCGGCGAGAGCTCTTTTCCTCCTTCTCTTCTCCGGAAGCTCGCCTCGCAGCAGCGCCCGTTGCCCCTTTCAATCAACACCGCTCTTTGCGAATCCACGACCAAGGCAGAAAAAGGAGGCCATTCATTCATCACAAGCTCTCATCACAATCCTTCATCGCCGCCTCCCCTGCCGGCTGGTGACCTCACTCGCTCCCTGTCGCTGCCCCACGGCTTCCCGCATTCCAGCCCAGAGCACAAGACAAGGACGAAAGACACGCCAAACGACCCCGAGAGGTGGAGGGGACCCGCGGGGAGAAGGAAAGGGGGAAAATAACCGCCCCCAAAAAGAGGGTCACAAAGAGCTGCAGATCTCCCTTCCATCGCCGCCATGCGACGGCCCGTCTTTGCCTCGTCGTCATCGTCACCGACCACGACGACGAGCAAGCTCCAGCTCGCGCTCCTCGCCCTCGGCGCCGCCACCTCGCTCGTCTCGGCCACGCCCTGCCCCAAGGACCGCCGCGATGCCCTCGCCCCGCGCGCCGACTGCGGCACCCCCTGCGGCGCCGAGAAGCAGCTCTGTTGCGGCGCCGGCCAGGCCTGCACGACGCTGCCGGGAGACGTGGCCACGTGCGTCGCTGCCCACGGCGGCGGCACCTACGGCCTCTACACCACCACCTGGACCGAGACGCGCACCTACACCAGCACCATCATGACGTACTGGATGCCCGCCCCCGAGCCCACGGCCGGTGTCGACTGCGTGCCCCCGAGCGCCGAGCAGCAGGCCTGCGGGCCCATCTGCTGCGCCGGCTGGCAGACGTGCGCCTTCCAGGGCCAGTGCTCGGTCAAGCCGGGCTTCGTCGAGCCCTCGACCGTTCTCGTCACCTCGGACGGCAAGGTCACCACGCGTTACTCGGCCCCCTTCCGCGTCACCGGCACCACCACCATCACCTCGAGCGGCGTCGGCACCGGCCAGCCCGCCGACTCGGCCGCCCAGGCCACCCGCACCAGTGACGCCGGCCAGGCCATCGGCGCAGACGGCGGCACCGCCGGCGGCGGGCTCAGCGCCGGCGCCATTGCCGGCATCGTCATCGGCACCCTCGTCGGCGTCGCCCTGCTGCTGCTGCTGTGCTTCTGCTGCATCGCCCGCGGCCTCTGGGGCGCCGTCTTTGGCGGCAAGAAGAAGCATGAGCGCGAGGAGCGCCTCGAGATCCACGAGCGCTACTCCCACCGCGCCAGCCGCGCGCCCTCGGCCTACTCGCGCAAGGACCGCCACTCGGGCTGGTTCGGCGGCCGCCGTCCCGCCCCTGCCGCCGATCGCCGCGAGAAGAAGAAGTCGAGCGGCGGCTTGTGGTTGGCCATTGCCGCCGGCGCCACAACCCTCCTCACGCTTCTCAACCTCAAGAAGGACAAGCGCGTGCCTCCTCGCAAGGTCCCCCCCTCGTCTCGCTACACCTACTCGGACTACACCTACTCGGACGCCACCACGAGTCCCAGTACGTTCTTCCCCCCACCGAAATCCGGGCGAGACGCAAAACTAACGGCCTCGGCAGGTAGCTCCAGCTCCGGTCGTCGCACCACCTACACGCGCCGGACGGGCGACAGCCGCGGCCCACGGTCTCAGTACTCTCGGTCCTCGAGACGGCCCTAGAAGAGCTGCTCAGCCGAGACCCGAGCCCTGTACATGTCCCCCCCCCTTCGCCGCCGGGTCGTGCCATGCAGCGTCCAAGCCTGAGCTGCGCCGCCGATCCCGCATTTCACTCTGCACATACAAGGCCCATTCGAGCTTTTGAGGCGTTCCACGGATGCATACAGATGGGGGCTCACAGACCCCGTCCTTTGTTTTGATCGATTCTAATTTCAGAGTCCTCACATGAGGAGAGGCGGATATTTTCTTCTTGCTTCTTCTTCCCTCAGTCCTGGTCAAGGTTGGGGGAGGGGGAGTGGGAATGAGATTACGACGAAAAGAGTACAGAACGTGCGAGATGAATAATGAGCGAGATGAGATTGGCAGACGGTCGCGAGGGCGCCAGGCCATGGGGTTTGCTCTCCAGTGAAGGGAGCCGACGTTTCCTCAATTTCACGTTACGATAGACTGGATGATCAGGCTCACCTCGAGCATATAGCTAGCCTCATCCCATGTAATTCACATGGCTATTCGCCAGATACGCCTACTTTGTGCAGCCTCTCCCGAGTGACCTCCCATGACCTGCCTCATTCTCAGCCCAGCTCTGCGGTCGCGTCACGCATGGCACGAGAGCGACGGGTGACGACCGCAAGCCAGTTACTTTACTTTTGAATAGTTTCGTCGTAGCCCTTTGCTACATGACATGCAAATGGTTCAACCGTCGCCACTCCCGAGACCCAGAAACGCAAAAGAAACAAGCGCCTTGTCCGCGTCTACTCCTCGACAATGTTGCCCTTTTCGGAAACGTACAGACCGTCCAGGAACTAGAGAGCCGGTTAGCAAACACAGGCCACCAAGGCAACGGCATGGCAAGTCGAACCTTTCGGATATCCTTGTTGCGGACCCTGCAAATCTGCTGAATGTCGGCGGCGCTTTGGGAGACGTTCTCGAGGGAGTTGCCAAGCAGCACGAGCTCGTCCTTTTGGTTCTTGGAGATCTCGACGTCGACGCCCTCCTGCATCGTCACCCGTCGGACAATCTTCTCGCCGATGAAGTTTCGGATCTCGACCTCCCAGATGTCCGTCTCCTTGTTCTTCTCGAGGTTGACGTTGATGGGGAAATGGGCGTAGACGTAGCGCATCTTGTACTTGAAGCCCTTGGTGACGCCGATAATCATGTTGTTGATGATGGACCGGACCGTCCGCAGCGTGGCGACATCCTTGCGGGCGCCGTGGTGGATCTCGATGGAGATGGTGTTCTTCTTGGGGTGGCCGAAGTTGACTGACAGGTGGCTCAGGTCCTTGACAAGCTTGCCTGCATTGTTCCTCGCCGTTAGAGCATGTCCACGGATGGAGCGGGCGTTGGTCGGTTCGTACCTCGCGGACCCTCGACGGTAACGATGCGCGACTTGATGGCGAGCTTGACTGTACGGATAAGCTTGTCAGCAATCTGGCATCCTCTCAATGCGCACCCGAAGCATCACAAAAAGCCCGGCTTTCTCCCCGCGAGAAGGAGCAAGCCATTTCCCGCGATCCGCCCCCGTCACTCGTACTCGGCTGGGTGTGACGGCGACGGTCGGCAAGAAGGAGGCCTGGATTTCCAGGCGCGCGCTGGTTCGGGAGGAAAAAAAACTGCAAAGGCTGGGACGTACCACCCTCGGGAATGTCGAGGAGCTCCTGCGAATGAATGTACTTCATCCTGCCGGTGTTGTGCTGAGCGTGACGAAAGGTGAGGCTGTCTTGGGTCGTCGGCGGGCTCGACGGGGATTGTTTGGCGAAATCCTGTGGGCGGGAAAAGTTCTAGGGCTCGCCGCACGTGAGGGCTGGCCGTGGCGCGCCGTTGCTGCCGAAGTTGAGCCGCGCGGCTCTTCTGTTGACGGTGAGAGAACGGAAACTCAGCACGTGACCTTGGAGATCCACGTACCAAGTATCCGTACGTACCTCGAAATGTCACCAGGACAAACCAGCAGCAGCGGTTTTCATCCTCGCCGTCAGGCCTGGAGATGCAGCAAATCTTGCGACTGATGATGCCTGAAAAACAACCTGATCGACTCCCCCATCTGGTGGACTGTGCTATGTGAGAGGGCATCGGATAGGCGGCAGTTTGAACGACCTTGAAGCCCCTCTCTGTACCTTGTTGCACCTTGGTGGAGGACCTGGCATTCTCCAGCAGGCAGCGATAAGATAACCAGAGCTCACGCGCTGCCCCGTCGACCGACGCTGCAGCTCGTCATCTCCATCCCGTCACCCCGTCACCCCGTCACCTCGGCGCGGTCAAGCTCACCATTTGCGCCGCCCCTCCAGACAAGTCGACTTTCCCGCAATCGCACCTGCTATTTTGGCGCCCTCCTTGCTTTATTTCGACGGCGACGGCGACGATAGAGACTGCCGCGACAAGCGACGACCCGGTACCGTCTCTCCCCCTCCTCCTCTAATCCAACCACTCCCTCCCCCCGACGAACCGCCCACCATGTCCTACTTCTTCTCCACGCCCGTCGACATCGACATTGTGCTCGAAAACGCCGACGAGCGCTCCATGGTGGACGTCAAGCTCGACAAGAACCGGCGCGAAAAGGCGCCTCTCTACATGGACGGCGAGTCGGTCAAGGGCGCCATCACGGTGCGGCCCAAGGACGGCAAGCGCCTCGAGCACACGGGCATCAAGGTGCAGTTCATCGGCACCATTGAAATGTTCTTTGACCGCGGCAACCACTACGAGTTCCTCTCCCTCGTCCAGGAGCTCGCCGCCCCCGGCGAACTGCAGCACCCGCAGACGTTCGACTTTAACTTCAAAAACGTCGAGAAGCAGTACGAGTCGTACAACGGCATCAATGTCAAGCTGCGCTACTTTGTCCGCGTCACTGTCTCCCGCCGCATGGCCGACGTCATCCGCGAAAAGGACATTTGGGTCTACAGCTACCGCATCCCCCCAGAGGTCAACAGCAGCATCAAGATGGACGTCGGCATCGAGGACTGCCTCCACATCGAGTTCGAGTACAGCAAGAGCAAGTACCACCTCAAAGACGTCATCGTCGGCCGCATCTACTTCCTCCTCGTCCGCCTCAAGATCAAGCACATGGAGCTGTCCATCATCCGCCGCGAGACCACCGGCGCCGCCCCCAATCAGTACAACGAGAGCGAGACGCTCGTCCGCTTCGAAATCATGGATGGCTCGCCCTCCCGCGGCGAGACCATCCCCATTCGCCTCTTCCTCGGCGGCTTCGACTTGACGCCCACCCTGCGCGACGTCAACAAGAAGTTTTCCACCAGATACTACCTCAGCTTGGTCCTCATTGACGAAGGTCAGTCTCTTTCCCGTCTCCCACTCTCTCCGTAGCAAGAGAATATCGCTAACCGAATCCGCCCCAGATGCCCGGCGCTACTTCAAACAATCCGAAATCATTCTCTACCGCCAAGCCCCCGACGCACTGCCTGCCCCTGAACCCGGCATCCAGTCCTTGCCAGCACCTAATGAGTCCAAGCTGGCAGCGGCCCGGGCTTAACCCTACTGCTGCCGCCGCTGCTTTTCTCTCCAACCACTACCCTTCATCCCTCTCACCACCACCAGGCTTGACCCTGTCCGAAAGCAAGCCATGTCCACGTCTTTTAGCATAGGGTTCGGCGTTTCGGGTTTGGAAGACCGTCGGCCCATCGGTCCATCGCTGTAGCCTACGTATGTACTCAAGAGTGAGCGCCAAAAAAAGGCATTATCAATTCCCCTCGCCATCCTGTACTGCCCTTCCTAAGGTATCTTGACCGCAACCCTTGATTCTCTCTGTCTCTCTCTCTCTCTCTCTAACCAGCAAGGGCAAGTTCTGGATATGTACAAATGTTGCATGCCCGCCTCACACAATGTCCATGACATCGTCCGCCTCGAATCCAAACTGGTTGTTCTGAATGGCAGCGATTCTGTCCAGCTCATCCTGGTACTGCTTCCTGACGTCCGCCAGAGACACCACCTTGCGCTTGCTGGCCTCGTTGCCCTTGTCGTGGACCCCCGGGATGCCCTCGTCAAACACCCATGCCTGCTTGGGATCCACGCAGCTCAGCGCGTTGATGAGCATCAGGTACTGCCGTGTCACGGGCGTGTCGAGAACGTCCTCTCCCGTGATCTTGTCTGCTTCCCCGGCGTGCCTCAGCTTCTGTATGCGGTCCAAGAGAATCGAGGCCGCACCGCGGTAATTGCTGCGCTTGATCCTCCACGAGTAGAGCACTTGGTGATACGGGAACCCGTTCATCACGTCCATGGTGCGTTTGCACCGTTGAGCCAGGATTGTGTCAACCTCTTGCTGCATGCCGGGAAAAGGCAGAGCCACGAGCTCCATGCTATGGTACGTATCGCACATTTTGTCGACAAGCATTCGCAGACTGGATTGCCTTAGGGCGTCGTCCTTGATAGAGAGGAGGCTCGTGTGGGCCAACTCAAACTGCGATGTGGTCAAGGCCGCGTGGAATAGCCGGCTCAGCATGTCCGTCTTGATGTCGTCGACGTCGCCTTTGGCCAGGCCTAGAAACTGGACCGCTAACCGAGCAAAGCATAAGACGTATGAGTATGCCCTGTGCTCTTCGTACAGCGCGGCAATATGAGAGTAGTATCTTGCCTGCCCGCTGTTGAGCAGATTCCACTCTGTGTCGTCGAGCAAGCCGCAGCTGTGTCGATCAGACTGGACGCTTTCGGTGCCTGGCTGCACGTTAGCGCCGTGGGGGATCAAGACCATGTTGTTTCGGACGGTGGAAGATGCCTTACCCATCCCAATGGCTGCCTTTCTAAAGTTGGTGGACGCTGCTTCAAAGTCTTTCAGCACCAGAAGCACCCGCCCCTGGATGTAGACTGAGAACGGATTCTGATCGCAGAATGGAGCCAGGTCCAGGGCTAGGTCTGCCCTCTCTCGCCTGACTAGCGAGCACTGGATGAGCGTGGGCGAGACCTCGATGTCGCTATCCGGCGCGCAGAGGTTTGCGACGAGTTCGGTAAGGGTGAGGGAGAGCGGCTCGTTTCTCGCGCTGCCAACGCCCAGGAGATGGCCGACATTTGCCTCTAGAGCAGTGACAATCTGCGTCTCCTCGCCACCCTTCTTCGACCCCATCGAGGGCGTTCCCTTTTCTGACCTGAACAGCGGCACCGATAACTCTGTTCGCGCCAGCCATTTCAGCAGCTCCAACCTCCTCAGAGCGTGAACGAGCTCACGAAAGACGAGCCCGACGTCGACCCGGTGATGGAGGGCTTCTTCCTCGTTATCAAACTCGAACTCCATATGAACCAGTAGGATAAGCTGGGAGAAGCAGAATCGCCATTGCAGCTCGATGCAGTCCTGCACACCCTTCATGATGAGCCTCTTGCCGAACTCGGTCAAAGGATGTCGGAGCTGCCGGCGCTTCGCCTCGAGCGGGGCGGCCACCAGGTCCAAGAGAGTCCTGTAAAGCCTATCCGTCACGGCACCAAAGTTTGCGCCAAGAGCTTCAACGATCTGCGCACAGTCCTCGTCGGTGATGCCGCGCCAGAATCCAGCCTTGTCGGAGAAGTATTGGATGCGCTCGAGGTCCGTCTTGGGAGAGTCTTCGAATATTTCTCGTCGCAGGGCGGCGTTGCAGAGCTGAATATAGTTGTCTGAAAATCCGTCGACAAAGGAAAACGCAGAGCCAACCAGAGCAGCCAGCGTCACTTGATCCTCGTCCGGCGAGACCAAGTTGTGGCATAGTCGCTCCAGGCTGCTGCACTCCGTTATTGCCGAGAGAAGGTCGGTACACACAACCCACACCATGTCAGCCTCGGGATCGAGAGCGAGGCCGAGTGCCTCTCCCCGCTGTCGATCCAGTTCGTTGAGGAGGCGATAAAATCTCCGCCACTGTGTTTCGTTGGAGGCGCGGAACTGTTCATAATCCATGGCTCCAGACGGGCCTCGCTCCAAGGACGCCGTGGAGCCCAACACCGAGCAGATGCTCTCGGCCAGGCCTCGCCCCCTGCTGCTGTCCCTGGAGGTTCCGAGCCCGCGCTCGTATATAGCGAGGGCCGTTTCCAGGGTTGCCTTTGTGAATCTTCCGGGCTGAAGAATGGCCTGCAGCCATTTTTCGGTCACGTCGGTCGGATCGCAAGGGCCGGAGGCATGGACCGTGGCAATTCCAGCATCGGAAAAGACTCCCTCCCAGCTATCCTCCCACGTGAGCTCCATGTTTTTTCGGTCGAGCTCCAGGCGCTGCACTCTGTACGTCATGTTGTTCTTCCAGAGAGTCCAAATGTTAATGGAGCCCTCTGCCGGCGAGGACAAGACAAAGTCGGTCATGGTCCATATATCCGACGAGGAGGGAGCTGGTGGCAAAAGGGTGTTCTTGGGGAAGACGTCTTCGACGATGACCGTATGGGAGTCCTTGACAATAATCTTCCAGAACTTGAACTCACCCTGTCCGACGGGTGAATAGGTTGCGCAAATCCTCTGCCCCCGGTTCCTCCCGACAAGCTGAACCAGGTTCGACTGCGACGGGTGAATGGACCATTTCCCCACCTCTTGCGGCGGCCTCTCCACGTCGAGTATGTCTCCCGTGTGAAGAATCTGCCCGTCTTCGACATTCCAGATGCGCATGCGGTGGTCGAGGCAGACGGTGATGGCAAACAAGCCATCTTCGAGGCCAAAGGACGAGACTTGAATGGAGGTTGCGGCACTGTATTCCATGCTGACCTTGCCGTACTTGATTGTGTGCTTGCCCTGAAAGGGCAGCAGGCTTCGGAGGTTCTGGGTCCAGCCCTGGACATTGAAGAATGATTCCTTCCAAATCACGCCGGACGCTAGTTCGCTTGGTCAGTCACAGGGATGATGCACGGGTGGCGACGATGTAAACTCACAGTCGTTGGTCTTGGTCCTGTCGAAGCGAATGATGCCGCCGTCGTTGACAGTCGCCAGAATCAGATTCACATTCACAGCCACCAGTCGGTGAGGACTCTTGAAGCCCAAGCCCGCCGGCGACTGGACCTTTCCAAGCTCCGACAGGCTCGCGTCGACGGCCGTCCGCTTCCTGAACAGATCGGGGCGCAGGGTAAAGGTGTAGAGCTGCGAGGCCTGGTCCAGGACAAAGACGCAGAGCGCATCGTGCTCCTCTGGATCCGCAAAGGCCACGCAACCCGGCTGGATGGGGACGGCGAAGCTAAAGTTGAGCACCAGCGGCGCATCGGGGGCCTTGTCCTTTTTGCAGATGTCGACGGCGCGGATGCTCAGCACCCGGCCGTCCTCGAGGACCCGCCATAGGAAGCTGCGCGGGGTGTCGTGCCATCTGCGGTGGTAGACGGAGGAGGCGGTGGCGAGGTTATTGAGGCGAAAGGCCGTCTCGTCCTCGGCAGGTGAGTCGTTGGCGAGCAGTCTCTGCTGGCCTCTGAAGCTGGCCGCCTTTGAGGGGACGCGAATGCCGACCCCGGACGCGGGCGACGGCGGGTCGAGGTTCAGGCGGGTCTCTTTGAAGAGATACTGTGTCTCGCTTGCGTCCATGTCGCCTCCATAAGCGAATGTTGCTCGAGGCGCGGTCGGGAGAACCAGCGTTGTTTTGCGCTTGGGTGGTTTGTCGTCGGTCGCGTGTTGCAGGGCAGAAATTCAGAGCTCGACGCCGCGCCCGCGCTAGCCCGATATGGAAAATTGCTTGGCCTCGAACTCGACGCCGCACCAACAATGGTGACTCTCGAGGTATCAAAGTTGACCACCGCTTTTGCGGCATTCGGCGAGATTGAATCCATCATTGCCTAAAACACGTGCGAAGAGCTGGCCTAATTATATTATATACATACTTGGATTTATTTTGTGACAACGATGCTCGAGGGCTGCCTCGTTGGACACGGCGACGGAAGCATCGCGGTCTCAAATCATTCATGATTAAAATAGACTAAGGACATGAGCTCGTGTGTGCCAAACGCCAGACAGACATCATGAGTAACTCGACCAAGACGACACCATCCCCTCATCGCAGCGTGACGCTAGTCCTTCTCCATGTCCTTCGGGGCTGGATCACCGATGCCATTCTCGTTGATGGCAAAGAGCGTGTCGCTCTCGGGCAAGCACGGACTGTCGTAAATCTTGGCAACTCGCGTCTCGCCGCGCCCCTTTTTCAAACTGATTCGCGTCGTGCTGGCGTGAGCTATAATATTGCCGCCAATGGGTTTCTTCGGATCTGGGTTGAACATGGCGCTTGGCCCACCGTCGACTTGGGCAACGACCTGGTTCGTGATGACGACGGCGATGCCAAACTCATCCGCCAGCCGCTGAAGCGTCCGCATAAACTTTGCCAGGTGTGTCTGTCTGTTTGAGAGCTCTCCACGACCACAGAAGTCTGTCCGGTACAGAGCAGTGGCGCTGTCGACGATGATGAGGGAGAATCGCGTCTCGCACATCATTGCCGCTGCTTGGTTAAGGAGTTGAAGCTGATGATCGGAGTTATATGCGCGGGCGTACGCCACATTGTCCAGGACTTCTTCTCCTGAGAGACCGAACCGATTGGCAACAGCCAAGAGCCGCACGGGGCGAAACGTGCCCTCGGTGTCGATATAGAGGCATTTCCCTTCGCCGCCACCCATGTCAAACGGCAGTTGGCAAGTCACGGCGAGCGTGTGACAGATTTGGCTCTTGCCAGTCCTGAACTCGCCGAACAATTCTGTGACGGACCCCGTTTCGACGCCGCCGGCCAGGAGTGTGTCCAGGTTCTTGGATCCGGTGGTGATTGAAATGAGCTCGCTTCGTCTTTGGTGCATCTCGGTCGCCGTTGTAAAGCCCATTGGGACGAGCTTGGAGGCTGTGCAACTGAGTCAGCGCCGCAATCTTGGGATGCACGCGTTACGAGTCGTACCTTCGCCCAGAATCTTTCCCGCCTTTTGCTCCGAAATGCCCTTGATCTGCTCCAACATCCTCCGCGGGGTGTAGGCAACCGACTCGACCGTGTTGAATCCGCCATCGACCACCAGCTGGATGTCGCGCTTCGTCAAGCCCGCAATTCCCTGCGAGAAAAAGTTGTCAGAAGAAGCCACTGACGATTCAGCCGCGCCCTCGTACCTCAAGCGCCGAGAGAGGCGTCGGGGCGCCAGGTCCCGTTATGCCGCTTTCCTCGGCCACCTGGGCCTCTTCGTAATCCTGGCTCATATTGCTTGGCTCGATTTGGTAGCAGAGTTTGAGCAGACTATGCGGTGCACAAGTGGCGAGAAGCGGTGTGACCGGCGTCGCTGGGGATTATGTGTTCTGATCGAAGAGTGTTGATGGAGAAAGCGCGCTGTAACGCGTCACGGTCAGGCAATAATGCTACTCATCAAACGCCAGATCATGTGACCTGATATGTGGTTCTTTGAGCGCAAAGGTCAAAGGTCATTGTACTAGTCCGTACGGCCTAGCAGGCGTAGCCATACTAAAATCACACATAAATACATGTCCGTAACTTCGCGGCCATCGTTCCTTTTCCGTTTAAATTATACTTGGAGATACGAATCGCAGAGCTTCACATTCGCGAGGTTTGTCGCAAAATGAAATTTGTCGGTAATTATTGAGCTAAAATACAGTCGAGCAAAGGAGAGTCGTAAGCTGGAAGCAACAGCCTGTCCCGGAAAGTCGATTAACCGGCGCAGGCCCTGCAGAACCAATCGATCAATCCCCTATCATCCCTCCCAACGCCGCGTTCAGCTGCGGCCAACGATGGAAAAGGTCAATACCAAGACAAGGAAAGAATCATTTCGTGTGATGCTTCGTCAAACTCGTAGAGCTGGGTTCTCCGCCGGGCCATAGTGCATGGAAACTCGCTGTCAGCCGCGGTCACCGCTCTAGTTGATGGTGATGCGGCGAGACTCGTGCTTCTTGATCTTGGGCACCGTGATGGAGAGGATGCCGTCCTTGAAGTTGGCGCTGACGGCCTCCTGGTCGATGCGAGTGGGAAAGTTGAAGCTGCGCGAGAACTCGCCGATACTGCGCTCGGTGAGCCAGTACTTGGCCTTGTCGGCGGACTTCTTGTGCTCGACCTTGTGCTCGGCAACAGCACCATTGTTGTCAGAGGCCGGCTTCTGGGTGCTGGCTGCGTTCTGATCATCATCCTCGACGGTGGCACGGTGCGAAGGCTTGGACTCGTCGGCCCCCTCGGTGATGGCGTCGTTTGCGGGCGCGTCCTCGATGTGGCCAGCGGGCGGAGTCCCAGCCGAGTAGGTTCGCTCGACCCTGCCGCGAACGAGCATGGTCTGCGGGTCGGTGAACTCAATGTGGACGTTGTCCTTGTTCATGCCCGCGAGCTCGCCGTGGAGCTCATAGTTGTCGCCCGTCTCGCGAATGTCGAACTTGGGCTGCCAGGTGGGCAAACCCGAGCGTCGGCCTTGCTGCTGGCCAGTACCCTGACGGTTGTAGTTGTCGAAGTCGTCAAGGAGACGGAAGAGAGGAGTGAAGGAGGATTCTGAGTTGTAAAAAGTTCGCGGGAAGAAGGCCATTGTGCGTGCTTGGTTGGTGACTGGCTTCAAAGAAACTCGCTTGATGTTGCGTGAGATACTTCGAGGAAGAGTTGATCGGCAAGCGTGCATGAAAATAAATATTTATCTGTGAGTGGCTGTGATTGCATGTTCTGCCGAGATTGGAGCATCATTTCTGTTCATTTATACTTGGAGACGAGTGCACTTGGAGCCTTCTGTAAATTTCGGGAAGATTCGACATGCCAGCGTCTGGGCCGTTCTAGAAGCATGATGAACCTGCGAAAACACGCTACAAGACAAAGGATTGCGTGTTGGTGATGCAACGCTGACGAGTATGTCGACAAGCTGACCATCACCCCCCCTGGTAACCCGACCGGCGCCCCGCTTTTCGTAAGTGTCAAGCCGACCATAAATTGATGGTGAGCTTGGCTTTCACAGTCACATTTGCACTGTGCCATAGGCTTCGTTATCAACGTCTAGAAACGGCTGGCGGGTCGTGGAAGCTTCCAGTGGCTGCTAGAGCCGGCCATAAGCCACACCTCAGCCACTTATGCTGCAAACCCGGGAATAGAGTCCTCGGAGAGTGCCTAAACGAATAAAAAAGATATCCTTTTAACTAGTAGGCACGTTTACCGGTAGACGAAAAAGTAGGCTAGTACGGCTGGTCAACGCGTAGCGCCGATACTGCATAATTAGGTGCGTATATTCGCCGCCTTAACTACGCGCCCCTCTATTAAAAGCGTCGAACGCAGCGAGGCTACGAGGGCGGCGGCAGTGCCGCTATCAACAGCACCCGTGTCACGGGGCTAGGGCCCTTAGTTGGTTGTTTGGTTGCTAGACTAAACGTTCTTATATATAGTTTGACGGGGACGAGGGCACACACCTAAAGCACGCGCAGCACACGGCTAAGGATTAGTAGAGTAACTGACCGTGCGATCATCTGATCCTTGGTTCTGCACGTAGCTCTAAGTATCTTAGGCTGTTAATGTAAGTTTTAGAGATTTCTTTACTCTTTGCCTCTTCGTCTCTGCTAGAGTCGCGCAATGGGCAACCTCTGCTTTGAAGGGGAGAAAGATGTCTAATCAAATGATCCGCGCTTCTATAAAGTCTTTAAGTACACTTAGGGGGGGGGATAGGAAGTGCTAGGGTCTCATCCCTCTAAAGGGCTGATGTCTATAGGGGTGCGATCTTGCCCGTTAAAATAGTTAATTAATAAAGCTATTGCTTAGTTAATTCTATTTCCTTTTATTATATTATACGCACCTACGCCGTGTAGCAAGGGGGGTCTAGTAGCGTAACGACTGCTTTTGCCCTTCTAGGCTAAGACACTTATAACCCGTAGCCCTTAACGCTAAGAAGACTACGGCTTTAGGTAAGGATTATAATACCTTTAACAATAAGGCGATATATATAAGCCGAGTATAAATATACTACGAGCATATTAATAAGCTATTTACCGTACGCTAGTCTCTAACGATATGCTTACCGGAGCCCTCGAGCCCGACGAGCCTAATAAGCCTATAGGGGCATAGTATATATAGGGGAAATTATTATTACGATGCGTAAGAGCCCTCGTATAACGGGTCGGCCCTACGAGGGCTAAAGCGGTGGTCACACTACTGTTCGTTGCTACGGGGCAGCTATTTAATTAGACCACTACGTCACAACAGCGGCAGAGGGCAAAAGAAGACAAATTGACTGAGCTGCCTAGCTAGTTAATTGACCACGCCTATCAATGGTCGGTTGCACGGGCGCAGCCCGGGCGCACAGCGTGGCCCAGCCCGTAACACCTCGTAAGAAGAAGATATTTAGTAGGATAAGGTAGAGGAGGCCGTCTAAGACAAGGAAGAAGCATAGCAAGATTTATATACTAACGAAATATAAGGGTAGTTACCCTTATTATACGTTTAGGCATTGGCCTAATATCAGCCACTTAGCGTTAGACCTTAGCCGATAAGAATGCAGGGCAGGTCGGGCCGCACGCATAAACGCGCGTTTAGCAGCGGCAGGCGCGACGCGTAGTTAGATCCTTCATAGCTTGTTGTCACTGCACAACGGAAGGCACCTACGGCATATCCCTCTGCCTACCCCGTAACACGAACTCTCTTAAGGCAGTGTTACGGGGCTAGGGCCCTTGGTTGGTTGTTTGGTTATTGGACCAAACGTTCTTATGTGTGGTCAATTGACAAGCTGTCGCTTAGTTAATTCTGTTCCCTTTTGCCGCACTTACCATGTGGCGGGGGGGGGGTCTAGTAGCGCGACCACTGCTTTTGCCCTTCTAGGCCGAGACCCTTATAGGCAGGCAGGCAAGCAGTCGGGCGGGCAGGCACGGCTCAATTCGACAAAATAACGCATCTTTAAGCCTAGAGCTCATATATATAGAAATCACGTAAGCGGTCTTCGTGCCTGTAGGTGCGAATAGCTTCACTTTGCACGAAGGCAAGCAGGTGCGCGCAGAGGGAGGCGCGCAGTTAAGGCGGGGAATATACGCACCTAATTATGCGGTATCGGCGCTGCGCCTTAACCAGCCACACTAGCCCACTTTTTCGTCTACCCGATAAGTAAACGTGCCTAACTGGTTAAAAGGCCCCTTTAGGAAACTGGCCACATCCTTGGATTCGTCAGTGACGTCATCACCCGATTTCGATCACTTACATCGGGTTCCATAGCTTGTTCAAGATTCCCAGTGGTCATGGTGCCTGCATTGAAACACACGACTGCACTTGCAGCGTCTGGACCGATCCTACACCGTGTACGACAATCACAAACGTCATGCCGCAACATCCCAAAAGCAATCTCGCACAGCGCACTGCAATGGGGGCCTGTCTTAGCCCGCCAATCGGAACTTGCCGCATCACACAGAGCTCGCAGGCCGAGACATGCCCGTCACGGGAAAAGACGTCCAAGGCGAAGCAAGGCGTCGTCAGTCTCATTGCTAGCAGATGACCATACATCCGTGGCGTCATTCATCGTGCCATCTTCATCCAGCATAGTGCCGTGCAATCTTCAAGAAATGCAGCGAAAGACGTCTTCCAAGACGATAGTCTTCCAAGACGGCATAGAAACGTCTCCATCATTGGCCGTGCCCTCGCATGGGCGGGAATCCCGTCACCATCGCCATGGCAGGGCGCAGCGCCAGTGGCATTGGCCCCGGACTCTGCACACGGTTGAAGAGTCCAATGAGCCTGCGGCCCACAGAAGGCTCCAGCTCAGTCCCGTCTCTGGCAATCTTAACCTCCCTGTTCGAGTTCCACGGATTCCGCAAGCCGCGTGTTCGGTAGAACGGTAGCCGACTGATTGACAGCCACTCGAGCTTAAACGGCTTCCCCCACGTCTTTGTCTCTTCGTCCGTTTCAGCACTCCTAGTGCTAGAAGCCTCGCTCACATTGTCGGACCCACTCTCCGAGTCCTCCCGTTCCGCTTCCCAGAAAATCGTGCCCCTGGCCGAGTCGTCGATGATTCTGCCCCTGGGTGCGTACCCGGTCGCATCAGTAACAATCGCTTTTGGCAAGTCTAGGCTGCTCGTGGCCTGAGCCTTCGGCGCAAATTCAATCGCTGCTTCTGGATCCTCATTGATCTCCGATACCATTCGCGCATACCCAAAATATTCGCCCGATTTGTTCGCCGAGAAGATCAAGTAGACGTTATCGAAGGTCTGATGCAGGTTAGCCCAGATTGCATCGGCACAGTGAAACTCTAGTTATGCTTGTAGACCCACCTTGAACGCAGTGTTGAGTGACTCTTCGTTGTGAGACTGTGTTGCCCAGATACCGGTCCGTACACTCAGCTCGAGATCCTCCATGGTGAGACTCTTGAGAATAAAGAACTTGTCCTGCTGCGAACTGGCCTCGCCGGCCGAGTTTATCCTGGGCTTCGTAGGTTGTCCGGCGGCTGGACTCTGGCTGCGGGAGTCCGAGGCCGAGGCATCCTGAGCCAGATCGCCCTGGGCCGGGGCAACCGCCGTGCTGGCCGCCGGTCCGGTGGGGGCAGTCAGGCCCGTGGCCCCTTCAACAGTATTCTTCCGCAGCCTGCTGACGAGGCGCACAGACTGAAACTTGGAGTCGTGTAGCTTTTGCTGGGCCGCTATGCACGTGCCTTCGTCTTTGAAATTCGCAAATGCGCAGTTACTTTTCGATATGAGGAAAAGAGATTCGAGTCCTGCCGTCTCCTTGCAAACGTGGTGGACAAGGCTCATCAAATCGGTCTGCGGAGGGAGATTTCCAATCCAAATGGCGTGTCCTGGGCAAGTTTTAGCCTTCCGAAGCGACATGACCCGGGCGTGGGGATGCCTTACCGCTCTGCCGGGGCTTCCTGGGTGGCCCTCGAACTGCAGTTTGCCGATTACCAGATTCATCTGCTGCACACTCAGCAGCCGTCACTTGCCCACATTCCGTCCTCGCCCATACCTTGACCTTGCCCTAGAGCCTGCATTTGTATCCCCGGGCCATCAACCGACGAACGAGGCTTTTGTACATCGGGATTTGGAGAGTTGCCGGGCACATAGGGTCCTGGACCCATGCCTATCGACATGCTTTGTGGCTGGTCGGGATAAGGGTTCGCCTGCGCGTAATAGAAAGCCGACGGGGGGTGGTTTACCATCATTCGGTTCGGGTAATACGCAACATTCTGTCTCGCGGGCATCGGTGGCGGTCCTTGAACAGGTGGCATGTGACCGCCGCCATAGTATGGAGACATCTGCGCCTGGTGAACATAAAAGCCTTGATTCATCGCCATTGGCGGTGGCCCCCCGTATGGAGGCATCTGCGGCATCTGCTGAACTATCTGGGGCGACGTCATGGGCATGTACCGCTGGCCTCCTTGGGGGAATTGGCCGGGTCGATACCCAACGGCAGGTAGAGAATTGACGATTGGCGCCATGTCGTACGGCCCTTGTTGACGGTATGATGTCTGTGGCGAAGGCACATTGAGCTGGGAGGAGAAGGCATGGTTCGCCAGCGTCGAGGGTTGCGGCGGTCCAGGAATGCTTTCCCTATCGATGGTTGCCTGCTTGATCTCACCACCAACCACTTGTGCTTCCACGGGGTGAGGGTGATTGTGGGAGACTTCAGGTTCTCCTGACCTCAATGAGGGAGGGGACGAAAAATCTCCCATTGGAAATAATAGAACGGGCGAGGCAAGATTAGCGGCCGAGCGAGCCAATGACTAGTACCGCGGGTTAGCGCGCAAGCTCTGGATAACGGCGTGTTAACTGCAGCGCAAAGACGAACGACGAGAAGCAAATGTTACCTTGAACTGTTGGACCAGGTCTTCCTAGTGCCGGTCTCAAGACCAGAGTCAAGGGGCGACAGCTCTTATGAATGCTTGATTTCGAATGCCGCCACCGACAACGACGCCACGGAGTGTCGAGGCTCTCTGGCAAGGTTGCCGCGTTTGCCTCTTGTCAACGGTACTCGGTCAAGGCCGAGGTGTGAAGGGGGAATGGAGGGTTGGGTAAAAAGGCTCGCCCAAGAAGGCAGTTCCAGCAAAGAGGAAAATATGAGAGTTTTGGGGGGGAAAGGGGGGGGGGTGAGATTATTCGGGATGCGCTGATCTCCCCACTAGTGCCAATGGACGTTGAGGCCGGGGGCCCAAGAAAGTGACGAGCCGAAAGATCAAGGTGAAGTCGGCCAAATACTCATAAGAATGTGTGGGAAGCGAGATACGAGCATAGGGTTTTGGTCTCTTAGCAGAAGCGTTTCCCTGAGCTCTCCTAGCGGCAAGCCGGATAAGGTTCTCCAGAGGAAGGAAGATTCTGTGTCTCGAGCTTTGGGACGGGCTGGCGCCAGTGGCGTCCTCGACTGTAGAGTAGTCGCTGTAGCCGATGTATCGGAGTAGAGTCGTTGCCCAGAAAATGGGAGGAGAGCGTCGATGGGGAAATGAAGCACCGCGACAGGTGTCCGGACGGTGAGCAAGTAGGACCACGGCAGAAACTCCCAGTCCAGCGACCAGGAGATAGGGGGAAGCCGGGGGCGGACGTCCGCTCCGTGATCAGGTCAAGCCGGAGCAAGACAAGGGGGCCCGCACGACGGGGCACACCACCCACAAGAGCAACGCCGCAGCTACCGCAACGTCGTTGGGCGGAGAGAGGTCGGGCTGCTCACGACGCCGTGTCGGTACTCGACAGTGTCAAGTTCCTAAATCCGGGGGATCGGTGGACGCCGGCTTCCTTGAACTCGTAGGGGCGGACAGGCGTACAAGAAGGGCGGTGGCTGGGACTGAAGAGTCTGAAGGAGCTGCGAGTCGGGGGGAAGGATGGCAGAACAGACATCTGCCCAAGGAGAAGAAGCGGCGTGTAAGATTGTGCATGCAAGAAAGAGGACGATGGGGCTGGAGGCGACAATTGCGGGTCTGTCAAAGGGAAGGTGAGGTAAGTCGATAAGGCAGGTAGTAGGTACAGTACATAAACCAGGTGAGGGTAAGACATAGTAGGGCTGGAGGAGGCGTGTGGGCTCAGGAGCAGAGCAGAGGAAACACACGCACACCCCCCGGCTAACAAGATTTCGGCGGTGGCTTCCACGAGCGGCGGGCCACGGGGGGGGATGTACCAGTACCTCGGCGCCTGTAGCAGAATGACCACGGAGGCTCTCAGAGGGATCCGGGCGAGTGACTACTGGTACTAGTACTGTATCCGTAGTGCTCGAGATGGAAGCCAAGTGCCGGGCAAGCACAGAGAGAGAGGGGAGACAAGGCCCGGAAAGCCTCGGCGCCACCTCTGGCAGATGGATCGACAGAGAAGAGCGTCGAATGCCTGTGAGCTGGAGTGGGCTTGGAGTGGCGCCGAGTACAGACGTGGCTGCTCGTGTCCCACAAGCGATGGTGATTGTGCCAATCTTGGCTGCGTACGGTACGTACGGTGCTGCAACTCGAGGCTTGTCAGGATGTCTGAAGAGTTGCAGGGCGGGGGGGAGGCAAATCCATGTGGACCTGGATCCGAGTCCTCGGCATGGCGGGAGGCGGGAGGGCGGCCAAGGGAGATCAAACCAGAGTACCATGAGAGGACGACATTTGCCACCCGGTGGGGGGCGCCAACTGCACGAGCGAGAGTCAAGGCCGTTCGTCCATTTGGTTTTGGGCATGTCAACGTCGCCCCCCTCTGGTCCCCTGTAAGCCTCCCCTTTTGATTTACATACAGACCACACATACAGACGTACATACAGGACGCGGGCGCACACCCTGCCCTGCCTGCCTGTCCACTGGCACCCGCAGAGGCTACGTGTAAGCCACGCAAAGGGCTGGTGCGTGGTGGCGGGCGCATCATAACCCACGCACTGGCCAGGATCCAACTCTCGGCCACAATATCATACAGTACAGTATCATGATGCCATCGATGGTACCGGTACGCACGGGACCGGAGAGGCCAATCAAGGCCGGCGACGGGGCCGTTGGCGGCTAACCCACATCTCGACTTGATTGAGTTTGTTGCACCCGACTGGACCCTTGAGCGAGTGTGTGTGGGCCGGGAGATGCTCGTCGAGTCTCGACGAGGAAGGCTGTTGACCAGGAACTCTTGCGGCCCAAGGGTCGAGGCGTCTTCCACATGTGCTGTGGCGCGGATGGCCTGCACAAGAGCAGCCGCTGCCTGGATTCGGCCGGAGTGCTTGTGGCAGATACGCGGTGTAGTAGGTACTACTAGGTAGTGCCACTCTGAATGCATGGAAAAGGTCAACAGCGGATGCCAATGCCTCTTCTGTCAGTACCATCTGGGTAGGTAAGTAGGTACCTGGCGTGCTCACAAGCTCTAAGCCCAACTGACCCAGTGCCGCGCACATAAACCAGTAAACCAGCAGCGAGTACACGTATTGTACGCACCAAGTACCTACTTACCAGCCCCTGTCAGCCAAAAGGAAAGTCGATGCAAAATGTCCGTGGCGGCCCGGCACACCCACTGCCTGCCTGCTCCCACCCCCATGTGGCTTGGACAACTGCAAACGCCATTGCCAGCCTTGACAGCCTTGGAATCGGCCTTTGCCCCCCCCCGAGCCCGTGGACAGCACGATTCGATGTGCTCCTCGCCCAAGCATGAGGGACATCGAATGCCCGGAATCCTACCTAGGGGACGCTCCAGGCCCGTTCCGAAGATCATTCCCGTTTCGCGCCTCCTCTAGCCCGCTAGCAGAAGCTGGCCAAGCTCACTAACCGGGGAGCTATTTGCGCGCAGCCGCCGGGGCTGCGGCTCGTAATCGCTGCGGGCGGCAGAGGTCAGATATAGGGCATGTTTGTGTGGTCCGCGCCTCACCCAGGCACCGATGCTCGGGCCCGACGCCCTTTTTGCCACCCGCGCTTCCGCCCACTCTGATTGGGCACCAAGGGCGGGGCCTTGGAGCCGTTTGGGCGTGTGGTGTTTCAACTCGGTCTGGACGTATTGCTCGGTAGCATGCCGACGATCATCGGTACGCGGTAGTTACGCACCTGGCACATGATGAAGCGCACAGGGCGCAACGCCGCAAAGGACAAGCAGTGCCAAGGCGAAATGAGATGGCTTATGTAAGCAGCCGCGCTGATCAGCCGCGACCACGACTTGGGATGGAAATCTGGATTTGCCATGTGGCACAGACATGGTCGTCTTGCCGTGAGATTGCTTGAGACCTGAGAGGAGCAGAACCTCGACGACATCGCCGCGTACCCTCTAGTTCCCTCTTGCTCGTTGCAGTTGGGTACCCAGCATCCGCTGTTTGCATCTGCTGCTTGTGCAGGCACAGTACGTAGCCGCACCGAGTGCCTAGGCCATGGACAAGACATTCCAGATCTCGAGAGAATTGCCTGCATCGGCACGGCATTTATGCAATGCTCCACGGTATTTGCGGGTTCCCCACGAATCGAGCACCACCTACATACCTGCCTACGTAGTATGTTTGGGCACGGCTTGCAGGGTCATGGCTCAGGTTCCGCGACTGCAAGCTCTCCCTGCATCACCGCCCAAGGAACCAGCCATTCTACCTGGACTGGAGGGATGAAGTAGAGGTACAGTTACCCAGCTCATGAGGTGGGTACCTAGTACCAGCCTGTACCCAGTGCCAGCCTACCGTACCTAACGTAGGTAGGTACCTAGGTAGGTAGGTACTAACTTTACGAACTATGCGGACTACCTAGGCAACTAGGCAGGTAGCACCTTACCACCTCTGCTTCGGAGATAAAAAGTAGCTCCATGTCTCGGGAGTACCTGGCCTTGCTGCATCGGAAACCACAGGACCCGAGCGACATTGACTCTGTTCTGGACGTATCCGTAGTCCCGCTCAGGACTTGGGCTTCCTCGTGGCTTACTGTACCAGCCGAGCTCTTCGTACATTCTCCCCACGTTGTCGGCGTTATGACAATCTGAGGTGAGATGGACAAGCATCGCAGGCCCTGATGTTCTGGGCCCAGCACTGCAGAGTACTGATCATTGGGCCTTCCCGGGGTGAGTTTGGCATTTCTACCATGTACAGTACTTGCTGTTCGAGCGGTTTCCGGGGACAAACCACTCGGAACACTTCCTACAACCAGCGGCCGGTGCAACAGCTGAACAGCTTAGCTATTCGCACCCCGTCTTGGGCGTGGACTCTTTTGCTCTTCTCGATGGAACCCGTTTCGCCAAATTGGCATGTCCACAATGCGTCGTGGGCGCTGATCGTCCAGTGAATGAAGTGAGAGGCGCCAAGGATCCCGCTACCCCACTGGCGGGATGACGTCGTGGTCATGGAGAAAAGCGTCGAAGGCGGTTTTTGACAAATGCATCCTGATTTTTCCCAAGGTTCCATGCCTGCACGCCCGGGCCATGTCGTCATTGTCGAACAGCTTGAGACGTCAGCCCCCTGCGCTACCCCCCGGCGCTGTGGCTTGTGAACGGCCCCCAACCATGCACCACACCACCTTTGTCACCCTTCACAAGCCAATCTTCTCCTTGCATACATGTATACATGCCGGCAAAGTCATCTGCCTTGGCAGCGATGACGCAGCTCACCTGTACACCTGCTACACGCAGCCTCGTTTCTCGGGGGAGCCACTAGCCCAGGCCGAGTGATGATGCTGCTCGACTCGCACTCCCAATCTCTCTCGCATCAGGGACGCATGCACGGGTGCTGGAAAGCCCAAATGCCACGGCCGAGGTATGTCTCGAGAAGGGATCGAGGGATGATGGACGATGGATGATGGATGCAGCCACGCAAGGCCGAGTGGCACGGGAAAGACACCCGACGAGAACCGCGACAATCATCGTGGCTGGCGAGGTGCGTGCACGCATAATGCACATGGCAAATTCATGTCTTTGTTTTGCCCATGTCGAGGGCTCGCGTCGAGGCGAGTCGAACGAAGCATGCAATGCTCACCCTGGAGCATTCCACTCAACCATCTATCACCTGGGCCTAGCACACCTTGAACGTGTTGCTTGCGTTTCTTTGAATGTTGCTCCACTCTGTTCATGTAAGAAACAATTGACCCATCATCGCCTTTGAGCCGGGAAAACGTGCTGGCCGTGTGCGAAACACCAGGACTACCCGGATAAAACACTCGTCACCTTTGAGCAGGGGAAACGCGCACAACTAGTTCCATTCTCCCCGATCGCCCGCCGCGGTACAGAATCCGCCGATATACATACCGCATGAGGACACAGCCACGACGTGGATTGGCCGGCGCGCCCTCGGATCACTTCCCTTTTGGTAGGATGCTGCGGGCAGTCGGGCACGACAGACAGGTTGCCGCCGCTTTGAGTCTCTGGGCCCGACGAGCAGAGTGCCCGCCACTACCCTATGCTCCGTGGCAAATGCTCCGTATCCATGCGACATGCAAATGGTCTGGGTGGACGGCTCGCACCGAGGCCTGGATCCATCGGTGATATCAAACACAACTCTCCCTGCCGTGGATCGTGTGCACGCCAGCTCCACTCTGTGAGGACAGCACAACACAGCCGCCTATGCTGCCAATGTCCCTGCCATCCGCCTAGGCATGGCCCTGAGAGGTTGGCTAGACTTCGTGGCTGGGTGTTTTTCTCGTCAAGGGCCTGGCCAGCAGTCTAAAGAAACCCATCTGCCCCGTGTGTTCCGCACAGAGAGCATGTCTGGGGCTCTGGGCCAACGGCCCGCCGCCTGGAAAGTCTCAACCGTTTCTCAAGCATGTGCGATAGTTTGTCGCCACCGCTAGGGACTGCAGTCGAGCCCTTTCACCCGAAATATGCAACCAGGGAAGGCTATGTTGCCATGGCGCTTGCTACTGCAAGGCAGGGGACTTATGTGGAAGGCCTTTGTCAGATTTTGCTCGGCAGGGGGGTGCAAGAATAGACGGGGATGGACGTATGATACCGATAGCCTAGCAGCCCCAGGGCCAGACGGATCGTCACGCTGCTTCCCCGGTATATCAGGAAGCACGACCTGGCTATTCGCCGCTGAAATGATACGTCGTCTTTCTTTGCCGTCAGGCCACCGCTGCCGCTCACCAGGCACCCGTTTTGAGTGCTCGCCGCCGGTGGTCTCGTCGCCGTGTAGCCACCACCATTGGACTGGGGCGAGAAGAGGGAAAACAAGCCGAAGTGTGAATGTCAACTTGATCCATAACGAGGCCAGAGTCAAGCCTGAGCCCCAAGCGGCACAACCGTCTCTTCGCCAGAACCGGCCCCATCAACGGGCCGGACAACTCGGCGCACAAGCCGCTTTTCAATCTTCAGAGGAGGGAGCAGCAGAGTGCCAGGGCGCCAGAGTTGGATCACCCCCCAGTGGACAAGACCTGCTGCTCGTGGTCAAGCTTCAACGGTGGACCCCGGCTTCCCTGCTTCTACGTATTTCAAGGCAACCGTTTTCCGCATGTCTGATTTCACATGTAACCGCTCAGAGTATGCTACGCTATCAGTCGTGGTATGCTCATGGTGAGCTGTTGACGCCGAGTAGGCTAGACGGACACGAAGTTTTATCAAGGACCGTTCTCCAAGGCAATTATCATACACGCAAGCTACCTCACAAAAGCCGCCTCCCGCTCAGTCCTTCTTCATCTGCAAGACAGTCTCCTCGATTCCGTTCTTGGTGATGATCATCATCTGCAGGGCGTCGCCGACTTCAATATGCCTCTCCGCGGCACCGTCAAACGCATCCTTGACAAGCGTCTCCACTGTTGACCGCGACAGCGGGTGGCGTTCTCGCTCCTGCAGGTCGTGGCCTGTCCCGCTCCCTGGAATGTACTGGTTCTTGAAATTGACCTGGTTGTCCAGGAACGGCATGATCAAGCTGGCTGCCGCGCCCCCTGCGCGGCATTGCTCACGCTCGTAGCTGCCGACCGGGTCGTACGAGTAGACGGCTCCCTTGCCATCTTCGTCGAGCCCGCCCAGCATCGCGGTGACGTAGTAGGGAAAAAAGCGCTTCTGGTAGAGGATCGTGGACAGACGCTTAGCGCAGGCATTCAGCGTCATGGGCTTGCCGTGGCGATATCGGTAGATTTTGCAGACGGTGTCCAGCTGGTCACGCAGGGCTGCGCCGTCGGCAGCGAAGCCGCACACCGACAGGACTATCGTGGCATCCTCTTGGGAGGACGTGGAACCGCCGACTTTGAACACCTTGGGAGCCATGCGAGAGTTGATGCTGTATCCGCTCGTGTGGCGCGTGTCACCGGCCATGATGGCAAAGTCGGCGCCTGCGATGCCGAGCGTGGAGCCGCCGTTGTCGGTGTAGCTGAGGGCGTGTGAGCTCGGCCACGGCAGAGAGATTTTCCTTGGGATACTTACGGGTTGAAGCGGTGCTCTCTCGGCTCGCCGTTGGCCTTGAGAGCATCGGAAAAGGAGTAGCCGGGACCTTCCGTAGCCGGGTTCTGGCTGAACATGGCGGCCATCTTGGCGATTGGGTAAAGCTGCGTGGGATGCTGCGCAAGATGGCTACCGAGATTGATAGCTCCGGTGATGCGTGGGTACGGAAGCGAGACGGACGAGCGATTTATGGATTGTCTCGAGGCGGTTGAAGTCGTCGCGTCAGGTCTGGAGCCTTGTCCAGTAACAGTAGCTCTGTGCCACGTCCAGGGTAGATCGAATGACTAAGCTAGCGCTGCAGCCAAGGGGCTCGGCCAATCGGAGTGTTCGATACCTGGCTTCTGGCAAGCTCACCTCATCAACACGAGAACTCCCGTCTCTCAAAGGGGGCCAAGCAGCATAGCATCGTCTCGAGCGTCTCCTCGAGCTCCTGCGTCTGTCCTCTGTCTATGCGCTCCTTTTGACGATCCTAGAGAAACAGGAAATCATGCGTGACGTCCGCGCCAAGGCGCTCGAGAAGATAGCTTCGCTGTCCGCGGCCAGCTCGACCACCGCGCTCGACCGCTCCGATCTCGACAAGCTCTGCAGGGCATGCCACGCCGGAGCCCGGGGCAGGGACATTGCTCATGGAGGTCCCGGCGCGAAGCAGGCGGGCTCGCTGGGCCGAGTCCCCATGGTTAGTGACCCCTCCCCGTCGACGGCGAACCTGTGAGCAGATGTTGATTTCGGCCAGTCTATTCGCGAGTTCGAGGTTCTCCTGGCCTTGTGCAAGTCGGCGCCAAGCATCCAGTCTAGCCAGAGCGCTCAGAGGCTTTCCTATCAGCTTATCCCCTACATGCTCGAGGCTCATTCTCAAGCCTTTGTCCCGTCGCCCTTCTTTCGTAGGATCGAGCCCTCTCCGACCGAATCACTCGCCTTCCACGTCGCCGGAGCCTTGTTGGCCCTCGGGCTCAACTTCGGGGATCTCAAAGACACAGTTGCGGACGGCATTTGGGCTTTCACCATCTCATGCGGCAAGGTTATCGAGACCGTCGTCTCGCAGGTTGGCGACCCCGAAAACCCAACCATGGAAGATGCTGTTCGCACGGCAACGATTGCTCTCGCTCTGCTTGGATTCTTAGATGCGGCCTCTGCACAGGCCGACTTCTGGAAAGCTGGCAGCCGGCTTGGGATGATTCAGAAGCTCAAGCAGCTCCTTTCGGAGCCGTTCCTCGTTGCGCTCGAGACCTCTCTGTCCACCATTCGAAACTCCCATAGCCAGGACCGAGAGACAAAGGAATGGAAGCGACTTCTGCGCCATTACGCATCGTCTGGACGGCCACTCGGGGCCATGCTCCTCCAGCGTAGCTTCATGTGGCTGGTGCTCTCCAGCGCGGCCTTGATGGTTGCGGATGGACCGACCCTCCGCGCGAACCATGTGTTAGACCTGCTCATGTCCGAAGGCGGGCACGGCCAGTCAGAACCGGACCGTTTCCTCGACAGTGACCTGAAAGCCATCGAGACATATACTGGCCTCGCGGTCGAGAAGATGGACTACATTGAGGCTGACGCCGACTTTGTTCGGCTCGGATCGCCGAACCAGCAGAAATTGGCTTATGCCGTCAAGTCTGCGGCCATGATTACGTTTCTGAATTGTTCATTGCTTAATGACCAGATTGCCGAGGTAGACGTCCTCATGGGCTGGCTGCAAGAGACGCTCGAGGATCCGACGCAGATGGCGGACAATGCTCTGGCATCAGTTGTCTTACGATGCCTCGCTCTGATATGTCGCATTGCCCCAGCCGTTTCTTCGACAGTCATCCGCGTTCTCCCCAGGTTTCTTGTCCAATCGGCGCCTCGTGGTGACACCGTCGGCGTGGCATCGAGGAGTCTGGCCTTTGTTCTCAAGACGCTCTCCGAAGACGCTGTCATCAGCACCCTCTACACGCTCGGCAACGTGCTCAGCCCTGTATCGGACGGCATAGCCGCCAACGGCCAGGCTAACGGCACTGCCGCGGGCGAAGCCATACCTCCTGTTTACGCCGGCCGGCATTCCACAGGGAGCTCCATCTCACTGCAGATGAATGGCGAGGAGGAGACTGCGATTGTATATGGAAATGTGGTGCAGGCCATCTGCGGCATTGCAACAGCGTGCCAAGACGAGAAGATTACGGCTTTGGCGCAGTCCATGCTCCTGCAAAAGGTCGACAAGGTCAACGCCGACGTGGATGCCCACGTTATCTCTGGCGCCGCAACTTTGGCCCTGATGGGCGGGCAGCTTGAGTTCCGCGCTTTGCTCAAGATGTACAGCAGGATATGCCACATTGGAATCGTCGAGAACAAGGAGTTTTTGCTGGCGGCCGTGAGTACCCGGCGCCGGGCGGGAATCCATACGTCTGCTTACACGCTGTGCAGGTTATGAAAGCCAGGACGCATGTGTCGGCCAACTTGAGACGCGACTCTCCGCTGTTTGACATCTACTGGGAGCACTTGCTGGATAGCATCATTTCTCTTGGCGACGTGGAATCGTCCAGCCATACCCGAGAGTCAGATGTCAAACTCGTCGCTCAAGAGATTGGAGAGCTCTTGCGCCCTCTGGCTGTGTTCATGGCCAGCAACGACCTTGCGTCCGGACCCATCGAAGACGACGAGGCCCGCTCTCTTCTCCGTGATGCTTGGTTCAACATTGTCGTACATGGCCTCACGACCGGTACGGACCGCGGCAAGAAGTACTGGAACGAGCTCCGCACCATTGCAGTTCACTCACCGCCCTTGATCACCGGTGAGCGAAGCGAGCAAGTCGAAAGCGACATCGAACTCAATACCGTGTTGCGGCGAGGCAACACCAATGAGCGGGAGGCCACGCAGAAGAAGCTTCTCAGCGAACTCATACCGACCAAGGCGGCTGATATTAAGAGTTTGAGCTACCGAAAGGTCATCTTCCTTCAAGCGGCGTATCTCGTCGAGAGCCTTCGCGCGGACTCGGGAGACTGCACCAAGGTCTTGTCGTATTTCCTGGAGCCCAGCATGCGAAAAGGCGAAGTCAGCGGCACCATGGAAGGCATCGCTTCCGCCGTTGTGGATAGGTATCTCAAGAAGACGCTGGGTGGCGCCGACCCCCCCTTCTCGGCGCAGTATGCGGCTACTCAGCTTGCCGCCATCTTTTGCAAGTGCTGCCATCGGATCGAGCGTGTGCAGCAGGCCGCGTTGCAATGCGCCGACCGAATCATCCGGGATGTGCCCTCGGTCTTGTGCTACAGGTCGTCCCTCTTTGCGCTGCTGGAGCTCCTTTCCCTCATGTGGTCCAGCTGCCTCGAAGCCGAAACCGATCTGTACACGCCGAGGTCGACATTCTCTTCTGAGCTTGGCAAAGTCACAGTAGAGCTTTCGGATGACTTTGACTATCGACGCTGGACGCTGGACATACTAAATCGAAAGGCAAAGATTTGGGTAAGCGCCGCCATCGGCCTTGCACCCCTGGACATCAAAGGCCTGCTGCAGACGTACCTATCCGAGTTTGACGACGAAGGCGCGTACGGCCATATCTCACTGGGAAGATCATTCGCACTCGGGCTTGGGTCCATCATCCCATCAACCGATACCAGACTGCAGTCTCTGGGTAGGGTCGGGGATTGCGACATCAACACAGCATCGGACCTGATTGCGCAATACACGACGCGTCAGGAGTACCGCTACGGAGAGACACTGCCTGATACCGGCAACGAGCTAATAGCTCTCGCCAACCTGAAGCTCAGGCCGACGTTGTCACAGTCGTCGGTGACGGACAGCGCCAATGCCTCCACTGCGCTGGCTCACGTTGAGGCTAGGATCCTCAGCAAGAAAGCTCCGTCCTTGAACGAAGTGCGAGATATCCTGCGGAGAGCCGCGGCCTTGCTTTGCCGCAGCTCGAGAGACGAGTCTGCTGTCGCTCGTTATCTCGTCAGCATACCCTTTTCTCTCTTCACCAAGCAGTCCATCAAGCTTGGCGTCTCCCTTTGGCTGGGCGTCATGAACGAAAACCCGAGGCTGGAGCCCAAGCTGTTGAGCAGCATCGCACAGCAGTGGGAGTTTACGATTACTCGAAAAGTCGGCTTGTTTGATCCGACGCTGACGCACCCGGATCCCTTTTTCCAGAGGGAAGAGTTTGCGCCGAGCGAGCTCGAGACGTTAGCCAAGAAAAGACAGTCGATCCATGATATGCTTTCTCCGCACACGCGCCTTTTGCAGTTCTTTAGCAGCCACTTGAACGCAACGCGACTGGGCAGTGGCGACACCCAGAGAGTCTTCCTTCGCATGCTGGATCTCACAATGAATGCTATCAAAGATTCCACCTCCCACCCTATGGCGAGGGAGCTGCACTTCCAGACCGTCTTGTTCGGCTTGAAAGTGCTACGTACTAGCACCACTATTGGGGCAACTGCTCAATGGAGACTCAAGGAGAAGATCCTGTCGGCAGGCCTCAGCTGGTTCAGGAATTCGCCCGGATGGTCGTATGGCAGCAACGTCCTGCAACTGAAAACCGAGGTCCGCCTGATTTCGGACGTCCTCGCTGCCCTTAAGGTCGTGTCTTTCATCGGGGCCCACACCATTGGCAACGTCAAGTCTCTGCAGGCAAAGGAGCAGCTGCTCCAGCTCCTGCTCGAGAACGAACAGGCGCGACTGAACGTATGGATCAGTCCGTTGAACCAGCATAGCAGCCACTTCTCACTCCTCAACGCATCAAAGGCGACTGTGGAGACCTCCCTGCTGTCTCTGACTGGTACTGCATGGGAACAGGACCCTTGCATTGCTATCGAGCTGGCGACAAGATTCCACTTTCCTCGCCTCCACCGGGAGATTAGACAGCTGCTCCTGAGCAAGCCCGAGAGGGCAGTGTCGGAGCCGGAAGCTTTGGCTCTCATGTTTGGCGGGCATCTCCCCGACGACGTCAACTTGCAGTTGAAGGTCAGTGAAAGTTGATTTGAAACTCGTCTAGCGCTAGCTGACCGTCGAGAAGCATCTCCTGTACTGGCAACCCGTGAACCCGCTCACTGCTGTGAGCATGTTCCTGCCGGCGTACAAGGACCACCCGTTCCTCATTCAATACGCGATGCGGGCGCTCGAGAGCCACTCGATCGATGTCACGTTCTTCTATGTTCCGCAGATTGTCCAGACACTTAGATATGATACCCTGGGATACGTCGAGCGCTTTATTCTCCAGACGGCACAGTTTTCCCAATTATTCGCCCACCAAATTATATGGAACATGAAGGCCAACTCGTACAAGGACGACGACGCTCAGGTGCCGGACGAGATCAAGCCAACGCTCGACAGCGTCATGGAGAAGATGGTGGACAGCTTCGCCGCCGAGGACAAGGATTTCTACGAGCGCGAGTTTGCCTTCTTCGACGAAGTAACGGGGATTTCCGGAAAGCTGAAGCCGCTCATCAGGCGCCCGAAGCCGGAGAAGAAGCAAAAGATTGAAGAGGAGCTTCGCAAGATCAAGGTCGAGGTCGGAGTCTACTTGCCCAGCAACCCCGACGGCGTCGTCATTGGCATCGACCGCAAGTCGGGCAAGCCTCTGCAGAGCCACGCCAAGGCGCCTTACATGGCGACGTTTCGCATCAGGAAGAAGAAGACGGGCGGCCCGGATGCCGGCGTCCTGCCCGAGGAGGCCAGCAAGCAGGGCCAAGACGCCAAGGACAACATGGTCGAGGCGTGGCAGTCGGCCATCTTCAAGGTGGGCGACGACTGCCGGCAGGACGTGCTGGCGCTGCAGATGATTGCGGCGTTCCGCGGCATCTTCCACAGCGTGGGGCTCGAGGTGTATGTGTTCCCGTACCGGGTGACGGCGACGGCTCCCGGGTGCGGCGTCATCGACGTGCTGCCCAACTCCATCTCACGCGACATGCTGGGCCGCGAGGCGGTCAACGGGCTGTACGACTACTTTGTGTCCAAGTACGGCAACGAGGACTCGCTGCGGTTCCAGCAGGCGCGCAACAACTTCGTCAAGTCGATGGCGGCCTACTCGGTGATTTCGTTCCTGCTGCAGTTCAAGGACCGGCACAACGGCAACATCATGGTTGACGACGCCGGCCACATCCTGCACATTGACTTTGGCTTCTGCTTCGACATTGCGCCCGGCGGCATCAAGTTTGAGCGCGCCCCCTTCAAGCTGACGAGCGAAATGGTGGCCGTCATGGGCGGCTCGACGGACCACCAGAGCTTCAAGTGGTTCGAGGAGCTCTGCGTAAAGGCCTTTCTCGCCAGCAGGCAGTACTGCGACAAGCTCAGCCAGATTGTCCTGCTCATGATGGACAGCGGCCTGCCGTGCTTCAAGCCCGAGAGCGTCAAGCACTTCCGCGAGCGCTTCGTCCTCGACAGGACCGAGCGCGAGGCGGCCGACTTTATGAAGGACCTCATCAAGAAGAGCTTCTCGAGCTACAGCACGGGCATCTACGACCAGTTTCAGCTCTTAACCAACGGCATCCCGTACTGACGAGGGCGGGCTCCCATTTTTGTTTGTACATGTCTTGTTCTACCGCCTCTGCCATCCTCTTGCGAGCCAATGCAGGGCCTGTACACTTTTACTTGCTGTGCGCGCGGTGCGCCTCTATCCTCTTGACCCAACCCAGTTTTCCAACACGGAGAATAACACCAAAGAAAAAAAAGCACGCTTGCGTTTACATGAAGCCACGCTCCCTTTTGCTGTAATGAATGTGATGCGAGATGCCAACTCCCAGATGGTTGGCCGCTGTTTAACATGTAGCGTCTCCGTCGCACCGACTCGGACGGCCAGCTCAAGACGATGACTGCTTCAGCATGTGCGTGGGCGCGTTGTAGCTCGCATAGTCGACGTGGACAAAGGCCCTGTCCACAATGGGCACGGACTCGAGGAAGTAGGTGAGAACCTCGCTCAGGTCGTGGCTGTCCTTGAGCGGCGTGATTGCCGACAGCACAATGTCCACCTCGACGAAGAGCTTGTCGCCGGCGTGGTAGGCACGCAGGTTCTGGATGCGACGGATGGCGGTGGCGAAGCGCATGGTGAGATAGAGTAGCAGGTTGCGCTCGTCGGGCTGCGCCGAGAAGCCCGTCAGGTTGCGCACGTGGTGTGCAGACGTCTGGCTCCATGTGAAGATGACGACGAGGGAGAGGACCAGACCGCCGGAAGCGTCGAGCCACCAAATCTTGCCGTAGAAGCCGACTGCAGGAGCAAGCAGCGCGTCAGCGACCGGCACCATGCACGTGGACCTGGGCTTGGACTCACTAATGGGGAAGAGGATCGACCCGATGTTGAAAATGACGTCCGTCTTGGCGTCGTCGGCCCTGCACATGCAAAGGTCAGGCATTACTGCTGCGTACGCGAGTGAGGACAGCATCGCGGGCGACTTACAACGCTCGGACGCTCGAGTTCTTGACCAGGCGGCACCATACCCAGCACGCCCCCTTGATGACAATGGTGGTGACCATGATGACGATGGCCGGGAGGCCAAGGGATATGATTTCGTGCTCGGTACCCGCCAGACGCTGTATACACTGCAACCCGACCTGGACAAAGGACGTCACCATGATGACGGAGAAAACCAAGACGCCCACAGGCTCCAAGCTGGTGAGCACGATGGTCAGCGTCGGACGGCAATGCATCAACCAGTGTGCACGCGTTGACCGAGGTCATGTTAGACTCACCGGCGGCGCCCGACAGGGTAGCGGTGCTGGTCCTTGTGGCCCGACGAGATGAGCCGAGTGGTGGTCCAGACGATGGCGGTGCTGAGGAAGTCGAGGGTGGCGTCGACAAGACTGGCCAGGACGGACATGGACGGGACGGAGATGATGACGGCGATTTTGCCGATGAGAAGAACCACATTGGCGACCAGGTTCACCCAGATGGCCAGCGTCACAATGGGGTCGTCGCTGTCCACCTCGCCGTCCTCGAGCCATGACAGGCTGGGCCTCGGACCCTTGTCTCCCGTCCGAGGCACGGGCGCCGGGGAAAAGGGCTCCTCATCGGCGTGCTGAAGCAGCGGCATGCTCTCCGAGGAGCGGAAGATGTCCTTGGGAGTTCGCTTCTGGGGCAGAGGCGGCTTGGCGCCGTTCTGGCCATTGTCCTTGGGGGCGGGAGCTATGGAGCCGTACGAGTCGGGACCTTGGCGGTCGAGAGAAGCGGTCGAGAGGGATTGAGACAGGTTGGGCTCCTCGCTGATGGTAGCGGGGACGTCAAGGGGCCGGAAGGCCGAGGCCTCGAGCTCGGCCGAATACTCATTAAGCAAGTCGTGAGGAATGGACGAGTCGAGAAGACAGTCAATGTACATGTATTGCTGGATGAGCTCGTTTGTACGTTCATAGTACTCGCGGCTTTGCGGGTCAGTGGCGGGATGGTGCTGGCGGCGAGGGCGCGGTCTCACATTGGTTTCTTCATGGCCTTGAGCTCGTCCTCGTTTTTCCAGTATCGCTCCCACCGATAGCGAGGGTTGCTCTTGCCAATCAGATTCATGCTTCGCACCTGGGGCCCCTTGAGGATTTGGCTGAGGCGCGTCTCATCGCGAAGCAGCCTCTCGATATCTTCGTCGTCATGGCGCATCCAGATGGCCGATTCATCGTCGTCGGGGACATGGCGATGGGCAGCGGGGGGCCAGGAGCCGGTGAGGCTCTGCTGGGAGCGGCTCCGGATGAGCGAAGCCAAGGCACCGGTTCTCGTGGTCAGGGGATAGTGATGATGGGCATCGTCGAGGGAGAGCAGAGACGACTTTCGGATGGGGCGGCCTCTCGGGCTCGGAGGAGCCATTGCGACGACGAGGACAGGGATGCTTGGGTGCGGGTGGACGAGAGACGAGGCTAAAGGGCATCAGTGGCCAGGTGAAGGGAGGCCGGGATGGCGATGATGGAGCTTTGTCGTTGCAAGGCTATCTCCTGGGCGGTTTCAAGCTGTGGTGGTGTGCCGAGGGTGGAGCCGGCTGGCGCAAACACACTTTGCACGGCGGCTAGAACCAAGCCGGAGGCCATTGCGCTACCGGCAGCTGCGACGATGATGTCGGAGGCCTGTGCCCCCTTGGTCTAGCGAAGACAAGAAGCCGCCGGGCGAGGCTGGGGAAGCTGTTACATTATTGGTCCATGACAAGCACGGCCGACGTCCTTGATACAGAGGCGATGGAGAGCATTGTCTGGCGATGCTGCAACTCAGGGCCCAGTGGGTATGTATGTATGATGCATCGCGTGCTGTATGCAAGTCATGCTGTGTGGGGAGAAGCTTTGTCTGTGTGCCAAGTTTAGATTAGATGATGGCTCCGATGGCGGGCTCGCATCGCGCGTTTCGGCCAATTCCTCGTTCCAGTCGTGGCCGAGACAAAGGGAGCGCTTTCGGGGGTCACGGAATGGAAGGAAGAAGAAGGAAAGAAGACGAGTCCGCAAACGCGAGCAAAGCTTAATTGCATCAGCGATCAAGGAGGCCGGGAGCAGCAGTGGAGCAGCCAAGGGATCGATGTGTCCTGCAGCTCTCGTGCAGGCCTCGCTGCAGTGGAAATTGGGCTCGTGATGGTGGTTGGAAGCAAGGCGTCCGTCCGGACATGCTCCCAGTGCAGCAGAGGTAGGTAAGGTAGGTAGGTAGGTACCTCGCTTGGTACAGTATATGCCCTACCTCCTTATGCCTAGGTACTTCAAGGTAGGTAAGGTATCTACCTACCTTAGGTATGCCTAGTTGCCTACCTTGACCTGTCGGTGCCTCGAGACCGTTCCAGTTTTCCGGTAACTGGATCTTCGACGGGCACCACCTGCCTGTACGTAGGTATTTCGCAGGCGGCAGGTACACTCAGTACTGCGCAGTACATCCCGCCTTGGCCGGCCTTTGCATGCGTCTGTTGCTGTGGCAGGTACGGAAGCCTTATCGCCCTGGCTCTCCGCGCCCTCGGTGTGCTCGACCAGGCACAGCGCCTTGCGAGGTGCCTGACTAAGTTAACTCGTCTTGCCCTGCGGGGTGCTCGTCGTGGGCAGACAGACAGGTACCTAAGTACCTAGGTAGCCACCGAGTAGGTACACCCATTCCTACAGCAAGGAAAGGCAAGGAGCCTGCTTCATACCTACCTCCTACCTACCTTAACAACCTAGATGGACAAGTACCTAGGTGGACGATAGATAGGTACCAAGGTAAGGAGGAGCCCCCCCCCTTTGGCCACCGGGAAGTGAGTCAAAGAGCTCACCCCGTCGCAACACGCCCCTGACGGAAATAGCAACAACAGAACCATCTGCGCTCGGTTGGATGCATTGTTTCCATCTGGTAGTCTGGGCTGGCGCTTACCATCTCGTGTTTGAGAACAAGGGGCGCGTCTCCTCTCCTGAGTGATTGCAAGCTAGTATGTACAGTACAGTACAAGAGGCCCCAGGCATGGTGCCTGGGAGTCGGGCGTGCATCACTGCTACGGAGAGGTAGTAATTAGCAAGGCATCTACGGATACTCCGTACTGTAGGTACGGTAGATACAGTACAGTACAGTAGAGGCCAGAAGCAGGTGCGTACCTAATCAGGCACAAAACCCTCCTCCACATCTATAGTAGGCCGCCGTCGACCCTCCCTCCTTGCCCTAGGCCAAGGCTTCTCGCATTGATTGCCTCGCATCCCATGAATCGTGCGCCCCCATTGGCCACGTCACCGACGGGCAGGATGAAATGAGAGCCCAACAACACACGGAATGCTTTGGCCGCCCGTCTCTCGGCAAAGGAGGGTCGGCTTATTATATTGCTTTGCCCCCGCCTCGCACATGCATCTGGCCTCTGCGCAGTGGGCCCTTCACCAGCACTGTAAACATATACAGTACGACGGAGTTGGACTTCCCATTACCAAACCATGGCCGTGTTGCGCCGCCGCCGAGCTGCCGTCCCCTCTGCGACCCCGTCTGTAACCCGATCCGCGCAGCCCGAGTATCGAAATGCCGTCGTCCCAGCCTTGTGACTCGTGTCCCGGCGAGCAACATGGGACCGCTTCCCTCCAGTGGCGAGCCATGCATTCCACGCACCGTGCTTCCTTGGCGCAGACAGCCTGGTCTGAGCTTGGGCCGAGGCGCAGCAGCCCGCACAATGTGCACCCGCTGTCGCTTATGTGCAGAGGGCAGACCCGCAAATGCATCCGGCCTGTATGTACAGTACATGGACAATCATGACACCATAATAACGAAAAAGGACACCCACGCACCGCGGTGTGTGCTGTTGTACTGTAGTGCATGCGGGATACAGGCCCGGTTCCATGTGATAAAGCTTGTCGACGCTCATCACCGAGGCCGAGACACTCATGCCCACGGCCAGACCAGGGCTTTTTGATTTCCGACAGGACGACTCCTTGTCGACGGCCTCATGCTCGAGGCAAGGTAATCTATCCTTCCATGCCTTCCTTGCTGTACATGTATGTATGCGCATATGTACGTGCTCCGTATCACTTCGATCCATGCAAGCGCCATTGTCTTGCCGACTCGTCGCTCGCGCCCGAAAGAGAGAGAGAGAGCGTGGGTTGACGAGACGCATTGTCGTCATCGTCTTCCGTCCCGCCGCCGTGTGCCTTGCGCCGTTGTTATGTTGATTTATAATTTAACACTATTAGCCAGTCGGTAACTGGCCTACTACCTAGTATGTAAGTAGGATGAGCAGCAATAGGAGGATCAACAAAGCAGCCAGTCCTTTCACTTGGCAGGCAGGGTCCAACCTCTTGTTCCACCCCACGAGACCGCGCTGGCGGGTCTTGTCTGCGCCGGGCCAGACATTTTTCTTCTTCCTCCCCCGTCGTGGTGGCTGGCTGCTAAAAAGAGGCGGTGGCGGCCCGACCCCAGTGTAGCCGGCACCGTATCGCACCACCACGGGCAATCATTCCAACCTCCGCCGTCACCCGCCGGCAACAGGTTTAGGGCTGTCCGCCTGGGGTTTGGCCCCGTCAGCATGCGAACGTTGCTCGACCCTCTCTTTGCCTCTCACCACTAGGCAACCTAACTTACTTCTTACTCCGTAGCCATGGCCTGTGTTCCTGGATCTGTGCGGGATACTTTCCTACTTTCATCTCCCGCCTAACCAAAAAGCAAACAAGGCAGCCAACCGTGCGTAGCATTTATACAGTGCTTGAAGCAGAGACGTCAGCTTTGAATTGGATATACGAAACTTTTCCCGACCGTGCATTTCCAAGTACTGTACGGATACGGATAACCTATCCGTACTTGACTTCCACGTACCTGTCTGACCAAGCAGGACCCCAAGACTTCCCTACGACCTTGCTTAATACAGCCTGCTCGGTACTGGGAACCGGCGACATGATGAGACAAGGCCATGTCCCGGGGCATCCTCCACCCTCTGTTACTAGTAGCAGATACTTGAAGCAGCAGCTCTTTATAAGTACTACCACTAGGCGGAATATGGCCGAGTACCTATGCCCTGGTACCAGCCATCGAAGCTGAGCACGGAAATGCTGCCCTATCTTTCTTGGGCTGCCCGAAGCATGTACTGGGGTACCAGAGGTACGCAAGCGGCCACGCCAGATGGGTGTCCACTCTGGGCCCAGAGGTACTTGCAGTCCTTTTGGTTGGCCTTGTTAGGTAGTACATTCAGGACATGTTTGTTCGGATGACCAAAAGGACAGAGAGGCCCAAGTCAGTTTGACAGGTGGCCGGCGTGTCTTGTCGCATGCTCAGCTTGCACCAGACCCCGGCCGGACGACGGGTCTACCGACATGCTTCCCTTTCAGCTGCGGTGCGACTGGCGAACCAGTGCCAGGCCGACAGCTCGTCCGGCCTGCCTGGGATGCTGCCTGGGATGCTGCCTGGGATGCTATGCGGCTTCTTGGCGCGCGCGCGCCAGCACAGCACGAACCGACACGCTGAGACAGGCACTTCTGTCTCTCGAGGTACGGAGTACATACATGCAGCATGATGCACCGTCCTGTACTGCAGGGCCTGCGCCGTCCTCTCTGTCCCGTTCGATGACCGTCGAGCCCGAGTCTCTGCCGCCATCGACGGGCAATCATGTCCTTCCCCGAGCCAGGCGCGTGTGCCGTACAGTACCACCAGTAATTATAGTCGCCATGGTCTGGGGCAGTGACCGGGGAGCGCAGCTGGATGGCGACGCCTCGTCGAGCTGCTGGGTCTCTGTGGGCCCAGATCGGCCTAGCAGGGAGCGCCCGCTGAAAACTGCCTGTACCTGTACGAGTTGAGCCCGGGCTAAACCGGGGTCGGCGGCAGCGCGAGAGAAAAAAAAAGTCGTGTTCGTTCACCCCCCCCCCCCCCCGGTTTTGCCATGTCTTGTGCTCAGTTCAAGCTTCTCTGCTCTTCCCTTTCCCTTCTCAACCGTTCCTACCCTGGCCGTAGTTGACCGTGGTGTCCATCTCTCCATCTCCCTCCATCTCTCCATCTCTCCATCTCTACACGACGAAACCATCCATCCAGATGCCCGACTGAGATCCCCTGTCCCCTCAACCCCCTCAACCCCCTTCGCCTCCCTCTCTCTACTTCGTATCCATCCGCCCCTTCCCCTCTTTCCTCCCGACTCGAGCACACCCGGCTGAGACTCGGATTGCATTTGGAGCCCATGTACGGATACACATCCTCCCACCCGCGCGCGCACTGAGGGACTGCGTATGTACTTGGTTGCCGTGTGTTTACCACGACCAGGATCTGTATTTTTCTTGCCTCGGTTTCATCCGCTCGCTCTCTTCTCCTCACGCCGCTCTCTCTTCTATTTTTTCCTACATACGCGTGTCTCGCCCCATCTTTCTCCTATCCACCGCCATTCCTAATAACCGTCCGACAGCCCTTCTGTCGTCGTCGTCCTTTGGCCGTGTGGCATTGTCGTTTGCGAGGATCTGCACCCGCGTTTTTATCCAAGCGCTGTCTTTGCGAGTTGCCGCTTTCTCACCTAGCACCATTGTTTCTTGTCGACGAGATTAATGTGAGTCTTTCCTTGCCCGTTCCGTCCCCCACGGCGCCCACGGCGACAGCATGCCTGCCACGTCCGGCCAACCGGCCTACACTGGTCTCAGGTCCATTTGCCATTAAAAGCAACTTGCCTTCGTCATCCAGCCTCGCCGCGCGCTGCATCCCATCCCCTGCCCGACTGAATCCATGGACAAAGCTCAGAATTAACCTGGGCGTCTTCTCTTCATGCAGTTGTCCGCTAGCGTGTCGCCCGCCAAGTTCGCTCCCCGACCCGGGACCCACGACAACGGCGCTTTTACTCCTTGCACGACCGCATCACCTCGTATAGCCCCCTAGTGCGCGTAACACGGATCGAAGCCAAAGAACACGACGACTCTTGTTTTCAATCCCAGCCTCGATTTCCCTTCCTCCAGAGCCATCAGAGCTGTCGCTGCCGGCCGTCCTTCTACATGCCTAGATTCTCCGTCGCCTTCTCCAAGCGGAAGTCGGCCGCCGACGAACTGACGCCCCCTCCCGCTGCCCCGACGGAACAGCCGTCCTTTCGCGTCATCGAGCGGAATGACGTCTCAGCCGGCAGATCCTTCGACGGCGGCGCGCGCATGGCGAGGGCCTCCAGGGTCGTTGCTCCCCAGCCCAACCTGACGGACCTCGACGTCGAGGAGAACATGTTTGCCGACCTCAAGGCCAATCGGTCAGTTTCACCGCTCTGTCTCGTCCACGGCGCCCTGAAAAAAAAAGCCCCCCCTCCTGCCGACAACGCGGCTCGACCTGCCCGACTCCTGCCTGTGCCTTCTCGCCTTATACGCGCAACATGATAGTCCTGGTCAAGCTTTGCTAACGACGAGGCTAGTGGGAGTGGCGTTTCCAACACTACCAACGCCACGTCGACCGATAACTCGTCTCGACACAGCAATGCATCCACCGCCCCCTCTTCGACCGATTTGAGTGGCGGCGGGGGGCAGGACGATGCCCGGCAACCGACCACCTCATCATCTCAAGAATCCCCCAGTCGAGGAGGTTCCTCCAAGTCCAGCTTCCTGGACCGCGCGACCCGGACGTTTTCGTTTGGCGGGCAGAAGAAACACTCCATCCCTCCGCCCCAAGACAACCGCGTCCCAGATCTTCCTCCCATCCTTACTCTTCAGAACAATAACAACAACAACGGCGGCGAGAGCAGATCGCGCGGCCTGACGGCTTCGACTGCCAGCACGGCCACACCGACCAACGCAGAGGAGGCGAACCTGGATTTGGGCGGGGATTTCGGATCCATGTTTACAACCTTTGACAAGAGAGCGAGCATGGCGACGCTCAAGAATGACGCCGCCGCAGAGCCGAGATCTCTGACGGGGATCCGGCATGTGCACTCGGCTCCGCTGAGCCCAGACTATGAGACGCCAGCCGAGCCGCTCCTTGGCCGGCGTGGTAGCCCGCCGCGGGAAGACGACTTGTCGCTGGCTGCGTACGACGTGCCGCCTCCCGTACCTCGCCATCAGGCGGTCGGTTCCTTCAAATACTCGGATCGCCCGTCGGACATTGCGGAAGATGAAGACGCCAAACTCCTACAGGAGTCTTTCTCTGCAATGAAGATTTTGTCGGACCCCGGTGCCAAGTCGGGCCGATCTCAAGCTCATCGATATCGACGAGACGAGGACACGTTTTCTACGGTGCTCCCCAAGTCCATTGCCTCGAATTTCGCCGAGGACAACATGTTCGAGGGCAGTTTGCCCCGGTTACCACGAGCCTCCCATCGATACGTGCCGCGATCCTCCACCCCGTCCCAGCAGAACAAGGTTATGACTCCTGCAGAGTTTGAAAGGTATCGACAAGACAAGGAGCGCCAGGACACGGCGGAGACGGCGACGCAGGTGGCTACTCGTGACGACGAAGACGACATCAATTACGACGACGATGAGGACGAGCAGGAGAAATCAAAGCAACAAGCGAAGCAGCGCAGGAAGCAAGAGGCTCACATGACGGTCTACAGGCAGCAAATGATGAAGGTCACGGGAGAACCCGCCAGCCCTCCCGTCGCCCGCAACGGCCGCTCCGGACTGCCCCCGTCGTCGAGCGCACCCCAGCTCAGCCAGATGAAGTCGCCCTCGCCGGATCTTGCCGCCGGGGCGGATGATGAGGATGAGGACGAAGACGTACCGCTGGGCATCCTGCAGGCTCACGGGTTCCCAGCCAGAAACAGGCCGCCCACCAGACTGAGCCACGCGGGCTCCATTTCGAATCTACGAGCTCCGGCACTGGGGCCCCGGCCTGCCTCCATGACGGGCGAGTCCCTGGCCAACGCTGCCAAACGTCCTTCAACGCTTCCAGCGTTCGCGAGACATCTGCCCCAGGATCCGTTCGTTGGGGCCAGCCTCGCTAGGCCGGCTCTGAGGGAGTCGCTCTCATTCGGTGACGCAGGTCAGCTCTCTCTGCCGCAGCAGGGCCCGCTCCCGCCCGGTGGCCTCGTCGGCGTGATTGCAAGCGAGGAGCGCTCGCGCGCCATGCGTCGCGGAAGCCCGAGTGTCGACCACAAGATGCCTCCCGGATTGGGCATGAACGGCCCGCAAGGCCTAGGCTTCGACGCCGCCGCCGGCATGCCTCAGCACATGGTGTATGGGCCGGGCGGCATGCCCATGATGCACCCAATGCCAATGCCGCCGCCAATGCTCACGCCTGGCGATCAGGCACAGATTCAGATGACGCAGCAAATGCAGCAATTTATGCAAATGCAAATGCATTTCATGCAAATGATGGCTGGTAACCAGGGCGGCGGAGGCCATCCGATGCAGCCACCGATGCAGCCACCTTACGGTGCCGGCCTTCCCGGCAATCTTTCCATGGCTGACCTGTCATCCCGGCACTCCATGACGGGTGAGCCGATGGCGGAGCCTCTCCGGATGGAACACGGGCGAACCATGAGCATGGTCCAACCCAGTTCGTCGTCTTTCATGCACCCTCCCCAGCTGGTAACTCCATCCATCCGAGGCTCCGCTGCAGGGTACGCTCCGTCCATCGCGCCCTCTGAGCGAAGCAACATCGGTCTGCCAGGGCGTTACAGACCTGTGTCTCACGCCCCGTCGTCGCCCGCACTCGGCCACAATCGGGCGAGCACCATGTCGGGAGGTCTCTCCAACTGGAGCGACGACAAGAGCAAGTCGACGGTCAAGATCGTGGACAAGGCCGGCGAAGGCTCCGACGAAGATGACGAGCAAGGTTGGGCGGCCATGAAGGCCAAGAGAGAAAAGAAGAGATCCATGTGGAGGAGCAGGAAAAGCTTTGGCAGCGAGTTGGCGCTGTGATTTGGGACGATTTCACGTACATTCTTCTTGCATGGTGGTGAATCTGTGTGGCATCTCTTTTGCATCGATTCCCCCTCCCCCCTTTCCCCGATTGTATTTCTCCCACCTTCTTGCAAAAGGCGCTCCCTATCTTGTATGTTGGGGGACATTATTCTGGCGACGCCCGAAAGCCCCTACATCTTGCGCTAGATACTTATTTCGGATTGGGCGTCAGCAGGCACAATGCGATGGATATTGGTGTTCTCATGGTCAACTCGCGTCGCGTACGATAGAAGTGGCTATACGCGCTAATTGACTAATTGGATACGTGCTCACACGTTCGGTTGCTTGGCGAGCGCGTAAGTCATGCCGCTGCAGGATCGGGGGAAGTGGTCGTCTAGTGTGATCTCGATCGGCACGATGGCTCACTCGCGGGTGTATGTCTATGCTCATTGTATACAAGACCCGCGCAACTAAGCGAGAGCTAGTTTACCGTTATGCGTGCTCCAGCATCCGCCGTCTGAACCGACAAGGACTTGCTCATCCATCACGTTGGCTCTGCAGATGAGGGAAGAGAAGGAGACTCACCGCGTCCCTTCTCTCCCCCTCGCCCCCCGCGGCCTCGTCTATCTCTTGGCTTGCCTGACCCTCTCAGCCCTCGATCCTGCCGGCAGCCCATTGCTTCCTCTTGACGCCCATCTCGACGGCAGCCGACGCCCAGCTCTCGCCGTGGTTGTGGCCCTTGCCGTCGACGCCGGCGCGAGACTTGGCCTGGTCGTCGCTGAGAACGGTCAGGACGCCGAATATGACGGGGACGCCTGTGTCGAGCTGGACGCGCATGAGGCCGTGGGAGACGGCGTCGGAAATGTACTCGAAGTGCATCGTCTCGCCCTTGATGAGCACCCCGATGGCGATGATGGCGTCAAAGGCACCCGATGCGGCGCCGCCGGCGCTGGCGAGAGCGGTCAGGTCGGTGGCGGAGGAGGCGAGGAGGTCGGTGGCCGAGGGCCCGCCGGTGGACGTGGACTGGATCTGCGAGGCGGAGAAGACGCTGTCGTTGGGGCTCGTGTCAGCCGCAGTCGGCGGAGTAGTCGCGAGGGGAAAGCAAGGACATGCGACTTACCGCTGGACGGTCAAGGGAAGCTCCCAGGAGCCGGGACAGGACTGGACGACGATGTTGGACTCCTTGACGCCGTGGGAGAGGAGCTTTTCCTTTGCGCCGGCAACGAGGGGCTTGATGATGTGCATGTTCCAGCAGGCGTGGACGATGGCGACGCGCAGGGCGGAGCCGTCGTGGTGCCGCTGGGAGGTGGAGGGGCCCTTGAGAGACATTGCGTGTCGGCAGGCGGAGGGACCGCGGGGATTCTGGGAGGGTTGTTGGTGAGGGTGATCGAGTCGACGTCGTCGCCGGGATTGCAGAGGGCGAGGGAATGGGAGAGGGAGGAATGGAAAGGCTGCTGGAGGGGCTGCTGGAGGGGCTGCTGGAGGGGCTGCTGGAGGGGCGGCGGTTCTCGCTGACGACGATGGGTCTCCCTGCAGCGGGGCTGAAGAAGGGCGGCGGCGGCGGGGCAGCTTTAGCTCCGCCGCTCTAGAAAGGTCGGCAGCCGAACCCCAAAGAGCACTACTATTCCACTGTATGCCTTGCTTGCAGGTACTTTGCCCGGATACACGCAGCCCTGTAAACTATGGCACGCCATAGCATGTCCGGAGTACCTTTGCCCACTTGCCCACTTGCCCACTTGCCCACCACAGGTAATTACATACATACAAGACCCTGTGATGCCTGTGTCCTCGACGACTCCCTGGCTCCTTCCTCACCCAAGTCGGTCGGAACAGCACCGGCTAGGAAAATTCTTGAAGATGGGTAACTTCTCTCGAAGCTCACCGCCATGGCGTCTTCCTCTGCTTCCACAACTATACATCAATCTATCTGTTCAAGCCGAAACCGCGGCCAGCAGTCGTATATCACGGCATGAATCCTTGCATACTGGTCATCTGATGCCTCTTATATCGCGGCAGAATCTCGAGAAACTGAGTATTCGCCGTTGATCAGGCAATCTACGCCATCTTCTCGTCATCTTGTGCGTTTTCAGGGATAATGGCCATATCCGCCCTCCCTCAAGCCACCGTCCGCTTGCTCGGCGCCTCGACAAACATCGCCTCTCCGTATCATCTTGTCAAGGAGCTGCTGGACAACGCCATCGACGCTCGAGCAACCACGGTCGAGATTTCCATCTCCGCAGACACCCTGGAGAAAATCTCCGTCCGAGACAATGGTCACGGCATCGCGGTGCAGGACTTTGAGTCGCTGGGCCGCAGGGCACACACGAGCAAGCTGAGGAGCTTTGGTGAGTTGCAGACCAAAGGCGGCAAGACGCTGGGGTTCCGCGGGGAAGCCTTGGCCAGTGCCAATGCCGTTTCCTCCATCGCCATCACTACAAAGGTGTCTGGCGATCCAGTTGCTTCGCGGCTGCAGCTGCGTTTTGCTGTCGGGGGAGTTGAACAAAGGCGGCCGGTTTCCGCGCCCGTCGGCACCACCGTACAAGCCACCCAACTCTTCAAGAATATGCCTGCAAGGAAACAGCTCTTCATCAAGGAGAGGAACAAGTCCGTGTCGAGCATCAAAAGTCTTCTCAAGAGCTACGCCCTGGCGCGGCCGCATCTCAAGCTATCCTTTAGAGTAACCGACGACGGCTCCCAATCTTGGTCGTATTCCCCGAATGGCTCACCGACGGTGAGGGAGGCAACCCTCCAAATATTTGGCGGAGGCTTGGCCACCAATTGCGTGCACATGACCGTCGGGGAGAATAACCGTGGCATTTCAATACACGATCAGCAGCCAAAGGGGTTCGTGCTAGATGCCTTTCTTCCAAGGCCAGACTGCGATGTCAAGGCCATTACCGGCAAGGGCTCTTTCATATCAGTCGACCAGAGGCCTGTTTCACCAACGAGAGGGCTCCCGAAAAGAATTGTCAGCGCCCTCAAGTCCCAGTTCTCGGAGCACATGGCGAGAATAGGGTCTACCAAGTCGCACGCGAGCCCCTTTGTGCGGTTGGATGTTCGATGTCCCCCGGGCAGCTATGACCCCAACGTGTCGCCTTTGAAGGACGAGGTCTTGTTCGCTGATGAGAAAGGTCTCATTGAGTGCTTTGAGAAGCTGTGTCGAGAGCTGTACGCTGCTTCGAAGAATGATGAAAGTCAGGTTGTCGGGGACTTTTCGGAGAAGCGCTGCGAAAGGGGGCTGCCGTTTCCAACGTAAGTCGAGCCTTGACCACGGACGGGCTGCAAGAACAGAGAAGGTCAGTTGGCATTGACGAAGCCTTGCCAGTGACGGCCAAGGCTACGACCCTGCTGGCGCTTCCTCTTGGGATGACGCAGACATCCTTGACCTGCTGAACGAGCTCCCTCTCGGTGATTCCTCGCCAAGCACCAACATGTGCGCAGCAGAGTCTGATCTTGAACATGAGAGACAGTGCAAGGCCCCTCAAGGATTCCAGCCCCAGGAAGAGCCAGCCGCCGGGCCAGTCCGAGTGAGTATGAAGACGGTGAGCAGAGTCGATATGGCCCGCAAAGACAGTAACACTACCGATAACGATGGCGCGGGCGAGACAGTTGACGTATTGATACCGCCACGGCCTGCCAAGGCTGAGCCGCCCCTTGAGCGGCCGAATCCGAAGCTACGAAAGGGTGCAGACATTCAGCGATACTTTCACTCGACGCGGAACCAAGGTTTTCAGATCGCTAGCGACGACACGGCAACTGTCGGAGAGCCGGGGCCAGTCCATGACGCGTCACAGGCTGAGCGCCCAGGCCCCGATTTTCGACAGCCCTTGCAGCCTCTCAGCAAATCAGCGCTGAACCGGATGCAGGGAGACTTGGAAGCGGCAGGCTCACAATCGTCGGCGGACGAGCTTGAAGTCTTGCGCCCGCATCACCTGCCTCGCGGGGACCTTGACACGCCGTTTTCCCGGAGAGGCCAAAGTGTCGTTGCAGACGAAAGAAACAGCCGCCCTGCTTTGTCGCCTCGAGTCGTTCCCAGCGCTCAAAGTTTGGTTCCAAGACATGTTCCGTCTTCACCAAGGGTGAACAGGCCCAGTCCCTTCCCAACGCCGCCATCCTCGGGACACTTACGAGGTGAAAGACTACGCACTTCACTTAGATCTAGTGGCGGGCGTCAGGCTACCGCCCCGAGACAGACACAGGCTCGGCGCAACCAAGCACGTACGCCTGCCGTCGCTGAAGGGTTATTTCAATCAGCCATGGGCTCGACAGCAGAGAGCTCCGGTGTAATGACGGCACCCGACTTTACTTTCAGCTGCGTCCCCCAAGCTGGAAGAGAAGGGGGTTGGGGTCTTTTGGACTCGATGCACATGGGGAGCCCTCCATCCGTTCCTGTCCTAGGCTAGGACCTTGAGCAGCAGGATCGCGAAGGCGGACAGCAGCAGTGCAGCCCCCAAGCGGTAATTCGAGATGCAAGCAGTACGCCCGATGCAGGTCGACCGAGGCTGTCGCACCTGAACAAGCAGTATTCTCACATGGCTCAAACTCTGCTCATGAGGAGCCCATCGCCTACGAGCGAACCTGGATGCGGGCGGCCGAGAGGGCAGACGGACGAAGACGGGCTTGCAGCTGACTTGGTCGGACAGAGGGCCCGATTGCCAAGCAGGATGGTTTCGAGAAAACGTTCAACAAGCATCGAGTCCCATGCTGACCCTCGCCGGTATCTCATTCAAGGCAGGCGGGGCAGAATGCCTGGAGGGCACTCGAGGAGGCTGTCATCCAAGAGGCTGCCTTTGGAAGCAACGCCCAAAGGCGGAGAGACGCAGGGCACGTTGGGGTCGATGCAGGTTTCAAGCGATGAGATTCAAGGTCGCATGCAGCATCTTGCCGGGTTCGATTCGTACGTACTTTGCGGTCAATTGGCGACGGGCCTGCCGCTCAGGGACATGGCGGAAGCGCATGCGGTTGAGCGCTGCTTGCGGGTGCAAGTGGAAGCATGGAGGGCCAGGGGGAAGATGGAAGAAGTCGAGGTTGACTACAAGCTACTTTCTGAGGCAAAGGGCAAGCGCAAGCGCAGCAGCTGAGTTTGTGTGTTCGGTGTGAGGCTGCATACGATTTGCGACTCGAGTGTTACCTGGGGTGTCGCTGGAAACGGAGGGCCGGCACTCGGCAGACAGGTACTTAGCTATGGCTTTTGTTGAAACATTGTCAAGGGGAGTCGAGTGTGGCGCAAAATGGGGACCAGCAAGACACGAAAAGGCCGAGATGGCTTGAAAGAAGGCTGGAAAAGGGCGGTGACGCCAGAGGATGGATGGTGTTTCACGGGTGCAGGTGAGGGCAATTGCCCGTGATGTATGGATGGATATACGGATAGGAGACGGGTGGTGGGTTGGGGAAAAGGGCGTGTGGCAGCAACAGTGAGACGAAGGAGGGTCGGGTCGGGAGACGCGAGAGAGGGGCGCCAAGTCTGATTGGGCATTCGTATCTGCGGATGGTGTTGTGTTGTTGTTGATGGGCAGAGGCGAAGCTGGCAGGCGAGGATGGCGAGGTACAGTGCAGTTACAGTAGGTACCTACAGTACGACGTACGGATACGTAGCACCGAGGTAGCGAGGAGCCGCACTGCAGTGGATGATGACCAGCAAGAAGATCAAGAAGCTGCTATTCTTGAAGCAGGGCGCTAGGGTCGAGTCTCCGCTTACCCTCGCGGGCCTAGCATCTCACCTTTGGCTTACATTGGCAAGGTAGGCATGGGTAGGGCAGAGGGGTATTAGAGAGAGGCAGAGAAGGTGGTTGAGGGGCGCGTGGAGGGGCGGGAGGCGTGGCGTTTTGCCGATCGGCGGAGAGGAAAAGGAAAAGGGAAAAAGAAAGGAAAGGGCAAGCAGGAGAAGCTGCCGTGGGCACCGGGGCTGTTGGAGACGACGAATGCATAGGCTCGAATCCGGATCCGACTTTGTGTGTAATTATACAAGGTCAAGGTCCGGCCAGCATGGTAGCACAAAGGCAGGGAGAGCGAGAGAGAGTCGTCGGACCAGGCAGGCTCCCTGCCTTGACTTGGCCCTCATCATGCATGCATGCATGTACAGAACTGTACTGTACGTACTCGGTAGAATTACCGAACGGAGGACAAAGTGCGCCCGCTCGAGCATATATTCGCATGAAAGGGCAACAAAAGGGCGTCAGCAGCAGCAGCAGCAGCAGCAGTCTTCCAATTACGTGAGAGGAGAAAGCAGCTGGAATTCCATGTGCGACGGGCGGTGCGGTGCGGGCGCCATGATGCAAAAAAACCCCATACACGCATATCCTGATGTTGATGTGTACGGCAGAATGCGACTGGGTACGGGACGCGACCGCGCTGCCTCAGACATGGCCCAAGAGGGTTGCGCTGCGTGTATGTACGGAGTATTAACTTAGAAGCGAGCACGTTGCAGGTGATGCTGTTTTCAAAGTTTGTTCCTCTTTGGTGGTGGTGGTACCTGAACTGAGCCGGGCACTGCTTGTGGACTGGGCTACTACTAACCTAGTAGCGCATTGCACCGCCTCTGCAGCGGCGGGACTTGGTGCTTCCATCTTCCATCCATGCTGAGATGCTGCGCAAGTAGAGAGTACCTGGCTAGGAAGCGCTAGGGGGTCCCTTTCCCCCGGCTGGGCCGCTGCAGACAAGGCCGGCGGCGGCTGCTGGCACGGCTTTTGTCCCAGCGCGGACGGTTGCACGAGGTACCGGTACCTGGCACTGCAGTATGCATCTCCGTTTTTCTTCCAGGGCCCCCTCTCCGCTGCCCGGGCACTGTCAGCCGCTCGCTCGCCCGCACGCCCCCTCTCTGGACGGACCTCTCTGGACGGACCCCCCTGGACGGACCCCCCTGGCGGAGAGAAACTCAGCATCAGGCTGGGACATTCATGGGGCAGATTGGCTACGAAGACGGCGTGTGTCGAGCAGAGGGACTACGAGTAGGCGAGGAAAATAAGAATAAGAATAGAAACTAAACGGGCAAAGAAACGGTAGAGAAAAGGAAAAAAAGGGGCGGCCTCGTATGTAATATCTCTCCATGGTTGCCCAGCCCCCAGAACCCCACTGTGCGTCTCCCTCAGCACTGGAGCACAGGTAGTTAAGTTACGCCCTCTGGGCAAAGAGTCAGTTAGTGGCTTGGCTACCTACCATCCCCGTGGATATGGATCCCATCCTGCCTTCTGCCTAGCTGGCTGGCTCTCTCTCTGCCTGCGTCGTCGAATATTCATCCAAGTTTGTAACTGCCCTCTAATCTTGTTCTCTGCCCTTCTGCAACCGGCCGGCCTTCTTCCGCCCCTTCGTCATTTTCCACCATCGTCAATCCGCCGCGCCCAACTCTTGGTCCCAACCCACAAACACCACATACGCGCGCCTCGACGACGGCGCCTTTGCAGCTTTACGCGACCTGCTCACCCACCGCCCGACGAAATTGCAAGCCCTGCAAGATGCGCCGCTTCTGACGGCGACGAGGGCCCATGATGCGTCTGCGCCGGGCTGGCGAGCCCCTTGGCCAACAGCTGAGCGCCGGGTCCGCGCCCTCATCGCCCGACGCCTTCGCGTCTTTTCCTGCTCCGGGCCGCCTCCAGGCCGCCGCCAAAGCGCCGACTCGACGACATCCGACGTCCAAGACCTTCCGCTTGCCAGCCTCCCTCACCCTCTTCGTCGCTCTTCTCCTCGTCCTCGCCACTCCTCCTGCCGCCGCCGTCCGCATCCCCGTCACAAACTGCCTGCCCGACTCGTACCAGTCCAACACGCCGGCTCCGCTGCAATGGCAGCCTCTGCACGCCGACGCAAAGTTCGACACCCAGAGCGGCAGCCACAACCTCCAGCTGATCGTATGGGGCAACGTCACGGGCTCGCAGAACCAGGACGCCCTTCCGCCTCCCGATGATTCGTACTGGACGAACCCGAACAAGACAAACGGCAAGATCATCGAGACCCCGGACCCCGACGCAGACAACAAAAAGGCCACGACCCTGTTCCGGAGGGTCAATGTTTTGACGTACGAGCCCTGGCATGATCCCGTCAACTTCTGCAAGAATGGCCTCGTCAACGGCTCGTGTCCCTTGGCTCCCGTCTTCGACTTCGACAATGCGTAAGTCACGCCTCTTCCCCTCCTCGGGCTCTGCATGGCCATGGGCGTGCTGATCACAAACCGTCATGGCAAGCTCTCTCCCCGACGGCCTGCCCTCGGTAAACTTGAGTCACGACTTCTTCTCGTCGTACTCCCTGTCCTCCTTTGCCGCCACCATGCTCATCATCTACGGCGACGCAAAGGCGACCAACATTGGCTGCATGTCGGCCACCATCACCCCGGATCTGGGCGGCACCGTCTGGGTGCCCAAGTTTCTGCCGCTCATTGTGCTCCTTTTCCTGGGCTTTGCCGTCGTCTTTGCCGGCGTCTTCAGCCCCTGGGGCACCACAAACATCTTCCACTGGACCTCCAACTATGGGCGAGACACCGACCTCGTGCGCCTCGTCACCCCCGGCTTCGGGGACTGCCTGCAGTACATCCAGTTCGTCGTCCTCACCGGCGGCCTGTCCCTCAGCTACCCCGGCTTCTACCAGCCCGTCGTGAGCCAGGCAGGCTGGTCCACGCTCATGTTCAACCAGAGCCTCGTCACCGACGCGCCCGCCTGGCATAGCCTCGTCGACGGCATCTACGTCACCAACAGCACAGAGGGCTACGGCCTGCACCAGCTCGGTCAGCTCGTGGGTATGGCCCAGAGCACCGACCTCTGGCCCGGCATGATGGTCTGGCTCTGTGTCATCGTCGTCTGCACCTTTTTCCTAGTCCAGGGCTGCTTCCTCGTCCAGTGGCTGTGGCGTAAGATCAACAACATCTCCGAGGAGGACCTGCGCGCCAAGAACATTCCCTTTAGCATCGGCAACGTTGTTCGCATCGTCTTCAACTACATGCTCATGCCCGTCGTGGCGCTCTCGACGTTCCACCTCGTCGTTGCCCGCGACTCTCCCCCGTATACCGTTGCCCTGGCCGTCCTGACCCTGGTGCTGCTCATGGTCGCTGCCACTTGGATCCTCATTCTCGTCATCAAGACTCGGCCTAAATCGGTTCTCTTCGACGACCTGCCCACCGTCCTCCGATTCGGGCCCCTCTACAACACATACTCGGATGAGGTGGCTGCCTTTGCCCTGATACCCGTGCTGCTCAACTTTATCCGCGGCATCGCCATCGGAGCCGTCCAGCCCAGCGGGGTCGCCCAGGTGGTGCTGCTCGCCATATGCGAGGTCATCCAAATCTTCACCCTGCACGCCTTTCGCCCATTCCACCCCTCGACCTCGATGAACGCCTACCACACCCTCTTCTCCTTCCTGCGAGCCATCACCATCCTGCTCATGGTTGCCTTTGTCCCGAGCCTCGGCGTCACCGAGGGGCCCAAGGGATGGATCGGCTACGCCATCTTCCTCATTCACGGCTCTGTGCTGATCCTCGGCTTCTTCTTGAGCGCCTTGCAGACCATGGTTGAGGTGATTGCGCGGATGCTCGGAGCCGGTGGGGATGGCGTGACCGGCCTTAGGCGAGGTGGTCTTGCCAAGATCTTTGGAATGCGGCAGCTGTCCCGCCGCGAGACGCACCGAGCGGGGCCTAAGCGGGCCAGCCAGCTGTCACAGACGGCCATTCTGGACATGGAGGACGGGAGCAGGGCAGGATACGTGATGCCAGGCGGCAGGGTGCGCTCGCGCTCGAGTGCTAGTCTCAGGGGCCTGGCCGCGCACCAGCGCCACAGGAGCAGCTCGGCACTCGATAGCATCGACATGTACTCGGGCGGGCACCGCAACAGGGAGACATCCACCAGCTCGTACGTGCCTGGGACGCCGGGCGAGACGACGGCCTTTTCGTTCCTGGGATCCGGCGCCATGCCCCGACACGCGGTCCCTGTTGCCATGGAGGCCTCTGACCCTTACTATCGACCCCCCCGTCGGCGAACCGAATCCTCGAAAGAGCTGTCCGTCTCGGACTTGCCCCGGGGCTCAGTCGATCCGAAGCAGGTCGCTCAAGCCAGCGGTCCGGCCGGCGAACCGGCAGAGGCGGGCGAGGAGATAACTCGGGGCGCCACTCCAGCGCCGCCCAACGCGACCATGAATCTCCCGCCCAACCGCCCCGACTACGCCACGCGAGAGGTCGACTTCTACTACGGCGTCCGGGGGCCTGCCCTTAACTCGGAGGGACCAGGCCGGAAGCTGGGTACGGGGCCGGCCGATCCCACGGGACCTGTGGCGACGGCGACGGGCTGGTTCCGGAGCATGTTCAAGAATAAGACAAAGGAAAAGGGCAAGGGCTTCGAGGTCGTGAGAAGTTCGAGAATGCCCCCGGCCATGGTGCGGAACGGGGGATTCGGCGATGAGACGCCACCAGAGGGCATCCCTGTCGCGATGGGAGTCTTGCGGAACGGACCGATTGATTCCGACGATGACGACGACGACAAGCTTCGGGCGAAGCGCTCTGTCAAGCGTCGGCCTGACGAGCTGTTGACTGACACGGGAGATCCTCACACGTCCGGCTCAGAGCCGGCGAGCCCCGTGGACGGCCGACCAGGTCAGGAGTCGAACGAGCCTGCGGCTGGTGTGGCACGGATCGGCTTCCTCGATGCCGACCTGGGCCTGCCGGCCATACCGCGGAAGAGCTCCAAGAGAAACTCTGCCGCGGGCTCGATGGACAACCGGCCACTGTCGTCGCTCAGCCTCCTGGAATCCGTCTCGGGTGTACCGTCGGATCGGGGTACCCTGGATGGCGGGTCTACGCGGGAGCACCACCCAAACTTGGGCAACTCGTCGCCTCTGCCCTTTGAGCGCACGGGCTCGTCGCGCCGCTTGTCGTCCAAGTCGTCCATTGAGTCTCCACGCGAGCTTACAGAGGTTGAACTGCAGGAGAAGCCAGGCGAGCGGCCCGCAAGCTTCGGCACGGTCCCGCAACACGGCATCAGCCGGGTCGACCCTGATCACCCGCCTACCGACTTGCTAGAAAGCTCGGCAGAGTTGGTGAATGACGGATCCGTTGGCAAGCGATCATGAGCGCGACGCAAACTACGGATGCTCTGTGGAGCTCAGACACGGCGCATCTCAACCGGCACAGGACATAATGCTCTTGACATCGTACACCTCGACGCCTGTCATGTTTTCTTTGTCAACACGTTTCTTGTACCAAAAATGACGATTTACGGCATTTCATTTTATCCGAGAGACGGGTCGCGCACCACATGTATAGATTCGGCGCCGCAGGCTCGCGGAGGAGACTCGACTGAATCCACAGGACCTGAGCATGGCACGCGTTGCACCGCACTTTTTGCTCCACCGCCGTGGCCTGTCGCGGCACATTGCAGAGACGAGACATGCCCCGCGACCGAGTGACAGCCGAGTTTCGACACGGGCTGCTCTGGTGCTGCTTTTCTACCGTTCATCCGAGCGATTCTCTACTTGGGGGGATGCCGGGGGGAGGAATGAATAGGCTCCATCCCTCTTCAGACTGTTTTCATAATTGTGGCGGGCGTGCAAAAACAAGGCCGATGCAAGTAGCTCTTGGCTTGGCAGCTACTGGCTGGAGGGCCAGACGCGGGCGGGGCCTCATGGGCCTGGGATCCAAGGTATTAGGATGGTGACGGATGGGGATTTCGGGAGCGGCAAGCGAAGCGATGTACATGCTGCATAGCGCATACGTTCGGTGTACTTGAACTGGGCGGTTGGTTGGCCGGACAGAGCGAGATGGTAGCGTAATCGACACGAGAGGCAACACCGACGCGGCTTTGGTGCGGTTTAGCCGGGCTCGTGATGGGTGATGCCGGGCGTGGAATACCCACCTCCCTGCCGCCGGTGACTGTCCAGATAATGACACGTCGTTATATACAAAGTTTTTGACACATGGCTTGGTCATTCCATGTCTCGTGAGGTCCCAGCATGTTTCTCATGAAATGTCTTGTAGACTGTCCCCAGCCAGGCCGTCACGATCACCCCGGCCTCTGGACAAAGCACGCCTCCTCCCCACCCCTCTCCTCTGGAACCCCGGAGCCCCAGCACAAACCTCACTTGACGCCGATAAAGGCGATGCCGGAGCGGGCCTTTTGCACCGCCTGGCGCAGGAGCTGGTTCTCGGCGTCGGTCCACTGGACGCTGAGCTCGTCCCACTTGGAGCCGGGTGTGTTATACTCCTTGCGCCAGCGGGCGTGCATCTGCTGCAGCCGCGCCATGTCGCGCGGGTCGCCCGAGCCGCTGTAGACAATGAGGCCCGTGCAGGCGGGCAGGGCCTCGTGGATGCGGGCGAGGCGTGCCGCCAGCTGGGCGAGGGCCCGCTCGAGGGGCGAGACGGCGGCGGCGGCTTCGTCGTCGTCCTCGGGGAGCTCGTCGCCGGGCGGGCCGCCGTCGGTGTTGGCCTTGTCGACGCGGTTCCTGTTCCACCACCCCTGCAGGGCCTCGAGCTCGCGCATCCGCGCCCAGACAAAGTCGACGCCGCCGGCACGGATCTCCTTGCCGTCCGGGTCGCCCTGCACGGCACGGATCACGTTGGCTGCCACCTCGTCGTCGGACCGGCAGCCGAGCTGAAACGTCGCCCCGGCGCCCTGCCCCTTGGACGGGTCGCCCCAGTCGATGGCGGCGCTCGTCTTGCCCGACTCGACGCCGCCCAGGGCCGCGGTGCCACCCTGGGCTTTGTACGTGGTGCCCGCCCTGGCGAGGCGGCGAAACAGGTTCTCGCCCTGGGAGTCCGAGGCGCCCCACAGCTTCCCCTTTTCGCACTTCTGCTTGACGAGGTCGAGGCACGTCTTGGCATCTTCGATGCTGTTGTGGCCGTGGGCGCCGCCCTTCTGGATCTCGCGCGACAGGTACTTTTGGGCGAGCCACTTGAGAGACGACTTGAGCGGAGGGCCCCGAGGATGGGGGAACAGCATGGATGTGTCGACGATGAATGGGTGCGACAGCTGCATCGCCTTGGTGTCGGACTCGAGGGAGTGGCCGACGAGTATGGTGCGCGGGTGTAAGATGTCTACCAGTCTTTGCTGAATGTCGCGCAGCGTCGTCGTGACGGGGGCAAGCATCTCCTCTGTGATTCCAGAGAAGCGAGTGACGTAGTCGACAATGGGTTTGTCGGGCTTGACGAGCTCGTCCATGACCACCTCGCCGTCCCAGTCGACGATGCTGATGCGCGTCAGGGCAAACTCATTTTCGCCAGTCATGCACATTTCACAGTCCAGCGCCAAGACCTCTCGGCCTGCCGTTACACAGCCACTCTCAATCTCGGCCTCGGGCACGTCGCCGTCCTCAAGCTTGTCGACCTTGGTAATGGCCCAGCCCTCGGGGGCGACAAAACTTTGCCGCCGCTCGCCCTCTGGGAGCAGGGTTGGATGGAGGAGGAAGCCATTGTCTGCGAGTTCATCAACAGAGGCAAGGAGCTCGGTGATTCGCGTCCTCTCGTTTTTCCAGCCTTGAGGCTCGGTGGCTGGCTTGACGCCGCCCTGCTTGGAAGTCTTCTCCTTGGGCACAGGCGCGGTGAGCATTGCTGCCATGGGGGAATGCATCTTTGCGTGCTTGTCGTCGCCGGGCGTTCTGACAGGCCACAGGTGAGGGAACATGTCTGCAAAAGTCTGCAGAGCCGGGGAGAGCTGCTCCTTTTTGAGGACGCGCGGGTAATAGTCGTCTGGGGAGGTGAGCAGGCTCGGCTCGGCGTCTGCGCCGGTGTCGTTGTAGGTGGCGAAATCGGCGCTCTCCTTGAACATGGCTTCCTCGAGTCCCGGGATCATGATGACGACGATTTTCCGGAACTGAGGTCGGTGGGAGACGTCGATCCACTGAGGCCCGCTGCCATCGGCAAAGATGTAGAGGACCAGGTCGCGCAGCTGGTTGAGGTTGATTTTGGAGTTGAGGCGAGCTTTGGAAGAAAAGGTGAGAGCGGGATAGCCCTTTCCGGGGCGGGGGGCCTTTTTGGCCTTTTTGGCCTTTTTGCTTGGCCGGGTGACGGTTTGCCACTCGCCGCCGCCATCGTCTTCGTCATGGGGGCTCGTCCGCTTGAGGCTGGCTTGACTCACAATGGAGCGGGCGTCGGCGTCTTGGTGTGCTTGCTGCTCCATGACTGTGACGGGGCCGCCATGTGCTTTCGTGCCGTCTGTAGATTCTGCGACGTCTGCGGCGGCGGATGACAGGCCGAGAAAGTTGCAGGCGAGTTGTTTGGCGCGCTGCAGTTTCTGTTTGAGCTTGGCCACCATGCTGCGCCGCGTCGGCAGACTCACCACCAGGCCGTGACAAGGCGCGGAGGGGCGGCGGTTCAGCCGGCTCGTCGGTCGCGATGGCAAGGGCGTGGATGAGAACGCGAGGGATGGAGGAGGAATGGAGTCCTGAGAAATGTGTATGAAAGCACGAAGTAGGGAAAAACAGAGCGAATGAAGCTTGCGGCTGATTTGATAAGATTAGATATGATACGATAAGATAAGCGTGTCCTGCCCAGGCAGGCTGCACGGAGTAGCTTAGGTACGTACCTCTTTATGCTTGTAGCACGAAGCACAAGCAGCGGATCGCGAACCTCGCATTCGCTACTCTGTACACACATAATCACCCAGCTTCGTCTTCATCGTCCCATCGTCCAGCTTGTGCATCACGACACACGGAGATTCGCCTAGATAGTCGGGCTCGCTCCAACAACGCTCCATCCCTCGGCTGCTCCATGCCATGAGGCGCCGTCTTAACTCATCACCACCATCATGGACAGGGTCGTCTGCAAATGCGCCAAGTGCGATGCCATCCTCGGAAGCCTCATCAATCTCTGGCTGCAGCTCGGCAAGAAATATATCACTCCGTTGACGCACGCCCAAGACGATGACCCCTTTCCCATTGCAACTTCTGGCCTCGTCCGACAGGGCGATGCCGATACCTTGGTCGGCGGCTGGTGAGTTGTCGCGGCATTGCCTCGTAGCCGTCTTCGCGTGCGCCCTCTAAGCTGACGCTGGCTTCGACGACAGCCAACTGCAAGACGCCGAGTGTGCCAAGTGTCGCGCCAACTTGGGCCAGAAGTGCTTGAAAAGCCCCGTCAACCACGTTCTAAGCGAGTGAGAATGCCCACAGCCGTCGTATCCAGGCATTGCGCCTCCTCTAACGCGTGTGCAGTGGCCAAATCATCTTTCGAATCACTTCCGTCATCTTGAAGCTGGCCGGCGACTTGCGACGCAAGGCCGAGCCCAAGATTCAACGAGTTCTCCAGCTCAAGAACCATGCGTCCGAACACCAAAATGCGCCGTCATCCCAGACAGAGTCGGTCAACCCTGAACCGGGCGCAGCCCAGAACAGCCCCGCCGCCGACAGCCCCGACTTGATGCAGATGCAAGCCGAACTCGACGCACAGCGCCAACACATCAACCGCATCGGCGCTACGGGAATGCAGGTCGTGACCAATTTCGAAACCGTCATGGCTCGCGTGGACCGGCAGATGCAACAGCTCAGCGAGTCCATCGACAGCATTCGGAAAGACCGCGACGAGCAGCGCAACGACCTCGGCGCTCTAAAGTCAGAGGTCGTGGACGCGAAATGGGACTGTCAGAACAACAGTGTGGTCGCGCGGTTGGATCAGCAACTTCAGACCACCGATAGAGTGGTGACTGAGTTGCGGCAAGCTCTCCATCAGTCCAAATCTGAGACGCAAGGACTGCGCGAACAGTTGACCGTCGCGGAGCAGGCACTACAGGGTGCCAAGGGTGACGCGGCGACCCTGAAAACTCAGATTGATGAAACGAATCAGGCAGTCCGTGAGAGCATCGCCGCGTCTAGAGAGCACGTATGTGAGGTTTCGTCGCTCAGGCGAGAGGTAAAGCAGCTGAGGGCAGAGCTGGCGCAAGAGCGCGCTCAGCCACAGCCGGCTGAACCCTCGTCCTTCTCCTCTCACGAGCTGGACATACTCGCCAGCAGCATTTCCAAGATCGGCAACCGAGCTAGCCAAGTCGAGACCTTGCAGATGGATTTCGAGCTGTTCAGGGCGCGTCTCCAGCGCCTGGAGGCTCGCGCCATCGCACCTGGCGCAAATACAAGCAGGACATTGGGCGTCGAGGCCCATGCTCGCGACGACGACGAGGCTCAGCCAGTCTACGAAGGCAACGCTCGAAGGAAGCGCGCCTTGACCGCCAGGGACGACACACAAACTTTCGACAAGACGCCTCAAAAACGCGCGGCGCTCTCGCCGTCAGATCTCGACAGCGGAGTGTCGACAGGTTGCAGCCGCGCGAGCGACCTTTATGGATCCTCCCGCAACACCCGCAGCTCGGCTCAGCGTCCCGGCCTCCGGCGAACTCGAGCAAATGCTGGCGATTACGGCACGACACGACGAGAAAGCTGGGCAGGTAGAGGCTGAAGGTCCATCCAAGGCATCCATTTAGCATTAAGCGAAGCCGCGGCTTCCACATCGACGTGGCCATCAGGCCCCGGTGCCAAACTTGACCTGAAGCACTGCACGTCCTAGACTGGCCAAGGCGTCCACCTGTTGAACAACAGCGTAGTCGAAGAAGGCTCGGCATTGCTCGTCCGACGGGTCCTGCATCCAGGCTGTAATGAGGGGAAGCTCCTTGTCTCGACCTGGCAGCTGCTCGATGTCCTGCAGCATCTCTCGCGCTGCCACGGCGACTTCCCATCCATCAGCGTGGCCGGCCGGAGCCGAGCGCAAGACCATGATCAGCAGCATCTGACACAGCGAGACCTGATCGATGTCGCGAAGCGTCTCGCGAATCTTTTGGTCCAGGTCGGCGCGGGTAGTGATGGACTCGACGGCTTGGTTGAGCGCAGTCGTTCCCTCGGCCGTGTTGGCGAGGAGCTTGGCGATCATGAGCACATTCTTGGCCCTGACCGGGTGGAAGTATGCCGCGTATCGATATGGATCACATGCTGTTGCGACAAAGCACGCAACTGCCAGCGCAAAGGCAAAGTCGCCTCGCTCGGCGTAGTAGATGGAGATCTCCGTCAGCAGCTGGGGCACGGGGGTCACGGCCCACATCTCCGCGGCTACGAGGCCCGCACAGTCGCGATACTGGGCCAGCAGCATCTCATGGCGCTCGTGAAGCGAGTCTTGAGGCATGGTCCGGCGCTCTGTCGACATGGTGGCCGACTCGCCATGGGCCTTGACCAGAACTTGCTTGCCAGCATCGTTGACGGCTGGATGATTGCGTAGCCGTGAGAATGGATCGGGGACCAGACTGAGGCCGTCGGGGATGATATTGCGAGGGCTGGCGGCGCCGACCTGATAGACGTTGAGGTCGTCTTTGCAGCGGGGACAGCGGCACTCGAAGCAGTAGGAGGCAAGCGCTTGTTGTCGCTTGGTGAGAGGATATGTGTAGTCTAGACGACGATTCAACAGGTTGGACGCCGGTGATTAGAGGAGCAGTCGAACAGATCGACGTGTATCTGTGCAAGGTAGACGGACCTGTATAGGAGATTTCGACCTCGTCGCCGGCCTCGATGGGCCGCTCGGCCGTCAAGATGCCCTTGCGCCCGATGAACTGGACAAGAGCGTTGGGGACGCAGGAGTGATTGGCCATGGCGAGCGTGGGCTCCAGGAAGATTCCAACCTGGCCGAGGTCCGCGTCGTACCTGTGAAAGGCGTTTGTCTGAATCTGCAATGCGCCCCGTTGACTGTGAGCTCTCTATTCACGTCCATTTCCCTCCCAAGTCACAGGTCTCTAGTCACTTTCTGTCTCGAGATTTCCACTTTGGAGGAGGGGACGAGATACGAAAGGAAGAATGGTTGCGTACCTTGCAAAGCAGGTCAACCGCCCTCGTCACCTCATCCTCAGTCCCTTCCATGCCGGCAAACGCACAGCCAGCCATGGCCATCATCTGCAGATCCTGCCAACCGCCGCCGCCGTCAAGACCCAGATGGCCCCGGCCTTGGTTGCGCCGGCGCGGCACATGGCCCTCGAGCGGAGCAAGCGCACGCGCCGTCTCGTCAACCAGCAGAGCCTGGACGAGGGCGCGCACCGGGGTCGGCAGCAGGGCAGCGGGCCTGTCGGACCCCTGGCGGCGGCGGCGCAGGGCCTTGCACTCGCGGGCGTGGACGGCGGCCCAGGCGGCGGCCTGGCAGGCCGGGTCGCAGTAGAAGGCGGCGCGGCAGCGCGAGCAGGCGCGCGGGTCGCCGGGCCGCAGGCAGTGGCTGCACACGCGGGCGAGGTGCGTCGTCGAGGCGAGGGCGAGGCGCGGGGCGGCGAAGGCGTGGATGGTTTGGCCGGGGCGGAAGGGCCGCGTTGCGTGGAGGCTGCGGCCCTTGGCGCTGCTGCTCTCGTTGCTGCGGATTTGCAGGGTTGGAGGTGGTGGGGGAGTCATGAGGAGGGAGTGGTGATGCTGAATTGATGAGGTTTTTGGGGGAGGAGGCTTGGTTCGCGGCGTGGGAAAGATAACCCCGTCAACTTGCCCTTGTTCAGGCGTTCACTCGATGGCGTAAAATAAGACAAGCAATGAGATGCCTTGTAGTTCTGATAGCTTTCCGTCTGTTCTTTGGATCGTGGATGAGATGTCGGGTGATGGCGGCTTGAGGGGGCGAAAAAGAGGCGAGATGGTAAATTTGCGTCGACTGAATGAAGGTCCTGGCAGCTCCAGCTCCACCGCCCGTATCTGACGGAAAGCAAAGCCATCGCGTCTCGACTAATCTGATCTTGGAACTCTTATTTCTTTCTTTACACACTCGTTATCTTTATTCTTCAGATCATCGAAACGTCACGCGGCTCTCTCCCGCTTCACGACGCTTATCTTGCCAACAGGCCAATCATGAATCTTGCAGCGCAACTTACGCCAGTCAAAAGACGCCAACCTGTCCAAACAAACACCACGGCCTGCCGTCTCGAGCCCGGAATGACTCCTCCATATACATGTATGTAAAAAGAATACGGCAAAAAGCACGCTACATGGTCACACACACCCACTCTCCGTACCATCTACAGCTCCGCGCGTTGCGAACCGTCGGCCTGCGCGGTCGGGTCACCTCCACGCGCCACCACCAGCTTGGCGTTGAGTTCGGTGCTCCAGTGTCCCTTTTCATACCTGTTCCCCTTGGTGATGCGGGCGACGTGGTAGTCCCAGCAGCCCTCGGCCGTCTTCAAGGCCTCGGACCGGCACTGCTCGTCGCTGAGGCGCGGCACGCGGGGCCACAGCCCCAGCGTGGCGCCCATGTCGCCGTCGAGGAAGTTGTCGAGGACGAGCTGGCCGGCCTTGCGCTGGGCGGCGGCCCAGTCGCGGCCCTCGGAGACGAGCACCTCGAGCAGGTGGTCCATGCCGCCGCGGCTGAGGAACTCGCCCCTGATGGTGCCGTTCTTGAGCAGGCCGTTGATGACCAAGACCTTTGCCTTGACGCGCGAGGCCGACTGCTTGGCGTCCCCCGCGGCGTCAGCGTTGTTATAGGGGGCTAGGCTCGAGTACAGGGCGTGGCCGATGGTGGAGACGCCCGCGTCAGGGCACTTGGCGTCCATGAGCTCGGGCCAGGCGCCGGCGACCTTTTCCAGGGCCGACGGGTTGTTTTGCAGGGCGCCGGCCAGGACGGAGGCGGCCTGCTGGTCGTGCGGGGCGAGGCTGGCGTCGGCGGCCGCCGGCTTCTTGGGGTTGCTGACCATGAGGCAGAGGAGGGCCTTGACGACCTTTGTGTCCTCGGCAATCTTCATGCCGTAGTAGATGTCGTGCGAGAGCTCCTCGAGCTCCTCGAGATGCTCGGCAAAGGCGTGGCCGTGGCGGACCTTGCCCTTTCTGAGCATTTTCATGGCCGCGACAAAGGTCTCGGCCTCTTGTTCGGGCTCCTTGATCTTGCCGACGGGGCTGTAGGCAGGGGCACCCTTGGGCAAGCGCAGAGGGCGCTCGTCCTGGTCTTGATCGGGGACAACGACGACCGAGGCCTCGTCGACAGGCAAGCCATCGAGGGCCGGGTCCAGCTCGCCGGGGACGTTGATCTTGGCCTCCTTCTTGCCCGTCTGCATGTTGATGCGCACGTGAAGTCCCGGAGGCAGGTCCTGGTCATCGTGGACAGTCTGGAACTCATCCTTGGCCTGGAAGTGGCGCGGGTAGCAGTCTTCAGGGTTGGACGTGTGGCAGATGAGCTCCGAGGGCGGGTTCGCGGCCGGGGCGGCCGAGGCGGAGGTGAGGGAGACGGCGAGGACGAGGCCCAAGAGGGCGGTCCGCATGGGGCTTACTCTTGAGCGCTCCGGAGTCATTTTGATTGACTTGGTGTGATTGAGGATGTATTCTGATGGCGAGAAGCACACTCCCAGGTGAGTTGGAGAGGAGGAAGAGGCCAAGGGGAACCTGGCGGTGGGTGGGCGGCTTGGCAAACCTTGAGGATCGTGGAGCGAAATTCCTCCCTCGCCGGTAACTCGAGAGATTGGCGGCAGATAAAGGAGAGCGAGGAGTTGAAACCAAGGTGAATATGGCGAAAGGAGCGTTTAAAGAAGAAAGGAGGTCCCGAGGTGAGTCAAACCGTCGAAAGGACACCTTTGACGACGCGTTTCTCGACTTCTCGCGGCTTCTGTACAGTAGAGTACTGTGGCCGATATAGACTTGGCGGCTTTCTATTGGCCGCTAGACCGGTAATTGCGCTTAGTCATCAGCTCGAGGCCGTCGCCACCGTGTCCCGAGTCATCTTTTGCAACGACTCTTCTCCCCCGTGCAGTCATTGTCCTTGTTTGACTCGTGCCAAGCATGGCAAACCTTGGAGCATAAATGGTCCCAGGGACTCGCACGTGGCGGATGGAATGTGGACGCGCCGCCAGCCCTGGAGAAACTCGTGTCCATTTGTTCCCCCGCGAGTCAGATGCTGAACCCCGGTTGCGTCCATGATTTGACTCGGCAATGCCCGGCCGGCATTTGACCGCAGTACCAATGAAGGGTCCTCCCCCTTGCGGTAACGGGTGCAGCCAGAAGGAAGCCCTGGGCAACGTCCGGACTGTGGGCCAATTAATTCTCAGAGATTTTCCCTGTCCACGTTTTCTCTCCCAATTCAATTGTATGACTGTCCATTTAGCCATGACAATCATGGGGCGACCTCGTCGTGACGTATTTGTCCAGAATCATGTGTCGGTGTGGCTGGGCTCATCGGCAAGGAAACCATCAAGACTCGTGATTTCAATTTCAACCACCAGCCTTCCATTCCTCGAGCAGGACAATCGTCTGACGGAGACCCAGGAGATATTGATGGATTGATGGATTACTATCAAAGAAAATGCTACGGGCGGCATGCCGGCCTCGGTATTTCGTCATGTCATTCGGCAAAGAGGCTGGCCAGAGGCGCCATGTCGAGTATTAAAGGACACTCGTCGCCGTGTCCAAAAGACCATCGTGCATTGTCTCTACCATTCAGCGAGACACTTGAATCCTCGTTTCTTATCTTTCAACTCTTTCAACGCTTGTCTTTGACAAGAATCATATCCGAAGAGTCAGCGAAGAGAAGCTCACTAATCAACCACGACGAAGAGACGAGCAAACGACCTATCAAAAGCATCGAAAGAAGAACAATGCGCCTTCTTTCCGTCGTTCTGCTGGCCCTGGCCACCGGCCTGCACGCTCTGCCCGCGATGCACAGCCACCACAGCCACCGAGGCCTGCACGCGACGCAAATGCGGGCCCATCGGCTGACGGCCGAGCCGCCCTCGTCCTCGGCGACGGGCCGCTGAGGGGCCGGACCTCCGGGCCACCGCCGAAGCCGCCCACCAGCGGTGTGTTCGAATGCCGTCTCACAATTCCTGGGGAAGCGCATGCCGGCCATGCGAGCGACGTGGCAAAGGAGATATAGGTACGAATTAAGAAGGACAGGCGGACAACTCTCCAGCCATTTGATATGGCTGCTGGCGCAGAGACGAACATGACAAGACATATCGCGACAGCGCAGGACGCTCTTTTATTCCTTCTTCATCATTCATTCATACATTCACTCTTCATTCATTCATTCACCATTCATCATTCATCACTAACCATTCACTCCCTTCCACCGAGGCCTCATTCACTCAACGTCTCTACACCTTTTCTCTTCTACATTTCTCGTCAATCGAGTACTTTCGCCTCCACTCGCTTTGCTGTCACGAGTGCGGCCACCTCGCACTTCTGACATGTTATATTCACGTCGCTCACTTGCCATCCTCTGATATTAGCTTATGATCTTGGCTTCTATTTCTTCTCTTCTCCCTTAGCTAGGTAGCAGCATTCATGCGCTGGATCGCAAATATATCGAGCTCGAGGTGCTGCTGGTCGCAGTCTGCACTTTTTACGCGCTGAAAAATGCTTCTCAGAGTCTGATCAACCACATAACCGTAGACTTTGCTCCGCCAAAGAATCTGTACATTCCATGTCCAAAACCTACTAGGTACCGGTCGATGCCTTGCTGCCTGCCTCAGGCTAAATTACAGAGTACCGGCATGCAATCCCCTGGCTTAGTCATCACTTGCGACGCGCTTTCCCGCGTCTTGCAGCTGCCGCCGGACAGCCGGACATGCGTGTATCCCGCCACTGCGCGCGCGTGCATGAGTACTTATCCCGCCGGCACGGGGTTGCAGAGCCACCAGATTGCAGCCCCATTAGCTGAGCTTCCTCGCCGACCATCCCCAACGACGACTCCATCCAACTCTATCACTTCTTTCCACCGCCCACGGCCCCTCATCACCGCCGCCAATTCAATCCCACCCGCATCTCGCTCACGCCCAAGTAGAAGACGCGCACCAGCGGCGCCAATGCCCTGAAAAGGAGCCCGCCCTCCTCCCTCGCCATCATCCCCGACCAGAGCACGCCGCGGCCACGAGAAAACCATGCCCTCCCCCCGTCGCCTCCGCCTGCTTATGCTGGCAACGCTCGTCACCGTCGTCCTCACCCTCATGTACGTCTCGAGCCTCGACGACGCCGCCGCCAACGACAAACGCACCATCAAAGACTTTTACCACAAGACCATGGACGGCATGAGCAAGGGCAACGGCCCTCCCGGCCAGGCCGTCCTGGACAAGGTCGCCGCCGCTGCATCCCGCGACAAGGATGGCGGCGCCGGCGGTGACAAGCAGTTTGCCTCCGATACAAAGGAGAGGCTCAAGGCGGCCGAGCAAAAGGCAAAGGCAAAGGCAAACGGCAAGGCACTCCGCCCGGATCCCCCCAGCCAGATTGTCGGCGTCGGCAACTCAGCAGAGGGCCAGGCCAAGAAGCCAAAGCCTGCCGCCGATGCCGCCCCGTCTCCCAAGGCCAACGGCGACCCGCCCGAGACGGAGACCAAGGAGGAGCACGCCGCCGAGATGGAGATGAATAGCATCTTGAAGAAGGCTCCTGGTACGTTGACCGCTGTCACCCTTCTCTCCCTCTTTCTTCCTTCGTACAAGGCTGTCTGCCGTTTGGCCAGCGCGTCAGCCCTCTCTTCCACCCTTCCCTCCCACATCACGCAGAGAAAGAACCGTAGAGAAATCGAAAAAGAAAAAAGAAAAATGCAAGAGAAACAAAGCTAACCGTGCCTCTCCCGTAATCAGTCATCATCTTCTCTAAGTCTTATTGCCCCTACTCCAAGCGCGCCAAGAGCATCCTCCTGGAGAAATACTCCATCAAGCCCGAGCCCTACGTCGTCGAGCTCGACGAGCACAAACTCGGCAGCCTCCTGCAGGACCAGCTCCTCGAAAAGACGCGCCGCCGCACCGTGCCCAATATCATGGTCAACGGCGTTAGCATCGGCGGCAGCGACGAGATTGTCGAGCTCGACAACGCCGGCAAGCTGGCCGCCAAGATCATAGACCTCGGCAACAAGCGCGTTGAGGTGAGCGACCGTCCTGGCGCCGTCGGCTCTCGAAATGCCTGAAATAGGGCCCCGCGTGGAGGGTTGCCCCAGAGGCGGTGGGCGTGGCGGTGGGCATGGCGGCGCACAGCGAATTTATTTTTTTCTTGTGTCTTCTGGTCCGGTACTGGTGGGCGTTGCACTTTGACACGCGTCCACGACCCTGCAAATCTGGAGTTGAGCAGGCTGAGGATTTCGGCTTCACCCGCGAGGCATTGCTCCAATGGCAAGTGGTGGTAAGTACAGCGTTCGGTATTGGGAGTTACGGCGCAAAGGGTCACTTACGGTACGAATGGCATCACGATACCGCACGCACTTGGCTTAATGGGAGACTCACTGATTGAAATTGGAATAGCTGTCGAAAAGGGGCTGGTCCGAGAGCACGGAGACGCCATCTTGTAGGCCTGTACGAGCGATGCTCGGCGCATATACAGGCACATATATAATCGAGTCCATCTTCTCACCTTGGCAGCCTCCTCTTTCGACATGTTGATGATGGACGGAGCAGAGAGAAGACACGCCGGTTATGGCGCAAGCCCAACAGATTAGGTCCGCACGGCAACGGGCTACTCGCAAGCCTCGACACCTGACAGCCGCCAGCTGTCGAAGTTTGTTCGGCAGCAGCCTTTTTTCCCCAGAGCTTGTTTGGCAGGGGTTTTTTTTTATTGTCCTGCCTCAGCACCTGGCAGAGCCTTCTATTTCACGTTGCGTGCGTGCCGCCGAGGAATCCTGTTTCCGCCCATCAACTCAACACAACGCAACGCGGCAAGGGGAGAGGCCGTGCAGCCTCACATCGACACGATGCCGGTACTCCACGGCGCCATCGTACTCCAAATCGTCGAGTACTGCGATGCAGACACGATTAAAACCCTGCTCTCAATAGCGGTACGCTCAGATCGCGTCCAGAGCAAGGCAAGGACAAGAGGTTGAAGTGCAGAGAAGCTAATGCTAGACGTGAATCGTCTAGGGATTCCGGGAAATCATCGAAGAATATCACACCAGCATCGCCCGGAAGCTGATTCGGTGGGACGTGGGCGACGAGACTTTACGCGGCAAGTTTCTGCTCGACACCTTTGACGATCTCTCCGGCCGTCCGTGCAGTGAGCGTGCAGTGATCCCGGTGTCTAGTTTGTACGCCATCGACATTGTGGAAAGGCGAGTATCCCTCGTCGAGTGGTTGCTGAAGAGGCCGCTTCTGTGCACGAGAAATGACAGCGACTGGCCGCACTTGAACAAGCTGACGGAGCGGGAGACGATGCGTCAGATGGTACGGGAGGCCCTTTCCTTGTGCGACCACCTGGGTGACATCGAGGCTTCCGTCATTGGGCTGTCCGACCTGAGTGGGTTCGACGCGCCGGCGCTGCCGCAGATGAGCATCGACCATGTGCTTGCTCACCAGTGGACCACGGTCAGAAATGGACTCGAGTTGGCGCCGCAGAGCCGAGCCGAGCAGATGAGGGAGCGGTACGTGCGGTGGTTGGTGCGAGGGCGCCAAAGGCAGTATCTCAAAACACTGAAGACCCGGCAGCTGCTGAGCATTGTGTTGCTGCTACGCCTGATCGGAGAGGGGTTGCCTCGAGAAAGTGGGCGGGAGCGCGACCCAGAGCGTCGGTGGAAGCTGTTGCGGGGGGTCAACGAGTGCGTGCTGCGGCACGGGACGTGGTTCCTGTCGGCGTACAAGGCGGACGCCCCGTGCTATATCCGACGGCACCAGCATGCCAATGACCTGATTAGGCATGCGAAACGGGGCTTGGCGGCGCGTCGGCACTCGGGAGGACTTGTGTGGCAGAGCGTCAAGCGGAGAGAAGTGTCGGTGACGCTGCACAGGGAGCTTCAGCGAAGACAGAGGGCCGAAGGGCGAGGCAGCAACGTCGAGGTGGCCACGGAGGCGCTGATCATGGTGGATGAGGTGATTCGAGGACCGCAGACGGTGAGGCCCATAACGTCTATGTTTTCGCCGGTGCCGGCTTGACGGTGTGCGAGGTCTGCGGGCCGACATGGCGATGTCGTGTCGGTCTTGGCACGGTAGAAGTGGTGTTGTCCGAGGACGGGGGGCCGAGACCTGCTCACAGGATGACTCAAGGCGTCAAGCAGAGGCCGCGGCAGGCTCGATCGAGGGAGGAGGGGGAGAAGGAGGGGGAGAGAGAGAAAAGGGGAAAGACACAGGCAGCACATGGTAGACAGAAAGCACAATCACAGCCTCTTTCCCAGGCAGGTCGGGAACGACGAAGCAAGAGGCGGGCACGGGCGAGGACGCGGGAAGCCGCGAGAGGGGAGTGAGGAAGAAGGCAGGAAGGACTTTGTCAGCAGCAGCTGCTCTGCCGGGCGGTCTACAAAGTACTCGGTCGACGTCGCAGGAGAGCATCCGAAGACGTCGAGCCGAAGATGGAAACCAGATGCAAAAAGCATGGGCGGCAAAGACTCCATCTCTCCATCCCTCCATCTCTCCATCCCTCCATCTCTCCATCCCCTGGGCATATCACGGATCCTTGCGAGAATGAGACGAAAAGCAAAGGCTCAGCTCTCCGCCGGGCTGGGCTCACCTCCCATTGGACGCCCTCACCCCCCAACTCGACCACCATAAAGCAAACGCCATCCGCCCACTGGCGTCGCTCCCAAGCCCCGTCATCATCATCGTCTTTATCTTTACTCCGTACCCTCACTTGACACCCACCATCCGTCGTCCCCAAGCCACCACGATGCCAGCATCCTCCTCCTGCTCCTCCTCCTCTTCCTCCTCTTCCTCCTCTTCCTCCTCCTCCGCCTCCACCTACTCGGGCTCGACGGCCTGCTCCTACACCAAGGACCCCGCGCCGCGCCGCGGCCTGCGCCAAAAGGCCCGCGACGTCGTCTCCGACCTGGGCGCGCCGCCCACCACCAGGCAGGACGCCAAGGACGGCAAGCGCACCCTCAATTTTGCCGTCGACGTGGCGCCCATGGCCGACCCTCTCGTCTCCGGGACCGTCAAGATTTGACCGAGCTCCCAATCCTGGGACGGGCGTGGGCGAGGCGGAGCGGGGCAGACGTCAGCTGCGTGTTTTGGCTTGGATATTCTTTTCGTGCTGGGGGCTCGACACCAACACTTGCTTTCTTGGGCCTTTTCCGCCGTCTACTGTACAAATATACGTGTTTCATAACCACACGGAAAAAAAGGAGAGAGCAAAACACCACAGTCTCTTGCCCTATCATTGGACCCCCGGCGTCTCTCCCGCCAAATCACCCCCGGGACCGGCCCGGGCCCCCGTTTCCCCCACATGCATGTCCAAACGCAAACGCCCGCCTTGCCCCCGTGCGCCTGTTGAAGACGCATCTCTTGGCATGCCTCGGACAGGACAGGGCTCTCCACAATGCATGTCTTACGGCAAGCTGACCCGACCGCATGGCGTCACGGCTGCCGATTACAAATTCACCTCAATGTTGCTGGCGCTGACTGATGTCGAGACGGCGATGGGGAAGCATCAGTACGCAGCGAATTACCAATATTCGTGAGGAAATACACAGTATATATAGAGAGAGACAAGACGAGAAAGGGACGAGCTTCGCTGCTTGACCACCACCAAGCCATCGCCCCCAAACCCCATCACCATGGCATCATCACTCCCCTCCACCCAAAGGGCCATCGCCATGACATCCAAGCGCGCGCCCCTCGCCGAGATCAGCGTCCCCGTCCACCCCCCGGCCGCCGACGAGGTGGTGGTGCGCGTCGCCTGGACCGCGTCGACGCCCCTGGACCTGCACCGCGCCGACGGCGGCCTCCTCGTCGCCTCGTACCCGGCCCAGGCCGGCGGCGGCGGCATCGCGGGCACCGTCGTGGCCGTCGGCGGCTCGGCCGACCTCGTCAAGGGCCTCGGCGTCGGCGACCGCGTCATGGCCTTTGCCTTTCGCGGCGGCAAGGAGGCCAACCACCAGGAATACGTCACCGTCCCGGCCTACCTCGTCTCCAGCGTGCCCCCGGGCCTGACGCTGCGCGAGGCCTGCACCGTGCCCGTCAACCTCGTCACCGTCTTCCACGCCGCCACGGCAGACCTCGGCCTCGACCTCCCCTGGCCCCTGCCGGACACCGCGACGACGCCCGACGACGACCAGGACCCGCCCATCGTCGTCTGGGGCGCCAGCAGCAGCGTGGGCATCTACGCGCTCCAAGTCCTCCGCCACTGGTACCGCCATCGCCGTCTCCTGGCTGTATCGAGCCGGCAGCACCACCCCCTCCTGCTGCGGCTGGGCGCCACTGCCTGCTTCGACCGCGCCGACCCGCGCGTCGTCGACGCCGTCCTCGCCTCCGTCGGCAGCCGCCACGCGCCGCTGGTGCTCGACTGCATCGGCTCCCTCGACGGCTCGCTGCGGCCCCTCGCCCGCATCGCCCAGCCGGGCTCCCGCGTCGCCGTCATGCTGCCCGTCATCATCCGCGACGCCACCGACGACGAGGAGCCCGAGTACGAGATGGACGTGTCAAAGTGCCTCCCTGGCCTGTGGGCCGACGGCGTCCTCCTCAGGGGCGTCCGCACGCACTTCTACCTGCAGGTGCCGTCCCTCGTTCCCCCTTGTTCTGACCGATGGGTATGGCCCAAACAAGCTGATCCGGGACCAGAACGAGTTTTTCAAGGAAATGCTGCAGCCCGAGATTGTGCCCGCCCTGCTAGCGCAAGGGGTCGTCGAGCCCAACCGGCAACGGGTTGTCGAGGGCGCGACCATGCTAGAGAGGGCGCAAAAGGCCCTCGACCTGTTGAGGAGCAGGACCGTGAGTGGGGAGCGGCTTGTGTGGCAGGTGGCGCCGTAACATCCTCTCGAGCAAAGCGATGAGCCGGGACGGGACGAGGAGTCAATAGTGAAGAGATTCCGCCAGTATGGCGGACTAACCGTGTGTCTCCATTGCAAACGCCCGCCATTCCTCGGGGAGCCCGTGCGTCTGCGTATCACCATTCGTGTACAAACTCCGAACCCGTACATCCTCGTGCCGTGCCTCCAGATAATGTACAACCCGCGGCCCGAGCCAGCTGGCCTCTATGTCCCGATGTTCTCCTTGATTTGGTTTCGGAAAGCCTTGCGTCATGGGGGCCCAAAGCAGTCAACAAGCGATCAAACGGGTATTGCAATATCCCCCTCCATGAAATGGTCCATGGCGTCTACCCCGACTTGCCTACAACACAACAGTCAGCAAGCGCCTTCCAGCACGCCCAAGATAGACCGCCCAGTGTTTCGGGGGAGTGCTTGCGAAAGGGGGTGCAACGTACGAAGTCAGTATGAGCCGTGTAAAGTCGTCCAAGTCAGCCGGTCGGCCATACATCCAAAAGTCCTTGAAGCCTAGGTTCTCGATCCAGTACTGTGGCTTCTCGCCCCACGCGCGGTAGAACTCGACAGAGCTAGCCGCGTCCCAGAGGTGCTTCGAGGCTGTGAAACTTTGCGGTTTGGTCCACATCGAGCAGTCGGCTGCAGACGACGTGTCAGTTTCTGCGCGTTGCTTTCCGCCGGTGGAATGAGTATTGCAAGGGGAGTAGGGATGCTTACGTTCTTCCGATCTCAGCAAGCAAAATATGCACATGAAGGCGTAAGAAGCCATGATGCTCCGTCGCACGCTCTCGAGAAAGATCCAGCTCTGAAACACAACAGCAGTCAGCGAAACCTGTACTATCGAGCAGACTGCCAGCCGGAAAGGGTGGGATCAGGGGAGATGGCGCTCGGCCAAAAACCTACCTCCCAGCTCTTGGGCGGCACGTCCCTCGACGGCCCTCTCTGCGTCATGGCCTCCTCCTCGAACTCTCCCCTGAGGCCGGCAAGCTCCTTTGTCCAGGCCAGCAAGACGGGAACCTCGCGCTCTGCCGCGGCGCGCAGACCGATGTCGCCATCGAGGAACCTCATCAAGTTGACAACGACCAGCGCCTGGACGCGGGCAAGCTTGTCGACGGGCGAGGCGGCGCGCTCGCCCTCGCGCTGGATGTCGCGGCTGGCGTCGGCGACGAGCTTGACTGTCCAGGCGCGGTTTTGCGGCGAGCGGGCGCCGTAGGCCGTGGCCGCTGAAAAGGCCGACAGGATGGGCTTGGGCAGCTGGCCGGCCCACAGGCGCGGGTGCATAAAGGGCAGGGCGCGGGTGCTGGCCAGGGTGGCGGGCAGGGAGGAGAGGAAGGCGACGATGAAGCCGAGGCGGGTGCGGGGGTCGTGAACCTGGAGAGGGTCGACATCGAAGCAGGATTCGTTGGCCTTGAGAAGCGAAAGGTCGCGCACGGGACGCTGCTGCTGCTGCTCTGGTTGTTGTTGTTGCTGCTGCTGCTGTTGCTGTTGCTGCTGCTGGAAGGACGTGGGAGACGCCTCTGCGGTCGCCGCCGGGGGCCCAAACGGCAGAGGCGGGAGGTCCATCTTGCTATTATCCGGGTAGTAGCCCTGTAGGTTCCAGGCGTCGCTGCCGCTCGAAGCCGAGGCGGCGAGCAGGTCGACAATGGAGAAGTCGAGAGACCCCGTGGTGGCGTCGAGCAGGCTCACGTCAGTCCGCAGGCTATCCGGGCTGGTGTCGGAGCCGAGGGGGTCGACCATGTCAAAGGCCATGTCGAACTCGGGCACCTCGGCCGCGACGCCGGGGGTGCTGCCGGCGGATGACGCGGATGCCATGCCTGCGGCGGCAGCCTCGCCGGGCGGCGGATGCGGATGGCTGTGCGGCGGCATCCTCTGGTAGACGCAGTCGAGGCCCTTTGCCGCGCACCGCGAGCACCGGGGGGTGCGCTTGTCGCAGCGGCGCTTGCCCCGGACGCAGGCATTGCAGCTCTTTTGCCGCGTCGGGGCCGTGCGGTCTTCGCTGGGCCCTGCAAGCAAGCCGCTCCCTAGGGAGTCCATTGGAGGTCGTGTCTCTGTCGCTCCGTCTCGCCAAGACGGCCTTGCCCGGACGGCACGGGAGGCTGCAGTCGGGAGTGGGAGTGGCGCTACCCCCGTGGAGTAGGAAGGAGCACAAGATGGGAGTCGTCAGTCGGTAGGTGGCTCACTTTGTGGTCGCGAGGTGATGATGAAGAGGGAGTGTATCGATAGGGTATCTGCCAATCTGCCAAATGCTACACCATGGACGGTTGCTGACGACGTTGGCCATCCAGCCATCCAGCGAGGTACCTCGGCGCTCGGGTCCGATGGGGAAATAAACTCCGCCGCCCGAAGCAGCCTTTATTAAGCAACGGGGTCCGCAAACTCCGCAACTCCGCCATCCTGCTCCGCGCCGGCGCCGACGCGACTTTCAAGCACTCAAACAACATGATAGCAACTGCGATAGCGAGTGACCTGTAATACCAGAATCGGGCCATCCAGCAACGCTGACCGTGTGCCCTGTCTTGCCTCTGTCCCTTTGCCCTCTCTTGAACTTGGGCATGCTTGACGCGGGCATGCTTATTCAAGTCCTTAACCAGGTGCCATGCCCCGTGAAAACACACTTACATAGATCTACTCGTACACACAAGCAGAGCTCCTCATGATGCAGCTAGCAGCCACCGCCATGCCTCCATCTTGACACCACACGCTCACTCTCCTCCCAGGCCGAGCTCAATCATGGCAAGGCGCCTGGTCCTCGGCACGCTTTCTCTTCTCCTTGCCTGTGGGCGTCAATTACCGAGGACAATGCCGTCAGCTACTCCGTACATCGCACACCCCTCGACATCCCCAAGGCGTCCATCCCCCCGGTCCTCCCCTTTTTGGTTTTTCAAATCCGTCTCAGCAAATGGGTATCTACGCCCGGCTCCATCTCTCGTGCCCTCTCCAATGTCGCGTCCCTGGTTCTGCCGAGCCGTTCCAACCGTGCCTGTACTCGGGCCCGCCAACGGTCCCTTTCCAGCCATGCAACTCGCTCCTCCCAGGTCGCGGAAAATTACCAAGGTTTTTATCTGATACACTAGACAAAAAGAAGCAAGACGCCCCTCTCATTGTCGTGGGAATGTGTGACGAACGGGACACAGCCCGAAAAGGAAATTGAGTCAAAGAAAATCGAGTCACCACCGTCGTGTGGTGCGTCGGCCCGTGTCGCCGACAGTTGTACATTGGCCGCCATCCTGGCGGTCCAGAAATAGAGTCGACGAAAGGGTAAAATCGAAATGAAGAGAGAGGATGATGATGGCACCATGGCGACACAACCGAAGCGTCCCGGATGCAAATGTCTCGTGTATGATCACGGGGCAGCGTCCAAGACTCCATGTCTGCGGGTCCCACCTGCCGACGGTGCCATTCAAGTCATGGCCTCTGTGCCTGTCGTTCAGTCGTGCCTCGGCTTGTTGGACATGGAAAAAGCGAGCATCGTCAAGAGCTTTCGCGTCACGCCGCTCAGTATCGCTCGTGTCGGTATCCATTGACGCGAGGTGCCTCGTACTGGACACCAGTCATCGAGTCTGGTCCGTTGGGTATGCTGTTGCTGATGGACCGAAGCGGTGGCAGCTCTGTGCGGCTTGCGCCAGCGTACGGATCGGACGTGTACGGTCCAGGCTGTGAGCCCTGTTGCTGTTGCGGATGGGGTTGCTGCTGATGCTGTGACGGCGGTGGTGGCGCCGGCCCTTGAGGGGGATGGCTGCTCGAATGTGCGCCATCCCCTCGCAGGCTGTGCAGCTCGCGGCGAAGCATCTCGTTCTCGGCCAGTGCGGTGTTGTAGTGGGATTGCAGCAGTCGAAGATGCTCGCTCTGTCGCTGGTGCTCCGCAATGGCTGCCGAGAGTGTCAGCACGGAGGACGATGCCGCGATCAACGAGCCTCTCCCATGTTTACCTTTAGTCAGGATCTCCCACTTGGAAGCTTTTGATCCGCGCTCCTGGGGCATCAGATCCCGCAATTGGTCAAATAGCTCCTTCATTTCAGTCCGTCGCTTCCGCTCGGCCAGCTTGTGGCTGACCCTCAGCTCCGGCGTCCGACTGTAAGGCTGAGACCCGGTGGCACCGTTGTTTTCCTCTGCCTGGAGGTCACTGAGCTGCTTATGCTGCATGCTATGGTGATGAACGGGCGGGAAGTCGGTCGTGATGTGGGACAGGCGACCGTGCTCCGAGCCATCCTCGAGTCTGCGCTGACCGGGCGGCAAGCGTGATTCCGTGGTGAATTGGCTGCTAGCAATCGACTCGGTGATGCTGCTCCGCCTCGAATCATCGTACAGGCCCGGCGGCCCTACTCTCTGAATCTCCTCCTCGGGGAACGCCCATGCTTGACCCTTAGTCGGCTCCGCGGCTCGGGCAATGTGGCCGGTGGCAGGGCCTGTGATGGCTGGCGCCGTCTTGACCGTCTTGGGTTCCGGATTTCTGTCTGCGCTCGGCTGGTAGCCGTTTGAAATCCTGTGCACCGACAATGCCTCGAGCCCGGGGCGGGGGTTCCGTTGGGAGTGGAGAGTATTCTGGATCGACGTCGTGGATTGGTTGTTGCTCGTGTATGGCGAGCCGCCCAAGCGCATGTCGCTGAAGCCTTGGTTGATTCTGCTGTCAACGCTCTCGCGCCTCGCCGCCGAAACCCCAGCCATGAGATTATCCCCCAACGAGGCCCCGCCGTGGCCCTGCGACTCGAGTGACGTCGGCCGATCGAATCGACGCTGATCGAGAGCACCAGGGCTCGTGGGCGAAACCATCGAAGCGACACTCATGTTGCTAGCAGAGGGGGAGACGAGGGCTTGCGGCACCATGTTGGCGGCGACAGGCGAAGGCGTCTTGTCCGCAGACGACGACTGGTAGCCAGAAGCAGTGGGGCTGAGCCCGTTGACGATGAACGAGGCAGCCGAGGTATCTGTACAGTCGGGCGTGAGCAAAGCATGGGGGCGCGGGTTCGAGGAGGAGGGGGAGCAGCCCGCGACGTACGCTTGCTAGGCGCCTCGGCCGTCGAATAGAAGCCAGAGTCGCGAAGCTGAGGCAAAGGAGCCTTGCGCGATGGCGGCTGATCGTCTTGGTTGAGGATGTTTGTCAGGCCGGCCGCCTTGGCAGGCGCAGACCGCTGCTGCTGGGCGTGCATATCCATGACCGTAGTCGAGTAAAACAAAAGAGACTAAAACAGAGGGTTGAGTTTTTCTGGGTACGGCGAGTAGGAAGGTCGAGAAATGAGGGAGAGGAAGGTGAAAGAGGGAGTTGAAGGGGGAGGAAAGATGAAGAAGAAAAATACAGAGGCGAAAAGATGAAACCGCCCGTAGTCGCCGAGATGTCGTCGAAAGGGAGTGTTTGTCGGCAGCGTCCCGATGGTTGTCTGGCACGAAGGGGAGACACAAAATGGTTGGCACACACGAGACGCGGATGCCGAGCAAACAGACGCGAGACGGGCAATTGGCGTTTGCAAGGTGGTCGCGAGGCCGACGACGAGCCAGAGATAGGGAGAGACGAGAAACAGAGGAGCGCCAGACACCCTCGAGAGGGAGGCGGGTAGGAAGGCGGACGGCAGGAAGGCGTCAAGAGGCCCACGAGCGCACCATCAAGACTCGAGTTTGCGAGGCCGAGTTGGTCGAGCTGGCGCGATAAACGTGGTGCATGACCAGGGGCGGCGATTGTTTGGGGGATGTGATTTTGGCTCGACCCCTCCTGTTGCTGATCCGCGGTTGGGGGGGGGGGGGGCGGGGAGTGAGAGAGAGAGAGAGAGAGTGAGAAAGTGAGAGGGGAGAAGAATGAGGGAGAGGCGAAAAGTTGAGGTTGAGGCGAGGCCGCCGAGCAAGGCGTGGTAGGGGAGAGAGCAGAGTAGGAAGTACGGATGGAATTGGGAATCGGTTCAAGAGGCACGGCAGAGAAACGCTGAGCAGACAGGGACACCACACCCCAGGAGCCCCCACCTGTCGACATCCACAATCTCTGAGGTACCTTGGCCGGGGAGGGAGGGGGCATCATCCGTGGTACCTTGCACATGGGGGGGCACTGTATGGCCCGCTAGAGGCAGTGCCAACACCGCTGGCCGAGGAGCTACCTGGGAGAACCCCCCCTGGGCGGCCGTAGCCAGTTTGCGCTAGGGCTAACACCGACAGACTTCGGGGGGCGGGTGTGGGCGCCAGGGAACGTGGCCCTGCGGGGAGGATTTGTGCCTGCGCTGTTGTACGCAGTAGGTACTTTGTACCACATCCATCCTCAATCCCATCTGCCCAGTAATAGGTAGGTACAGTACAGTACATGCATTCACACGTGTGAGGACGCAGCAGCACCATTCTCGTGCACACATGAATACCGACCGCATACACCAATGCACACACAACTTTAGCTACCGACCTACCTATGATGCAGTCCGCGTTGGGAGCTTGGGGGGAGGGGGCGGCCATCAGGGCGAGGGTCGGGCCAATGCAACCACCGGTACCCCTGCAAATACCACGCACAACCTACGGCCACGGGTAAATGATCCACGTGCGGCACTGTGCATGCGTCGTCGCGGGTCCTGCCAGTCAGTCAGGCTGCCTCCGCCTTGCCAAGAGGCGTGTCCAAGATACCGTACGTTAGTATCTTGGCAAGAACAAGGCGATGAAAACGGCCGGGCTACATGTGCCTGTCCAGCTACGGTAGGCCCTCGGCAGCTTGGTGGGTGCTCGTGCTCGCCATGTCGGCCTTTTCAGACACGCGAGCATGTACATACAGAGCGACTATTAATTATGTGGGCACTCCGGGACGCAAGGCAAGTACCCAATGTAGGTAGTAGTCCAAGGCACCCAAGAGGGAGGTGGCAGTAGGCGCGAATCGGGACTCAACGTCTATTGTGCCCGGCCAGCTGCGCACCGGTCGTCAGGAGCTTCTCCTCTTCTTTCTTCCGACTGATTGCACAGAGGACGAGTCCCCGCGGGGCGTCTGGGCGAGCGAGAGGAGAGGGTTGGTTGCAAGGAACAGAAGCCTGTGTCAGAGGAGGAACAAGCCTCGCCTGGGGCCTCCCACCAACGACGACGATTGCTTTTTTTTTGTCATTTCGTTTTGTTCTAGGTAGGTACGAAAGTACCTCTGTGTAGGTACGTACACCCTGGCTCGTGGATGAAATGGGGACGATGAAGTGCCCCAGTCTAGCTAGAGAGCCACCCTTGCCGTTTGGGGTAAAGGTCTTCGCACCAAGGACCGGCTCTCGGGACTCTGCGCCAGCTAGGACTTCGGTTTATACCGGTACTGCAGGCGCTGGGGACTTGCGGCTGGCCAGGAGATCCACAGCCCAGGAAAATTGGGTTTTTGGGTCCGTTGGCAGACGTGGTGCAGATCCTCCTTGTACCCCCAAAAGCCGATGCACATGGAGACTTGGTAGCAGCCGCCCGCCGGGGGCCATGTGTCGAGGCACCCTCGGCCTCGAAACACGCGGAGCACGACGCCCTGCAGCCAAGGGCGCAGTACACATGGGTCGGCAAAGCAAGCCAGCCCAGAGAAGGAAAGCGCCCGGCAACCAAATCCTCGGAACATTTCCGAGTGCAGCAGCCACTTGCAGTTCTACATGCATGAATGAGTACTGTACCTGCCCTCTACCCCCCAACCAGTCCGCAGGAACTTTGGCGATGCTACGCTTCCTCCTACAAGCCGTGGGTACTGCATTAGGGACCTGCCACGTACAGGCATGTGCGTCGGCTGCCCAGGGAAAAAAACGTGCGTGGCGTGGCATCCTTCGGCACGCGCGGGTCTGTCGCCTGTCAGGAGGTAGCACATTCTTATTAGCAGGAACCTCGAAAGCGCTCTAAAGCGCTCTCAGACTTGATCTCTCCAACTTGCGGCCCGCGGGCGGGAGGCAGCGCTCGGACGAGACAGACCGACAGCACAAGGTTGCCTGTGCACGGGCACGGGCACGGGGGCGTTCCCTCTCCCATACCCCCCGGCTAGCACGTCGGGAGCTAAACTGTGTGGGAGCCCGGCGCGCTGTCTGTCGGTCCACGGCGAGGAGGGCCGGCGGTTGACTTGCCCATGTTCTGTAGGTATATACAGTACATGCACAGCAGCGGCAGCAGAAGACACGACGATTGTCGTGGTGTCGGGATAGTCACAGACCCGTCGTACATACATGCCTGGATCCGCAAGTCTTGATTCCTCCGAGCAGGTACTGTGCATTTAAGGCGGGCGGATGCACGGATGAGATGCGGCGACGTTGTTAGTCACGCAGCAATGGGACCACGAGCAGTCTTGATCGCCTCCGAGCGCTGTGGTAGGTTCTTTTGTGGGGCCCCTCCCCCGTGGAATAAAGGTCGGCCGTCTGGTTGCAACCACACGTTCTCTTGCCGCTTGATGCTGTACCGAACCCATTGCCCACAGACGGTCCGGGGCTCCGGCTTCACGAAGGGGGCGACCCACGAGTCCCCGTCTCTAAAAGGAAGATGCCAGGGCAGCATCAGGCAATGCCTCTACATGCGCACAGTATGTATAAATGATTACTTGCACCGTATCTGCAAAGTACAGTACATGCGGAGGATAGGTACCTAGATAGGTGCCTTAAGTAATACGGAGAGCACACTTTGCAGTGCTGTTGTATACGTACCATCACGGCTGCAAGGCATGGGCCCCCTCCTTCCCTCCTATCACCATGAAGTACTGTACATACAACCCCCGCCGCCCGTCGCGTCACTCTCCGATTGTTCGCGGCGGATGGGCGGCAGCAATGCTCCGTCGCACGTACAGTAGAGTACATCCATACTTAGGTATATGTAGGTACATACGCGCCAGGGCATCCTGTGCAGACCTATCCAAGACACGGGGAGGGCCTGTGTAGGCACTTCTGTAGACCGCACTCGGCCGAGCATGGTGTTTTGCTTTTTCCTCGACAGCATACATTCGTCGTACGGGAGGAGGCAGACGCGGCCTCTGGCGTGAAGAAAACGGCCGCTAACAAAGATGCAAAGTCGTGCGTATCAGGACATCGTATATGCATACATGGGCGTCGGTGTATGTGTGTGGCATTCGAGGCCACTCCCGGCATCCACACGGTGAATGGGCTCGGGACCAGGCCAGATGCAAACAAGCAGTTCGAAAGCTAGAAATATGGACACGACCGATGCCGTGGGCATATATTAGTAGGCTCTGTCATTGGAGGCGTTGCTACTAGGTAATACCTAGGAACCTAGATACAGTACCTAAGTCAAGTACGGAGAATTCATGTACTGTACCCGTCACCCACCACTTCGGACTCCGTGCACGCAGGAGCTTCATGTCAGCAACGTGCAGCACTACAGGAGCGCGTGCGCCAGCTGTGTGCGTGTGGAGGATCAAGAGAGGGGAGGGGGGCCAGAAAGTGTAACCAATGGTCGCCGTTCTTCTCGGCCTATGACAGCCTTGTGGCATCAGCCCGTCACACCCCTCCCGTACCCCGGCACGCGATGCCGTCACATGCATGCATGCCAGCAGCTGGCCGCGGGCTGTTGGATGTGTGCCTTTCTTGCCACGATCCTTCCCGGGATGATGTTGAGAAACAACAAGCTCGCCCATACTGATACATACACATACATGCATACGGCAATCTCCTCTTGCTGGGCATTCCGCCACAACTCGAAGGGCAGCACCTCCACGTGGCGGCGGCTTGCTCGGCTGCAATGGGATCCCTCGAGGTGTTTCTTTTCTTTTTCAAGCTGCTGTGGCGGTGGTACTCCCTCGGAAGGTGCATCGCACTGCCCTCTCCCCTCATCTCAGTGTCGCGGCCACAGGAAAGAGTCTCCATGCTTGCAGAGGCATGCGTTCAACGTCCGGTTCGCATCCCCACGAGAGGGGGCGGGAACAAGGGCCAGGATGGGGCGTCGGGCTAGCAGTGGCTTGCTGGGCGAGCCGGGGACCCTCGTGCCGTCTGCCGGGACAGGGATGAATCAGATGCCATGGACCTTTTGGCTACGCCAGGGGGCTGCACGGCAGGCGGCCCGTGCATTTCCCGAAAGCCTTTGCGCTCACCCGAGCAATGCGCCATCGACTGCTCGCCACGTGAAGTTTCCTCGTCCCCCTCATGCCTTTCACACCCAGCCAAGCGGCCATGGCTTCAAGCCGCGCGACGCCATTGGAAAGCCATCCACGCGCGAGAAGCAGGCATGGCCCTGTGCTGCGTTCATCTCCTGG